TTCTATCCATCTCGAAATTGTTAGACACCAAGTATTTTTCTTTACCAAAGCCTTCATTAAATTTATTTATATTTTTGTTTTGTCTATGGTCATGAAATTTATTAATGGGAAGGGATTCGCGTGCATCAGTGCAGTGAAAATTCGGACTTTTATTTTTGTACCTTCTGTAATCAAAATCGACATGTCTCTTATTGTAATTGTCTCTTCCAAGAGTACACTGACTCTTTCTTCTCTCCAAATCCTGTTCATATTCCCGTCTGCTAAACCTATTTCTTCTGTAATAACCTGGTTGGTAAAAGTCGCCATAGTATTGTCTATTATTAAAATTCCTACCAAAATTATTTTTATATCGCGGTTCAAAATATCTGGGTTCTTTCTGGTTTGATTGGAAATCGACATTCCTGTTATTTACGTAATTACCAGAAGATCTTCTCCCTTTAGTTTTGGTTTTGCGGGAGCACTTGATTCAGATTCCGACAATGATGATATTGGTCTGTCGTATCTGCGGAAGTATTTTCTTTCTCGGTTTCTATCAATCGGTTTGGGAAAGGTTTTATTAGTTTCTAGGCCTAACGACATGAATTTTCGATATCCTTTGTTTTGTTTGTGCTTCCTAGATTGATAGGATGAATCTGAGTCGCTGTCCGAAGAAAAAAAATTTACGTAAGTAGCTGCTCTATTGGTCAGAATTAATTCTATTTTACTTATTTCCTTATAGAGCTGGCTTATGGAATATATTTTAAATTTGGTACCCAATAAACTCAAATATTTAGGATCGAGTCGCTCAATAACAATACGAACCATTTCTATTTCCGTTGTATCCCGGAATATTTTTGCATATTGAATTTGTTTGTCGACGTATTCCCGGATAGACTCTCTTTTTGATTGTGCTCGAAGTAAATATTTGGTTTTTAATTTGAGGATTTGTTGTGGCGAAACGTGAAACTTAAATAACGAATCACGTAAAGATCTAAAGTTTATATCTTTTCTTTGTGCGGCATTATACAGTAAGGAGCTTACGAATCCGTGGCTATTTTCAGCTAAAACAAAGAGAATCTCTGAAGTTAACGATTTATAATGAGTCAATAGAGGATACAATGCACACAAGAAATTAAAAATAGATTCAGGATCATTTAATATTAATGGCGGTATTTTATTTATTCTGTTTAAGAGGGAATGATGTAGCTTGGATGCCCTGATAAATTTTTCTTCCAATTTTCTAACTTGTCGCGGGTTTTCTTCCTCGGATTCTAAGCTTACAAATTTAGGAATGAATTGGTCATCGGGATTAGAATTTGAGTCGGTTGGGCTTAGCACAGGCCTCATCGCCATTGATGGAGCGAAAGGTATATTGTGGAATTTATCAATGATTGGCACGACAGTCTTTTTGCATTCTAAGCCTTTTTGAGTTTTAAATTCTACGGTTTGCGGCGACGAGGCTTCGTGAAAAATTTCTCGATCTGTAATAAATTTCTTTTTTTCTTATAAAGCTTTTAAAATTCGGGATGATATTGATGTGACAAAGGTTTGCCTCTGTTTTTTAGGAATTCTTTGTTGGATTTGCGGGCTATCGTTTAAGAATTCTGAAATTTCCTTTTCTCTTATTTCAATGTATTCATTCGAATGGAAAGTTAAATTCCCTATTTTATCCAAAACATCAGGTTCTTCCCTACCTTCATTTCGACTACTTTCTTCCGAGTCACACATATTAGCTGAACTATTTTTTTTATTAATTTTTTTTTAAAATATATTTTTTTAATTTAATCAACCACGCTTTGCTACCAATTTTGTCACGATCTGTTCTCGATTCAACAAGACGGGCCCAACTCTGAATCCTTTTTTATAAGAAACAGAGCCCCAGAGGTCTTGATCGAACCTGAATACAGCTGATCAGGTGCCTTTTTATAATAAAATTTAATTAAAGTTTAAAAACAATTTATTAAACACAAGAAAATAATAATTAAAACCAATAAATTTCCTTTTAAATTTTGAACAAACAATTAAAATTTTTTATAAATTTAAATAAACAGTATTTTCCTACAAAGTGTTTGCCAGACCATTTAGAACAAGGGTGGATACGTACTCACTATTTCCAGTCAATTCCGAAGCACTCTATTTTAGGGAATACCACACTTTTGAGGATCACACACTTCTTGTCTCTCATGTACACGGAATCTTGTTCACCTCCCAGACTCGACTCGACTGTTCCGTATTCTCTTTTATTTTTTTACTCTAGGCCTAATCTCGAAATCTAAATCATAACATTGTCACTTTGAAATCAATTGAAATGTGACACATGGATAATTCATACCTTTATTCATTAAAGAATATCCTTCCATTCTAAATTTTTGCAGCATTACTTATTTAAATAGTGATGAGCATTCTAATTTGCCCTGCTTATATTTTGTGTTACCGTGATCAAGTGGATTCAAAGATTTAACCCTCACTACATTAATGTCATCATCTATAGTCGACTCTCCCTCAATTTTTAGCTGATCATACTGTGGTAATTCTTCTTTTATACATGAGTGAGTTTCGTCTGTTTCATTTATCACTATTTTTTGACTTTGTAAATTGTCTATCAACTTTTCAGTATTATGTTGATTGTGTATAGTAATGCTGTGATCTATCATATTAGGATTATCATTAGTCGAATCCATTTCCAATTTTGTTTTACTAGTACAATTTTTTTCTGAGCCAGGGACATTGACTGATTTACATCTTTATATTGTGTTAAGCCTTTTATCAATGTGTGTTCCATATTCCTTTTCGTCTGGCCATTTATTTGCATTGAAAGAGAAGCCGTATTTTCAATATTTTCGTCGATGCTAGGCTTACTGCAATTAAGGGAATGCAATGGCTTTACCCTGATAATCCTACCATCAAGAATTTCAGATGAAACTAGGGCATCTTCACTTTTTAACGGGCGTTTTATTTCTTGCGCACTAGGTCTTTCATTAGGTTTTCTATAATCATTTTGGCTGCTATTATTGCTTTCAAAATGACGTGGCATAAGATGTACTTTAGCAGTATCGAATGTTTGTGTGGTTAGATCTTCAATTGTAATATCGCCAAATTGTACTGGCCCTTGGACTGTGGGGCATTTCATTTGTCTGTCTTGTTCTACTGCATATGCATCTAGTTTTGGTGGATACTCATAATTTTGTACATTTGTATTAATTTCAATAGGAAGTGGATTTAGATGTGTAACTGTTGTATCAAAAACTTGTGCCGATAAATCTTCAACTACTATGTCATTATATTTTTTTGATTGTTCTTTTCTTAAAGCATATTCTTTGTCCGTTAACACATTACTACGTACATGCCGTTCAACTATTTTCTTTCGCCTTGAGTTAAATGTGCCATTAGTTCCAGTGTCTGTCCAAGCTTGAATCACATTGCCTCTGCTAAGACTTGGTGGCAATAGATTGGGTGTTGCATCATTTAAATAATTTTTGGCCGACTTGCTAGAAGAGTATGATTCATCACTTGATGATTTTATCACAGAAGAACAACTTGCTAATTTTAAATAGGGGGATATCTACAATGGAGGATTCCGAATCACTATGTTTATTATTATATCGGGCTGAGGAAAATCTAAATCGCCAACATCTTCTAAGCATTTATATTCTTCGGATTTTGGAAGTTTTCTAATCCAGTCGTCTTTTTTCGAATTTGGTTGAATATTCGAGTTTAATAGATTTTCAACATAATCTTCATCTAATGTCACCCTGAAAGGTGATCTTGTGAAGTAGTCCCATTTTACATTATTTTTTATATATCTTTTATCATACAATATGGTTTGGGGAAAACCTAGTACCCTTTGCATCATTAAAAAAACAAAACAAAAAAACTAGTTGATTGAGTAAAAGGGCTAATTTTAATATTAGCGTTTCTACTATTTTATATTGTTGTTTATACAATTCTCTATTTTCTTTTAACTGTTTGAAGAACATGATTTATACTTTTCAACTTCTTTTATTCCTTATTATTTCCTAATTAGGTGTTTTTCCCTCTTTTTCCTGTGGTTGATGCACTCAAAAATGGATGTTGGCTTCTTTTTGGTGGAATATCAAACAACCTGGTTTCTCTTTTTGTGTATATATTTTGAGACAATATGTCCCCTCTTCAGTACATTTACAACTAAAAGTATATTAAAAATCATTAGATTGCTATTAAAATTGTTAATTACATGCAGATTGTTGTCCTTACCTCTCTCTCAGTTCCTAGTAGGTAAGGGAATAAAAATATTATAAATAAATAATTTCATATGTACTGACAGCTTTACAACGGAAAAAAGAATCGACTGTCAGGATATCACTAGTAAGTTCGAGATTGGGGATGTGGTCATCAACCGACTGACCCTGATCTGCTTTATGTAATTAGCAGATTTTTTTAAAACAAACTTCTGGTTTATTTTTATTTTTTTAAATTAATACTAAAACCTAGTAACGAAAAATGTTATAAATTCCTCCATCAAGAAAATATTTACTTTGTTTGCTTTCTTTGTTAAATATTTTTCTTACTTCATATGTTCCTAAATATTTAAAACATAAAGAGACAAATAGTTTTTCCTTTTTTAAATATGAATTTCTACAGTAGATTATTGATACACCAAAACCCTCAAAAGGCCTTTTTTTGAACAAAGTGCTGGCTTTAGCTAGGGGTGACGGGGTGGGTATTTTGTGAGGTTTGGAGGGGTGGCAAGGGAGATTTTACTAAGCAATACAAATCTGATATGACTAAAATAATTAGGTGCCACACTGTTAATATGGTAATAGGGAACAGTCCAAAATTAAACTATATGTGAGGGTTAAGTATAAGTATGTTTAATAATAAATTAAAGTAAAATAGGATCGAATCAATAATTTTATGGAAGTGGAAAAGGAATTTTTAATAAAGAAGAAGAAAAGAGGTAATTTAACAAAAATAGAACCTTATATCTGGCAGAACTGACAATTATTGTACTACTTAACCTAACTTAACACTATTTACATTACTTGAATATAAAGTCTCAGTGGGGCTGGAACTCTGACAATAACTGAAAGCTCGTGTAATTTATCTCCTATTGGAGCCAAAAATGTCCACCACCATATGTATATGTCAACTCCTCACTTGGCATGTTTTCTTTCTCATTGTGCCTCCTGAATCAGCTGGTGCTGCTTGGCGATCGTGGTTGCTGTTCAACTACATCTATAAACTTTGTTATTTAGTAACACTATGTCTCCTACTTGGGACTCTTCTTTTATTATTTTTTTTATATGCCTTAACTAAATTTTCATATGTAACTGTGAGTAATTTTCGGATGTTAGTTTGTGTCAAGTTTTCTATTTCTTCTTCTAAACCAAATTTTAAAATTGTAGGAAATTGAAGTTTTCTCCCCAGAAATATTTTATTTATTAAATATTCTGTTGGTCAGATGTGATTTCACAAAATGATAGTTGGGAGTCTTCCAACCCTTTCTTAATTTTGAATAGGTCCAGAATGCCAGACCCTATCAAAAGGCCTGCTGAATGGCAATAAATAGAGCTTGACAATTTTTTAAAAATATTTTCAAAATTGTGTCAATTACTCTATGGAGCTGTTATTGACAGTTAAGGGTGGTTATAATTAATTAATTATTGAATTAGTTAATTGGTTGACATGGTGCTGGGAATTGAAACCAAAATCAGAAATTTTGTGTGATGTAGAAGTTTTTGCAGCATGTCTTTCAAAAATTTTTTAAAACAAAGGTAATACACTGATAGGGTGTTAATATTAAATAAAAATGAAAATTTAAAAAAGTTATTTAGGGATGGTTAGGGTAACCCCTAACTTTTTATCTAGGGCCTTGGTTAAAAAGCATAAGTAATAAAATAATTAATAAGGTCAATTATGACTGCTAAATTCTCTACTATGTAAAAACATGTGGCATGAAAATTATTTTCTGTTTTCTGTAAATGGTTTCCATGGAAGCAATTTAATATAAGTGAATATAAAATTGAGACACCCTTGATAACTGTTTCAAAGTATATATAACTGATCACAATGGAATACAATTTTAAAAGGTATTACCGAAAATCTAGAACATCATCAGGTAATTATTCAACTGATTTATCATTACATAATCAGAATTATATAAATTTAAGAAAGACAGGAAGAGTAGGAAAGAGATTGAACAATATTTCATTCAATATAAAAACCTACTTTAAAAGAAAATTTAACAAGTTGATCAAAAATAGTGGAAAGAGAACTAAATCGCCACGTGTCTGCGTAAAAAATAGCGCCTTCAATAATGTAAAGGTGTACAAAGTTAACTATTGCCCAGCTATGATACATTGGATAAAATACAAACAGGAAACCAATGGTAGAGTTACAAAGACTAAAACAGATTTAGGCCAAAAAGACATTGAAACAGTGCCATTTTTAAAACGCAATTTTCTTAACAGTCAAAATTTAAATACAAATTACAATTTTGAGCTAAACCATTCATCAGATATGAGAATAAATCATCAAATTAAGCACGAAAAAAATGAGCATAGCAGCAGTGCTTTGTTAAGGGCACAAGACAAGATATGTGAAAGAAAAGAAATAAAGCTTAAATCAGGAAACAATCAATCCAGTGAATCTGATGAACTTGACACATCCACTCTAGCACATGGTTTTAAGAATCAAATTTACTACAAAGAACAAGCAAATTTAGCTCAAATTCACAGTAAAATCGAGAAAACAATCACTTTGCTGAATAACATTCGATCAAATTCTCATAAATTTACAAAATCAGAGATCGAAACAACTAAAAAAATTTCAAATAGCAAAATTATAAGACAAAATTGTGATAATTTGTCTTATAAGGTGCCATTGAACATCAATGATGAGCAAAAACCAAAGGAACAAGCCAAAGTCCATAGACAATCAAAACCACCACTACCTACCTTGAATAGTAATTACATTGATCAATATAACAGCAAACATGAACATACTGTACAAAGTGAAACGTCACTTGAAAAAACTGAAGACAAATCTGTCTTATTTGAAAGAAATCCCTACTTGGTCACAGTAAGCAAATTAAAAGAAGAGGAAGATCCTGTAACAGATAAGTTGTTGAAGGAAATAGAAAAACATAACATCGCATATTACTCTTATAGTACATTACTTGACAATGATAATATATTAAAAATAAAAGATTTTACTGGGGACATACCACTACCACCTGTGCACTTCTCTAGGGAACTAAACATCAATCAAGAAGAGCAATCATATCTAGAAATTGAACAGGATGATTTCCAAGAAAAATGTATTAATTGGCTTCAAAATAATGAAAAAGCTAAAAAAGTTGAAAAGTCTAAAATCAGAGTGTTTAATGCTTTGAGAAACACAAATGTAAAAATGAATAGAAATGAATTTGTTTATGGTCAAAAGAAACCAAATTATGTCGAAGATAACTTTTATTTATGTAAAGCAAAACAGGGTAATTACACACCAATGATATCAGAAGAAGACAAAATTAAAAATAAGGTATACAACAAAGGCAGTTCTGACAAAAAGTATGTAACATCCAGCAATAACAATGTTGGCAACCCTAAAGAGCAAAATGTTACACCATCAGAGGATTTTCAGAAGCATGACAACATGGAATTCAATATAATTGAAAGTTTTTCACATAGCACAGGAGGATACAATTGCATTCCAATTTCTGAAACGCGTAAAAAATCATTCTTTCACAAGACAGATCAAACTGAGATGAACAACGAAAAGACAAACTGTATGAATCTAGAGTTTTCTGCCAAGGCTGATAAAAGTGAGAAATTGGAATTATATGAAAAAGTAACAAATATTCCACGACCACATACATTATCTGTTCCAATCTCACATGTGTCGAATAATGATAAAAGTGATAATGCTTACCACGAAAATTCTCTTACTAAAGACTGTGATAACAATAAAATTTTAAGTGACACCAAACAGAAAATGAGAATCATTCTCCGAAACTATCCTTGTGAATTGTCATGTAGAATTAAAATTCAAGAATCAAAAGCCAACAAGGAAAAAATGTTAAAAAATTATAGTCAAGACAAAGATCTGGACACTAAAATGAACAACAGTGCAGGATCCAATAGAATTTTGAATAATACACCTGAAAAAGTGAAAGATTTAGATGTTGTAAATATACAGCCAAAGCCAGAATTGAAATTAGAACTTCCAAAAATGACACATGACTCACGTCCAAAGGAAACACGCTGTTTCACTGAATCAACAGAGGATAACTCGTCAATGAAAACTTTAGATGGAGCAAAACAGTCTACAAGTGGCAAGCTGGAGATTAGAAAAATGGACATTAAAAATGAGAAAAGTGCGATGAAATTATCATATAAAAATGACTTAACATTCACAGAGGAACACAAAGAAGTTGAGGAGGGCCTTTTGCAAATATGTTACACAAACCAGCAAGATATTCAAGCAATACCAGAGGAATGTAATAATAAATGTGAATACAAACCATACCATAATAGTAAAATACAAAACCCAGTGACAAAAAAACCTTTAGTAACAACAGGAGAACATGTGAAAATGGCAATAAAACAACCATCACTATCAATGTCAAAATCTGGCGAAATTATTTTAGGTGATCTAAGAGCAGGCACAGATATGTTAAACACGATGCCCAGCATTACAAATATAAATACAGAAAACGAAATAGAATGCCAAGACAAGTGTACATCAACAATCAGCAATACTACTTCTACATCGGAAGATTTGTTAGAAAAATACTGCAGTAAATGTAAACAAATTATGCAAACTTATCCAACAAGCCAACATTTAGGATCCGCATCAAAGAAAATTTCAAACTTAGAATTCAACACGATTGTTCATGTAAATTTAACTGCAAGTCGAACAAGAATACAACCAAAAACCCTAACAAGAAACATCCATAAAACATTCAGGCAAATTAAAAATTTGGTACAAAAACAAAAGAAGACTCACCATAAAAATAATATGCAATATGAAAAAAACTATATTGGGAAGAAAACGGCAATGATCCAGACTGATTATGTCAGTACCAGACAAAAGTTTACAGAACAAAATCAAACTCTAACTATGCAAGGATCGCGTAGGAATGTTGAACAACTAGTGAATACCAAAGATGAGAGTATGAATTGTGAAGAAATTTGGATGAGTGTAAGTGAACGATCAACCCAAACTGGTGAAATATCTTTGAAAACAAGTGACAAAAGTATGCAGTCTGAGACAAGATTTATGAGAATGAGAGAACATATGACGCAGACGGAAGAAGAACCTGTATGTGAGAGTGAAAAAGGTATTCAAACTGAACAAAAATGTATGATTTTAAAGGAACAATCAATTCAGACCGTGAATATAACAATGATGGCAAGAGAAGAAATTGTACAAACTGAGCAAACTGCTATCAGTTTATATGAACCAGTATTACAAACTGAGAAAGACATTGTCTGTTTCAGTGAGCACATGATACGAATGAAAGGAAAGCGCATAAATATATGTGATCAATCAATTCAGACATTGCACACAACAGTGATGGCAAGAGAACAAATTGCACAAACTATGCAAACAGCTATGAATGTTTGCGAACAAATGCTACAGACCGAGGACGTTTGTGTCAGTGAACAAGATGCACAAACTGAAGAAAAGTGCACAAGTATGACAGAGCAATCAATTCAGACTGTGGACATATCGTTAATAGCTAGATCGCAAATTGTTCAAACTATACAAACAACTATGAATAGATGCGAACAAATGCTACAGACCGAGGACGTTTGTGTCAGTGAACAAGATGCACAAACTGAAGAAAAGTGCACAAGTATGACAGAACAATCAATTCAGACTGTGCACATATCGTTAATAGCTAGATCACAAATTGTTCAAACTATACAAACAACTATGAATAGATGCGAACAAATGCTACAGACCGAGGACGTTTGTGTCAGTGAACAAGATGCACAAAATGAAAAGTGCACAAATATGATACAGCAATCAATTCAGACTGTGGACACATCAGTATTTGCAAAATCGCAAATTGTGCAAACAGCTAGAAATGTATGTGAACAAATGCTACAGACTGAGGATGTTTGTGTCAGTGAACAAGATGCACAAACTGAAGAAAAGTGCACAAGTATGATACAGCAATCAATTCAGACTGTGGACATATCGGTATTTTCAAAATCGCAAATTGTGCAAACAGCTAGAAATGTATGTGAACAAATGCTACAGACCGAGGATGTTTGTGTCAGTGAACAAGATGCACAAACTGAAGAAAAGTGCACAAGTATGATACAGCAATCAATTCAGACTGTGGACATATCATTAATCGCTAGATCGCAAATTGTTCAAACTGTACAAACAGCCATTAATAGATGCGAACAAATCCTACAGACTGAGGATGTTTCTGTCAGTGAACAAGATGCACAAACTGAAGAAAAATGCACAAGTATAATGGAACAATCCATTCAGACTGTGGCTATATCGGTATTTGCAAAATCACAAATCGTGCAAACAGCAAGAAATGTATGTGAACAAATGCTACAGACCGAGGATGTTTGTGTCAGTGAACAAGATACACAAACTGAAGAAAAGTGCACAAGTATGATACAGCAATCAATTCAGACTGTGGACATATTGGTACTTGCAAAATCGCAAATCGTGCAAACAGCTAGAAATGTATGTGAACAAATGCTACAGACCGAAGATGTTTGTTTCAGTGAACATGATGCACAAACTGAAAAAAAATGCACAAATGTAACAGAGCAATCAATCCAGACATTGCATACAACAGGGATGGCAAGAGAACAAATTGCACAAACTATGCAAACAGCTATGAATATATGCGAACAAATGCAACGGGCCGAGGATGAAGCTGTCTGTGTCAGGGAACAGGTTATACAAACTGAAGAAAAATGCACAAATGTAACAGAGCAATCAATCCAGACATTGCATACAACAGTGATGGCAAGAGAACAAATTGCACAAACTATGCAAACAGCTATGAATGTAAGCGAACAAATGCAACAGGCTGAGGATGAAGCTGTCTGTGTCAGGGAACAGATTATACAAACTGAAGAAAAGTGCACAAGTGTAACCAAACAATTGATTCAGAGTGTAGATATGCCGGTAATTGCAAGATCGCAATTTGTTCAAAATGAGCAAACACCTATCCACGTATGTGAACAAAAGCAACAGACCGAGGAAATAACTGTCTGTATCAATGAGCAAATTAGTAAAACTGACAAAAAGTGTATGAACTTCTGTGATGAAGGTATTCAAGCTGTTGAAATAATGGAGATTGCAAAAGAACAAATTGCACAATATGAAGAAAAGTGCATAAACGTACTTAATGCAGCCATACATGAACACACTTTACAAAAGAATGAACAAGCGATCAGAGCGTGTGAACAAATGGTACCGACAGAGGCAGAAGCTGTTCACATTAGAGAGCAAGTAACTAAAGCGGAGCAAATAAGGCTAGCAAACATTCCAACGTTAAAGTCAAAATTTGTAATAAACGATTTATGTATTGAGCCCAGCCAGTGTGAGATTGATAAAGGTGCTTTTGAATCTTGCCTAATTCCCATTGCTACTCTAGAAAACGTGTTAACCGATGAGATCACTTTTTCAACAGATGAAGTTTCCATCTCGCAAGTTGAAATGTTCAAGCATCGGAAGGAAAGAGAGCAACTGAAAGCCAAATGTGATTTTAAGTATGACAAAGAAGAAAATAATAGACAGTATGCATCACAAGATATACAAGCACCAAAGAAAAGTAGCAGTGTAGAAAATTCTTGCGCATCTTTGTTAAGTTCCATGAAAAGAAGTCAGACCCAACTACAGTCAACAGTTAAAAAAGCTAAAGAAACCATACTAAAGTATAATGGCTTTTTTAATTCTGATAGTTTATTCGATGAAATAGCCGAAGAAGAGGAATGTGAAATGAACACAAATATAGAAACATGCTTAGGAGGGTGTGAGAGTAGTACAACCCAACCAGATTTATCTACTTATCACAAACAGCAACAATGTCAAATCAATCCAATGACGTTACAAACCTCAAGTATATTTGACATAACCAATCAGACCTTTTCAATAAAAAACCAAAATTCTGTTGAACAGTCATCTTATAATTATGAATACGTGGCAAAAGCACCAAATTACACCCAACAAGATAGTGGAAAAAATGCTGTCTCACCACACCCAGAAGCATTAATCATGTCTAACCAGATGACTTTAAAAGAGGCGAAAGAGGTACCACAAATGCAAATACAATGCAAAGAAGAAGTACAAATAGGAGACCAATGCTCAGAAAATAAGGACATACGGAAAAACGATTGTAAGTAAAATATTTTTATATTTATTTTAGAAATAAAACCTAAATTATGCACATATCAAACAAAAAGTGATATAGCATGATATTAAAAAAATAATATAATATAATTTATATTGATATTCTAACTTATATGTATAAAGTTGTACAAGGAGGTGGGACTTTTAGTTCCACACATCCATATTTATATTAAATTCATTTGTTATCTGCCAAGCTTTTGACCTATTTTAAAGTTATCATCAGGGCAAAACAATCTTAAAGATGTCTACAAATTGACATAATTAAGTTTTTAATAGATAGTTTCAAATTTCATTGTCAGTCCCAATATTGCCAAGGACTACAACACTGACCACAATTAGTTTGGGATTGTGATAGCAATAAATAAATAACAATCAAATTTGTTTTTTAATCCAGTCTATACCGAGTTCCAGATTATTCATATTAAAATCATCTGGTAAACAGATCCAGATTAATCATCAATGGTCGATGCATTAACCCTTTAAATAATAGTAATAATAACTAACAAGTACAAACATAACATGTTACAAAACATTAGCACTAAAATTACAGAGTCTTTATAATAAAAACTAACAAATATCAAAATTAATTAAGAAAATGATTTATAATTAAATAAATGATGCAATCCTTTCTTATGTATATATAATTTTTAATTTATATTGTATGTGTAACATTTTTCAGATACTCGGCCATGCTCAGTTATTTTAAATTTAAAATGCAGACAACTATTTCCGAATGTATTGAGAAACAGGAGATATAAGAGTTCTAAACTAAACAAATCAGCCGGGAATAAAAGTAACTATGCTGTTAAGCCAGAAATGCACTGGAAAAGATTAAACAGATTTGACCAGAAAGTCTTCAAAGGAGAAAAGCAGAAACTACAACTGCAAACATTGAATAAAAATAAATTTTGGAAGATACACGGAGAAAAAGAAAAGCAGCACATCAAAAGTTCTGACAGCGAGAAGTACTCAAAATACCGTAAGTTTAAACTGTTTTACTATTTTCTAAGTTGAACTTAATTCAGAATTTCAGAAATGCAAATTACCTATTTATAGTAAAATTAAAATTGTACTAACAAAATGAGAGCTGCATTGAGTTAAATATTAACTTTAACCGTTAAACAATTTTATTGTACAATTATTTTAAAAAATTTTAGATTACAGGCCACGTTCAGCAAGGTTAAAATTAAAATCAAGATTACAACCAGAGGCATTACGGAGCACCAGAATTTCTGACCAAGTGAAAGCAAGATCTGCAATTGAATGCAGACAGAATGTCACAGATCGTAAATTGAATAAACAAAGTAAAAGTAGCAATTTCCTGCTAAAATATGATAGTACTCAAAAACAGAAACGCACAAGAAGATTACATTATTCTTTGCCACACTCAAATCAAACTAGCTGTTCTATTAATGTGTGGGACTATTTTGGAAAATCGCCCTACAAGATCAAATACAGTGGGAATTACATTGACAACTCAAGTGTTCGACCGAATAAGAAAAAAAGCAATGTACGGAAACTTGGGAAATCCGAAGAGCATAAGTGTTTAGAAGATATTGAGGATACAGATATTTCAAATTCTGATAGAAAATTGCCACAATATTCTACAGAAGTTCTTAAACCTAAATATTTTAGACATAGGAGCAATTCAGAAAGAAATTTAGTTAAAACTGGAAACAAAAATACAGAAATTGCTCCCAAACACTGTAAGTTTAAATGATTTTATTATTACTAGAGTGCTTAAATAATTCCGTTTCAAAAATTAAAGTTAACTGTAATTAACTGTTTAGTTAATACCTAACTGTTGATAAACGTAGGGCATCAGTGGCCACAACAGTTTAGGTGTTAACATGGTGCTCATCACTGTAAGGTAAAGATTCCGGGTTGAATCCAGTGACCCTGCATTCGAACCTGACATTCTTACAAATGGGCCGCCATACCAACACCCTAAGAATTCATATAACCATATAACGGTGCGGTTGAGATGGGAAGTTAGTGCCCAAGGGGATCGAAGTCATGATAGCTGATAGGTCGTGGGTTCGAATCCCGCTCGTGACACTGGCTTTTTTATCTCAACTTAAAACCTTAATTAATTGAATTATATTAATTGGTCAAGCGGACCACGAAAAATAGTGAATTAAACCATATAACCTTGTAGTTGAAATACCTCATTAAACAAATATATATATATGCATATATTTTTCAGGTGATAGGCCAGGCTCATTAAAAATAAAATTAAAATCTCCAATACCCCAATCTAAAGAGTTCCAATACAGTGCAAGAATTACCCAATTAAAAACAAAGTCTGCTGTTGAATTTGAGCATACTGGTAATGGTAGGGAACTGAAAAAAGAAACTAAGAGTAGCAGTTATCTTTCCAATTGTAATGATAAACCAAAGAAGCAACAAAAGAGTAAATCACATAGTTCTGTGCCTCCCACAAATCAATCAAGCTGTTCAATAAATATATGGGATTATTTCACAAGATCACCCTTCAAGGTAACATTAGATGAAGATTATGTAGAAAATTTATTAAATTCAGGTATTCAGACAGTTACAAAAAATGACAATGAATGGGTTCGAAAACTTTCAAAATCCGAAGAACATAATTGCTTGGAAGATATTGGCGATGTAGATTTTCCGCAATCCGGAACAAATATACATAGTGATACAGAATCATCCATTTTGGATATCCCACATTTAAAATCAGCTAGTGATTATTCAACATCTACCGCAGAATTGACAGATAATGAATTAAAATCACCCAATCCTATACAAAGAAGTCATCTAGGTACAGCAAATGTAATTCATGCCTGGTCAGATAACATAACTAATATTACATCAATGTCTGGCCAAAAGAAAAAGTTGTTTAGCCACAAGGTGCCAAATAATGATATGGTGAAAAATCAAAATCCCATTAATACCAACATTAATCCGCAAAGAAAGCCTTCTTCAGGTAGTGGATCGCATATTTTAACCAGTGGTGTACACGATGCAGTAAAATTTGGACAACAGCACATGATACAGAAGACATCCGATTATGTTGGAAATAAGAAAAAAATAGAAAGAAAACCTGTTAACAAAAGTCACCAAAGTCCAAACATTGATGCTAATGACAGACAAAAGTACAGAAACCAGGGTAAGTTAAATTTAATGTTGTTTTGCAGCAATTCTATAAAAATTAAACCTTTTGCTGTTGTTTTCTTCCTTGAATGAACATGTAAGTTGAGTAGATTTTCCTACCTTTGGAATAAATTACTTCATTCAGTGTGGCTATTGTCTTTTTTATCTGTTTTACTCAACTTTTCCTCATGGTTGGTTTTTTAGAATATTGATTTATTTGGACTTCCTGCTGTTAAAACTTCCCTGAATTACATGTCATTCTCAGAAATGTAGTCAGAATGGAATGTGGGTATCTCGGGTGGCCTGTATTCTCTGTGTGGTCTTTTTCAAATACTTTTGTAATGCGCTTCTGTTGTTCTAAGGTTCTCCTTTTTTGGTCCTATTTCTACTTTTTCTGGTTAGATATGTTCTGGTGGTGTATTTATAGATTCTCAGTCTCATAACTTATCAACCTCTAAAGAAGTTGTTAGTTTACCCTTTTACAGTATTCATGTGTTTAATTTTTTTTAAAGTACCTCTTAAATTCCTCCCTCTGTTGTTTGTTGGTTGTTTGATTTTAAAAATTTTCTAATTAATTTCGACAATGATTGATTTTAAAAAAAAATATTGGGCTTACCAAAAGTTTTTATTATATTTTTGTTCTTTAAAATTTGGATAACAGATGTAGACATTAACATTGTAAACTTGTCAGCATTGTTGCAACCACATTAAATTAATTAAGATTTATTGGTTCTTTTTATTAAAGTCATTTTTTTAAATACAATAAACCATGTATTGGATAGTTTATATCATAAAGAACTGAACTAAAATTAATTCATTTTATTGTAAGGGCTTTCTTCTAATAGGAGGGAAGTGATGTGTCTATGAACATTTTGTAAGATTTTAGATTGCAATATCAATGAAATGACAATTATTTAACAATTAATAATTTCTTAATAAACAATGCTTTTTACTTTTTTCATAATGTTACATTATGTTTTGCAGGCAGTGTGAAAAAAGAAAGTAAGAGCAGTAATTACCTTCTGAAGAATAATAGTAAATCAAGGAAACAACCGAGTAGATCGCAGAGTTGTGTGCCACCTAAGGATCAAGCAAGTCATTCGATAAATGTATGGGACTATTTCACAAGATCACCTTTCAGGGTGACATTAGATGAAGATTATGTTGAAAATCTATTAAACTCGAATATTCAACCAAATTCAAAAAAAGACGACTGGATTAGAAAACTTCCAAAATCTGAAGAATATAAATGCTTAGAAGATGTTGGCGATATAGATTTTCCTCAGCCCGATAATAGTAAACATAGTGATTCGGAATCCTGCATTGTAGATATCCCCCATTTAAAATCAGCAAGTTGTTCTTCTGTGATAAAATCATCAAGTGATGAATCATACTTTTCTAGCAAGTCGGCCAAAAACTATTTAAATGATGCAACACCCAATACATTGCCACCAAGTCTTAGTAGAGGCAATGTGATTCAAGCTTGGTCAGACAATGGAACTAATGGCAAGTTTAACTCAAGGCGAAAGAAAATAGTTGAACGGCATGTACGCAGTAATGTGTTAACGGACAAAGCATATGCTTTAAGAAAAGAACAATCAAAAAAATATAATGACATAGTAGTTGAAGATTTATCGGCACAAGTTTTTGATACAACAGTTACGCATCTAAATCCACTTCCTATTGAAATTACTACAAATGTACAAAATTATGAGTATCCACCAACACTAGACGCATATGGAGTAGAACATGACAGACAAATGAAATACCCCACAGTCCAAGGGCCAGTACAATTTGGCGATATCACAGTTGAAGATCTAACCACACAAACATTTGACACTACTAATGTACATCTTATGCCACGTCATTTTGAAACCAATAATAGCAGTCAAAATGATTATAGAAAACCTAATGTAGGACCTAGTGCACAAGAAATAAAACGCCCATTAAAAAGTGAAGATGCCCTAGTTTCATCTGAAATTCTTGATGGTAGGATTATCAGGGTAAAGCCATTGCATTCCCTTAATTGTAGTAAGACTAGCATCGACGAAAATATTGAAAATACGGCTTCTCTTTCAATGCAAATAAATGACCAGATGAAAAGGAATATGGAACACACATTGATAAAAGGCTTAACACAATATAAAGATGTAAATCAGTCAATGTCCCTGGCATCAGAAAAAAATTGTACTAGTAAAACAAAATTGGAAACGGATTCGACTAATGATAATCCTAATATGATAGATCACAGCATTACTATACACAATCAACATAATACTGAAAAGATGATAGACAATTTACACAGTCAAAAAATAGTGATAAATGAAACAGATGAAACTCACTCATGTATAAAACAAGAATTACCTCAGGATGATCAGCAAAAAATTGAGGGAGAGTCGACTATGGACGATGACATTAATGTAGTGAGGGTTAAATCTTTAAATCCACTTGATGACGCTAACACAAACAATAAGCAGGGCGAATTAGAATGCTCATCACTATTTAAAGAAGTAATGCTGCAAAAATTTAGAATGGAAGGATATTCTTTAATGAATAAAGATATGAATTATCCATGTACAGAATCGGAAAATATTAACAGAACTGCTGGCCTTTTAAATGTTGGCAAAGAGGCTAGATTGTCAAACAATAATATTTCTTCTGATTCATCCACCTCAACAGGATCTCTAGTTACCATTAAAGAATTTTCAAGTGCAAGTTCTTCAAGCCTAGAAACATTTTCTACTTTTAGCTCAACAAAGGCCAAGCAAACAAAAACTTGTTTTAGGAGTGAACGTAATTCAATTCCAGAAATGTTAACAAAATTGGAAAGTATTTTGAGTAAAGGTGAAGGCAAAACTGTTCTGAATCAAAAATTAAACCGTGCATTTATACCAAAGCCAGACAATCAACATAACTCAGTGAGTGGAAGCAGTGAAAAATTTTAACTGAACAATCTCTTCATAAATAGTAGCAGTAAATAGTCGATCGTTCACATGAAAATGTTGGTACAATTTTGGACTTTGCAAAAAGCAAAGAATATGGGAAAAAAATGAAATAATTCAAGTAGTCCCATTGCATGCCACTTGGGCTGATGATGTTATTTCAGACCCAGATGATTTCGCTTCACATAAGAGTGATGGTGCTAAGCTACTTGATTAAGTCTAGCCAAAAGAAAGCAAGTAAATCCTCATTTAACCAACTTTGAATGAATCATATCCCTTTTTTTAACTTCAACGTCAGCAAGCAAATGAATGCCATACCTGGAAAACATAAACTGAAAGATACAGATTACAAACAAAACAGCAATAAAGATTTTTATACTGTAAAGTTACAGAAAAGTTATCAGTGTTGTTTTTAATATTTTACACATAGATAACTGCAAGGTATTTTAATTATATTAAATGCTTTGTTTTAAAACAGATTAAGGGATGTAATACTAATTCAACTTCAAGTTGAATTAAAAAAAAAAAAATACAAATTTAGCAAAATCTACCACAGGTTCGTGCCTGCAGACTTCAAGGAGAAAAATCTCACAATTTAACTTATTTCAATTGTTGCATCCCTCATTAGATGTGCCCATCCATGTGGCATCCTCATTTAATGGCAAAATGGTTATATTCATCATCCTAAATAATATACCTTACCTAGGACAAGAGCAAAATATGTGATTACCATAAAAATTTCCAATAACTTTTCAATCATTTTAACTTTAAATGAGAAACCTTAACCACAACCAGCATCATGTATCTCAGAGATAAAAATCATAAAGAACTACTAGCCAGATCACAACTAGAATTTTTATATTAGAATCAAAAGTAATGTGTTTAGAGAAGAAGTCAGGCTGCCAACAACAAGTTGTTTATATTTATAACATTCTATATATTAAAGCTAAAAGTTAATTAGCAAACTTCTCTACTCATGAGCACAATAAAATGTACTTAATAATTTGAATCAAAAACAAACCTAAATATTGAAGATTTTAGAATAACTAAAATTTGATAAATAAATATAACAATTTTACCAATTCAATTATCATAGCATTGGTTTCAAATAAGATAAGCAGAATTATTAGCAAGTGTATGGGAATATGAAACTGAAAACAGAAGTCAGTCCTCAGACGATAAAAACAAAGTTTTTCTTTCTCCTAACTTGACAAAACCAGATATCAATAGTTAGCCAGAATTTTGAAATATATCCATTGATGAAACTACCTCCAATTACAACTCAACGTTGTGAATTACAGCTGAATTGGCCAACGTAATTGATACTCAATTTCAGGCAGTTGCTGTCCATAATGATTTATTTTGTGCCCTACAGTTTTAGAAAGATTGAAACGTTTAGGTTTGTGATTGGGGAATAGTTGATAATGATGAATAGAATCATCAGAATCAGGTGTGGGAGATGAACCGTCCTGGTTGAGTTTGTCTCAAGTTGGCAAGTATTGTAGAGAAACATTGCATATGTCTTACATAATGAATGGTGTCATTCCTCAGCTGTATGTAAAGAACTAGAAGGAATGTCACCCATATCAATGAAAAATATATTTGATTTCATGGTCAAGACTGGGGGTATATACAACATGGGATTGCTGAATTTCCAATTACGCCAGCATTTGAGAACACAGCTTGCCTTGAGTTATATAACGGAATAAAAATAAATAAATAAAATCTAGAATTTCCATATGGCTTTTTTTCTAATCTTATGAAAATGGTTTCCATGGGACCAAATATTATATGAAAATATAAAAAATTGACAACTATATTGGTTGGTTAATTTAAACAGTAATTAAATAACTACTAAAATGGAATATTTTAATGAAAAATATGGCTGCAAATCAAGTACATCAACAGGTAATTATCCATCAGATTTATCTATGTATAATTGCCAATACTTACAGTCCAAAAAGAAAGGCACTGTTAAAAAAAGGTGGAACAAAATATCTTTTAAAGTAAAGAACTACATAAATAGGAAATTTACCAAGTCGTTCAAAAATAGTGCAAAGAAAACAAAACCAGAAAGCATCAGTGTAGAAAATCACTTCAACAATAAAGATTTGATGATTCGTGATATCCACTATTGCCCTGATATGTTACCACAAAACATTGAAACTGAAATTGGCCAGATTAAAGAAGTTTACAGTGGTTTGTTGAAACGGATAGAAAATTTAAAGAAATTAAAACATAATCCCAAGTATGTTAACTATTCAAATATTAACAGATTAAATGCATTGCTAAACCAATTTGAAAAACAAGAAGAGAGAAATAATACGGTTTTGAGATCATTTATTACGAGTATATATTTACTTTGGAAGGAGTACAAGCAGGAAACAAAAGGTCAACAAAGAAAGATATTAAGCAAAATTAATACTAAAAAACATACTCAAATTTCAACAAATATTCAGAGAGATTTAAAGATTGCCCATAAAACTGTTGAAACTTTACCGTTAGTGAAAAACAAATTTTCAAATATCCACAATTTTAATTCAAATGTTGATATGTTGCATGAAACTAGATACACAACAAATGATGTGAAAGAAAATAGAAAAAGTAAACAACAAAGCGGTATATATGAAGCCAACACTATTAAAAAGACCGACAAGAAAATTGATGGCAAAGAAATAAGAAAGGAATCACAACTATGTCAATTCAATGAATCTGGTGGTCCTGCTACCCCAATTCAAAAAGATGGTTTAAAAACTCAAAACTATAACAACACAGAGGAAGAACTATATCTGGCTCAAATTAAAAGTAAACTAGAAAAAACAATTGCTTTACTAGCTACAGCTAAATCGCGTGCGTGCAAACCACAACAATCTTTTGTGAAAAAATCTAAATCTTCACATAAATTCATGGGCAATAATTCTGGAAGTTTGTCTCACAAGCAAATAAACATCAATGGCACAGAAAAGCCGATGGAACAAAGCAAAATTCACACCCAAATAAAAGTGCCTCAAAGAACACCAAATACAAATTCTATCCGTCAATGTAATAACAGACAAACAGATAGAAAATTAACACTACTAAAAAATACAGAACACTTATTTTCCAGTAATTCTTATTTTCTTGCAATGATCAAGCTAAAGAAGGAAGAAGATCCCATCACAGCTCAGTTGGTGAAGCAAATAGACAAAAACATTTCATTTTACTCTTACAATTCGCTACTTGATATTAATTACAAGTCTCTCCGCAGTTTTTTCAGTGAAAGTATGTTGATTTTTTCAGAGTATGAAGATAATATTCAGAGTGGTAACTGTTATTATGATAAAAATCATGATAATAGAAAATACTTTACTAATACTTCTGAAGCACAAATTGTGGTAGCTAATCAAACCTTTTCTCAAGGTGATTGGTTTTATGCAGACCTAAAACATCCAGCGGACTTGACAGATAACAGTGAAAGCGAATGCACACAGACTTGCCCAAATGGAATGTCAATTGTACCCCATAGTTCTCAGTTTGCTGACCTGGAATATTCTTCTGATTTAAAAGATACAATTCAACATATTAACAGAGATATGAGTAGAAAAAGTGCAGGCTCCTTGCAATTGAAGAAAGAGAGTTCCGAAGTGATTTTTCAGAAAGTTCTCAGTGATGATGAAGTGAATCCTAAGCAAAATATAGTCAAAATAAGGGAACATTTTGACCCTGACATACCACTTCCTCCTGAGCCTTCTTCTAGTGAATCCAACATTGATCTAGAAGAGAAATCATATTCAGATTTGAAACAGAATAATTTTCAAGAAAAATGTATTCGGTGGCTCGAATCAAACAGCCGACAAAATCAGAACTACAATATCTCAAATATTAGAGTTATGAACAGAAAAATAAAGAAACAAAGAGATGTGTCAGAATTGAATTTGTTACAGAGTGTAAGGAAACAATCCAAAATAAAGCCAGGTTATCACATACCAAAAGAATCATCAGAAGAAGAATATGAAGTGAACTTATTAGAAATGCCTTTTCCATCATTACTAGAGAAAAAAGCTGAGAATACCGTTTCAGTAAACAATGAAGAATTAAATTCAAGATACAAAAAGTGTAGTGCTAACAAAACTTTGTTCAAATCCAGTAACAATATGTATGACATATTTAAACATCAAACACTATGTACCCAAGCACAATACAACCAGGAACATGACAGCATAAACAGAAAATCATTCTCAGGAGAGGAGGGAAAAATATTTCCTTCTTCAAATTCAACTATGCCGCCATCAAGCAAAAATTCTGAATTAGATTCATTAATGGACCTTTGTCCAATTGAGATTAACTCAACATGTGGAATTAAAGCTAAACTCTATGAGGAAACTAACGGAGAAATTTTATTCTGTAAAAATCAGACTTCTAACAAAGAAGTTAAAAGAGTACAAGAAGAAGAAAAAGTTGAAAATATTAGACAAGCTCAAACATTTTATTTTGAAAATTTATATGAAGTGGATAATGATATCTGTGATGCTAACTTCACACCATTGCTTGATGAAAATAGCAAAAATTGCCAAAATAAAGAATGCCAAGATATTACCAATTCAATTAGTGTTGAACCAAAAGTGGAAATTATTCTTGAAAATCATCCTTGTGACTTGACATATAATATTCAAATCCAAGCAACAAAAGTTGACAAGGAAACAAGACTAACAAATTATGTCCATGTTGAAAATTCGTCACAAAAAAACCTTGTATCATTAAATGACAGCAAACAGCCAATGGTAATTGCGAACACCAATAAATCTGATGAATCAAATGAAAATGATTTAGAGGTTCACAATGTAAAGCCAAGAATAGAATTTGAATTTATCGTTCCAATAAAACAAGACTCTTCTCCAATGAAAACACCACGTGAATCAACTGAAATAAAACCATCAGATAATGATTGTTTTCAAAACATTAATATGGTGTTTCCATTAAAAGAAAATAAAAAGTCCATATACAATGTTGTCACTTTACGTGAAGATCAAACAGAAACTGAAGTGAGAAAAGAGATGACATTTGATAAAAAGATATATGAAAGGGTTTCAATATCAGATACATATAACATGGCACCAAATTCCCAAATCTTCATGGAACAATATGCTGTTAAAAATTCAGAACAAGTTAAAATTAGTGATTTCTGTAACAGCTTATCATCCATTGATAGACAGGCATTATCAAAGGAACCAATCGATACATGGCAGCAAACTACATATGAAATATTGGACAGTGGCATATTTGAAATGAAAAATGATGTAACATTATTTGAGGAGCGTAAGGAAGTTGAGAAGGCGCATTCCGAAGTATTTTGCATGAATAACCAAGTTGCAATAGATAGTAAATGTCTGCCTCTAATAGCTACACACAAAATAGTCAGTAGGACGACATCATACACTACAATTCAAACTTGCAATTCTGATGCGTCCCTTTGTACAAGGGAACAAGAGCACGATTTTTCTCCAACAAAAAGTTCTAAAATACATTATGATAACAAATCAGCTACAACAAATTCAGAAATTTCTGAAATCTTAAATAACGAGATAATACAGTCGAAAAATGGTGTTTCAGAAAAATTTAAGCAAGGTAATTTTGAGACGGAAAGCAGAAGTTGTAATATTGATAGTCCAAAATTAACACCTCATGATTCTGTAAGCAATGATTGGAGTGATCCAGAAGATCATACCAGGCTACACACAAATAGTCCGATCGCCGAAATGTCAGAATATAAAACACTTACAGTAGATGAAAATTTACAAATATCAAAACCCAGGCAATTTCCAATTTCAAAATCTGATGATATTGTTCTTGTTGACATAAGATCAAGCAAAGAGCTACTAGATGTGACACCAAACATTACAAACATAAATTATACAACACAAGAAATAGAATACTCAGATAAATTTTCCTTAACAAACAACACTCATTCTGATGCTGAAGATTTGTTAGATATTCACAGAATAATGCAAACATTACAACAGGAAAATTATAGCAAATGTGACCAAATTGCACAGACAGGTCGATTAAATGTGGTAAGCCAACATACACAAATAAAATTAAAACCTCAAACTCCTAAATTGCAGTTTCATACAATTGTTCATGCAAACATAATTGGCACCTCAGCAAGAATACAACCAAAAACAACAGGAATTCGAAATAAAAAGTTCAGGAAATGTAATACATTAGTCAACAAACTTAGATTTAAAACTAACCATTTGACTAACAAAAGTTATATACACAAGCACATCAACCATAATCAGACAAAACCTGAAATAAATTATCCTGATATTCCTAACACGAATGAAGATTGTACTTCAGACTTTCAAAGTCAAACATTACTACAAGAACCTTGTAAGAAACTTGAACAAGTGGTCCAAACTGAGGAAAAAGTAATGGTTTTAACTGAACAATTTATACAAACTGATGAAATAGATAGGAATGTTACAGATCATTCAACACAAAGTGACAAAGTACACCCAAAAACAAGTGAAAAGGGTATACAAATGGAGCAAGCAGCAGTGCTCAAAGAACAAATTTCACAGACTGAGGAATTTGCCATGCTTACGTTTGAACAAAGTGCACAAACAGAAGAAAAGAACAAGAGTACAAAGGAACAATTTATACAAACTAATGAAACAGGTACAACCAGTGAAAAAATTGTTCAAACTCAGATATTAGCACAGGTTGTAATTGAAGAAAGTACACAAACTGAGGACAATAGTATGAATGCAAAGAATGAAAATACTCAAACTGAGACAATCACTATTAGTTTAGAAGAACAAATGATACAGACCGAGGCAGATACCATTTGTGTTTTTGAACTGGGTATTCAAACTGAAGAAAAGTGTACAAATATATCTAATGAATCAGTACAAACGTTGGATAGAATAACTATACAAACTGAACAGAACACACAAACAGAAAACATAGCTATTAGTGTAGGTGAACAAACTCAGGATGTAGTTAAGTGTGTTACTGAACAATTTACACTAATTGAAGAAACATGTATAACCAATTGTGAACAATCAATGCAAACTGTTGAAATAAAGATTAAATCAAATGAACAACACGTCCAAACTACAACAGCTCATGATGAAGAAATTGAACAGATTGAGGAAATACCTGTATATCTCCAAGAACAGTTAATACAAAAAGATGTATCCACACAACGCACAGAAATGTTAGAATCACCTACTACAATGTTAAACTCTGGTGAGATAGATTCTGAGAGGATAGGAATAGATAATGTTGAGAATGAGTCCATCACAGAAATAAATGACGAAGAGTCCTTTTTAAGCCCTATTATAACGTGCATGGAATCAGAAATAGAATCCGTCGATACTACCACAAGTGAAGATTCAATGTATGATGTTAAAATTAAAACATTGCCGCCAGAATTTGAGGAAAATAAGAAAGATGGTTTTGAGAGCCAGCAATCAAGGGCAACATCAAAAATGAATCTATCAGCTATCAAAGTCTACGAACAGAACAATCATGTTGAGTTAATAAATATTCAAACCCCAATGGAATTCACAAATGAATTTGACAGCATAAATGTAAAAAACAGGAACATTATTATGCCAGTTTATAATGCCAAGGAGGATACGTTAATATTAAATGATAATTTTCAAGTCGACATAAAGGACAACAGTGTGAGTGGATTAGAATCAAAAATGGAAGAAATCACAATGGACACATTAAACAATGGTGTTATAGATTCTGATTGTGAAGAACATGAATATTTCAATTTAGATCAGTCCTTTGGCCATAATAATCCAGAAAGGATAGAAACACAAGTAGGAAACTTGAATTTTGCAATTAAAGAAAGAGCAAGAAGCAAAAAACATTGTAAGTAAACTATATTTCATAAAATTACATTAAAAAAGATTAAATATAAATAAATAATGTACAAATACATTTGTATGGGTAATTTCATCATTGACCATTCCAAAATGTAAATCTGACCTAACTCTGTAATAAAAGTTAATATGTCTTATGTTTTTAGATACTCGACCATGTTCACTAATATTAAGTTTAAAATACAGACCTTTATTACCAAACTTATTCAGAAACAGGAGAAAGAAGCATTATAAAATCAACCCGGACATTGATACTCTACCAGCTTACAATGAAAAAACTGAGAGAATGGGCATAACTAAAAACAGCGATACATGGGCTAACCCGGAAAGTAATGATTATGATTTTACTCTTATCCCTTCTGATCTAGCAACATTACCCAGATGTGATGAGAAAGCCTTAGAAGATGAAGTTGTGCAATCAAAACTGCAAACATTTACAGATAATAAACTACTTTTACAGAATGTTGATGGAAATGTAGGAAATCAAAACTCCAGAACTAAGAACAAAGGCAAAAACATAAAAACATGTAAGTTATGAATTTTTAGTATATTTTTCTGACAGAACAAAATCATTAGTTCATAACAATTAACTTTTTTCTGGAAAATAGCCCTAGTTTTATTTTGCTGCTTCCAACTTCAAGAACTATCATGTCATAGAGAATTGCAGAATTTTTTGAAGAAAGAATGTTTTCCTTGTGTCTAATGTGCAGTAGTGTACCTTCCATAGCAAAAACAAGTATTCACCATTATTTATTATTTCTTTGAATTAATTAATCTGTTTATGTAAGGTTTTGGTTGAAATGAAAAAGTTAGTGTCACGAGCCGGATTCAAACCCACGACCTTCAGCTGGTGGGTTCAAATCCTGCTCATGACACTAACTTTTTCATTTCAACCAAAACCTTACATACACAGATTAATTAATTGAAAGAAGTAATTTGGTCAATCAGACCACTAAATATAATGGATTATTTGTTATGATTTGTAGCTTGTTTCTTACAACATTTGTTGTTAACAGTGATTAAAACATGTACATTTGGAGAAAAATGTTAACTTAGGATAATATTTTTATGTAAATAATTATCAACTAAACAAATCTTCAACATAAAAAAAGTACACATTTAACTTATTAACTATGTATATAATTTTTAATTCACTATTTTCGTGACCAAAAAATGTTTTACATTGCAAATTTTGTTTTCAGATTCATGGCCAAGTTCGATAGTTTACAGGCTAAAATCCCAATCGGTCCCATTAAACATATTTACACGCAAAACAAAAATGGGGCATCTGAGATCAAAGTCTGCTATGGATTATGATACAAACATTAAAAATAAACATTATTCTTCAAGATTTGCGAAAACAGTAAAACACAAACGTACACGTAGATTGTGCAGTTCTTTACCAACCGAAAATCTCACTGCCTCTTCAATAAATGTATGGGATTACTTCACTAGATCACCATTCAAGATGACTTATGAGGGAGACTACATTGACAACATTTTAAACTCAGGATTTCAACCGAATAAGGCAACAGATAATGAGTGGGTGAGGAAACTACCAAAATCTGAAGAACATAAATGTTTAGAGGATATTGGGGATTTAGATTTTCAAGAAGCTAATACTAATAAATACAGTGCTGAAGAATCTCCAACTTTAAATATCCCCCTGTTAAAATCAGCCAGTGACGTATCAGCATCAGAAACTTCAGATGATGAAACCTGTGCAAACAAAAAATTTAAAGCACCTATTTTATTGCCAGCAAGTCAGGGGCAAATGCGTGTGATTCAAGCATGGCCAGAGAATGGAACAAGTATTAAGTTTATGACCAGGAAGAAGGACAAATCGGTTGAACAGCATGTCCCAAGCAATGTGTTAATAGACGAAGAATACGCTTTACGAAAAAAGGAATCCAAAAAATTTGACGATATTACAGTTGAAGATTTATCATTTCAAGTATTTGACACAATAGTTACACAACTAAAACCTTGTCATATTGAGATCGCTAACAATGAACAAGAAACAGAGTATCCACAAACGATTAAAACACTTGAACCTAGTACAAAAAATATTAACAAACAAATGAAATTTTTTCCCACGCAAAATGAGCCTCAACAATTTGAAGACCTATTAATTGCAGACTTGACAACACAAACGTTTGATAGCACAGTTGTAGGACATAAACCACGCTGTTTTGAAATACATAAGAGCAGCCAGGACATTGATTGTAGAAAACAGGAAGTAAGAGTTCATGCACAAGAAAGAGGTCACCCATTAAAAAGCAAAACTGGTATTTCTTCATCTGTGCTACAAGATGATGATATTGTGTGGGTAAAGCCACTGCACCCACTCAATTCTAACAATCATAGCTTTGGTAACAATATTGAAAAGAAAGCTTTTTTACCAATGCAAAATTCAGTGGTGTTAAAACAAAAATGTCTTACAAAAAAACAATCTGAAATGGATTTGTGTAATGATAATCTTAAAGGCAGCAATACTAGATACTCTGAATTTAATTCACTATTCACTTCACCACAAAAAATTGACAGAACTTCTGGTTGTAGAAACCTTAAAAAAGAGATAAAATTGTCTTCAGATTATAAGGTTTCCCACCATTCATCAATTTCGGAAAAGCCTCTGATTCCAGTTAAAAAATGTACAAATGCAAGCTCTTTAAGAATATATTCTCCTCAGAGTTCATCAAATAAGGAAATTTATTCTACTCACAGCCCAATCAAATTGAAACAAAGAAAAAATGTATATTTGAATAAATGCAAATCTTGTCCAGATGTTTATAGACAGAAAAGCAATTTGAGGAAACATAAAGTCAAATCTATTACAATTAAAAGATCTCTTGGTCAGCTATTTCCAAAGTCAAACAGACAACGGAACTCGGTGAAGTACAATGAATATCTACGTGATCTGAAAAAATGTTACCAAGTAAAATATTCAGTAGATAGTGAAAGCATAGATGAAGATCTTGCCATCATGATGGAATACGCTAGGCACAAAAAACACAAACCAAAAAAGAATAATGCTAGAGAATCAGAAGATTACGAAATAATTAAAACTGTGTTAGCTTGTGTCAACTGGATGAATGACATTATTACAGACACAGATAATTTCTCTGATGGCAACATGATGAATAACAACAAAAATGAAGCAATTACTTCGCTGGACCAACCTTCAATAACAGAAACCCTGCCACTTACAGAAAACACAAATCTTGCAAAAGAAGTTAGCAGTCCTGTGTCTGGGGAAGCTAGAAATTGCATAGAAAGATGCAGAGAAGACACAAACCTAAAAGTAACATCAAAAATTACCTCTGCTGTAAATTTGAAGAAATGTTATCCATATTTCCAAAATTTATAAATATGTTGCACTATAAATAAAAGAATAAATAACTTTAAAACCAGTTTATTTAAATAATACTATAATTTGGTCTATCTTCTCTGTGTTGGCAATAGTAACAGTAATTTAAAAAAAAAACAATTGCTTTATGTGCAATAAACTTTATTAAAAATATTGGGATCAAATTATATCCAGTACATAGTTGTGAAAAAGACTGAAATAAGACAATGTTGGTTGTTTTGCTCTGTACTTTTAACAGACTATACAAAGAAATCTAACAATATTATTACAAGCAATACAGATAACTTGTTGTTCAGCTTGGGAGTTCCAGATATTTTGGATTAGTTCAATTAATTTCTATCTGTTCATTAACATTACATTGTATTAGAATTGATGACGGTTTAAGTGACTGACTCTATTGAGTATCTTTATATAAGGTATTGGTTGAGATAAAAAAGTCAGTGTCACGAGCGGGATACCTTACATAAAGATTAAATAATTGAAAAGAAGTTATTTGATCAATTGGACCACAAACTAATGGATTTAATAATTAAAATGAAGTGTGTCCTTCACTAAAGCTCTCCGTGGCCATTTCATTTGTCGCTGAGAATCAAATAGATTACACATTTGAAAAATGGCAAAAAGGAGGAGGGAAAATTCAAAACGTGGGTTGAGATGGGAAGTTAGTGTCCAAGTAGGATCGAAGACATGATAGCTTGTAGAGCAGCAGCGTATTTAGCCGAAGGTCATGGGTTTGAATCCCACTTGTGACACTGTCTTTTTTATCTCAACCAATACCTAACATAAAGATTAATTAATTGAAAAGAAATTATTTGACCAATCGTATCACAAACTCTAATGGATCTCTTGAGTATGTTCTTCTGGGCACTGTGTTATGACCAATTTTATTTTTGATTTATATTGACAGTATTTTGTTTAAAAATGTATAATGGAATTTAATAAAGAAATAGATGGGCTTAAATCAAGTAGGGTTGATACAATATGCTTATGGAAGTGAATTAATTGTGCAATCGTTTTATTAGAAATAGAAGAGAGAAATGAAGAACAATTTAAAATTCTTGAAATACTGAGCATCCCTCTAAAGTGATTTATGATAGGAAATAGTTATTTGAAGATCGTGAGATGCGGTTTGGTGTGACGTAGGTTTCAGAGAAACATTTTCTTTATTTTACCAACGTCTTGATCTTTATTGAGATCATCTAGGCTCAAAGTGTTAGTTTTCTGCGTAATTGTGTGATAAGAGGGCACTCTCAACACGACATAAAAGAATGTCACAATTATGCAGAAGACAAACACTTTGAGCCCTGAGAAGATGAAACGTTGGCACAGTGAAGAAAATGTTTTTCTAAAACCTACATCACACCAGACGAAGCCCCACGATCTTCAAATAATCATTAACTAAGGTCACATAGGTCACTAAACTCCATGCATAGGAAATAGTATTATATCAATTATTTTAGAGCTGTTGTAAACAAATTGTCATTTCAACTCCAAAAGACCTGACATTGGCTTTATTATTTCCATGTTAGGGCCCTCTTCTATTTCCTTTGTATGTCAATCATATCTCATATGTTTTTACTTATCTTTTATTTTCACATATAAAATGACGATTGATTATTATGAATGTAATAATACATTCTAATTGTAGCCCTATCAAGTTAAAGCAAAAAAAAAATATATATACATGAATAAATGCAAATCTTGTCCAGATATCCACAGATGGAAAAGTAATTTGAGGAAGGAACATAAAGTCAAATCTAATGTAAATAAGAAATATTTTGGTTTGTTATTTCCAAAGTTAAAGAAAAAAAGTAAACCCACGAAGTACAAAAATATCTGTGATCTGGAAAAAAAAATCCCAAGTAGACTATTCAGCAGATAGTAAATGCTTTATAGATGAAGATTTTGCTATGATGATGAAATATTCTAGATACAAAAAACACAAACCAAAAAGAGAAGCAAAAGTTGAAATAATTAAACCTGCATAAGTGTGTGTCAACTGGATGAATGACATTACAGATACAGATTATTTTTTACATTACTGACAACATCAAAAACAAAGCAATTACTTCTTTGGACCAACCTTCAATAACATAAAGACCAGAACTCACAGGAAAAGTAAATGTTGAAAAGCAAGGTGCCCTGTGTCTGGAGCAAATGGAAATGACATTGAAAGATGCAGAGAAGAGATAAAACTAAAAGCAACATCAAAAATGCTGAAAAGTTGAAGAAATGTTATCCTTATTTCCGCAATTAACTGTGTTGTAATGTAATAAAAAATAGATAACTTGAAAACCATTTTATTTCAATAATACTAATATATTGTAATTCGGTCACTGTTCATTTTGGTCTGCTTGTTCTCTGTGATGGTAATAGCAACTGTTAAAGTTTAATTTTTTTAAATTGCTTGTAGTGCAATAGACACTAATACTTATATTGTCTAAAGATTGGGATTCAATTTTATACATATTTAGTAATAATTACAATTAATTAAGGTTTTTAGTTGAGATAAAAGAGTCAATGGCACAAGCGGGATTCGAACCCATGATCTTCAGCTAGATAATTTAAAATTTCTGGCTTTTTTTGTCTTAAACACTTCAGAGAGTTTTGGTTTGATAGTGTAATATGCTGAGCTATGATAATCTTACCCCAGTTAAATTTCTCTATTTTAATGTAAATCTCTAATTTATTATTTTGCATTCATATAATATATTGTTGAGATAATTATAATTCAATTAATTAAGGTTTTTAATTGAGATAAAAAAATGTCACAAAGCGGGATTCGAACCCACGACCTTCTGCTAGATATGCCGCTACTCTACCACTTGAGCTATCGTGACCTCGATCCACTCGGACACTAACTTCCCATCTCAACCCCGTTTTTTTATCTCAACTAAAAACCTTAATTAATTGTAATGTATTAATTGGTCAAGCGGACCACGAAATTAGTGAATTTAGTAATAATAGTGAAAAGGTGAAATTTACTTTTAACAGACCACACAGAAAAATCTAACAATACTATTATGGTCCTCTGTGTTAGGACAACTTTTATTTTTGAGTTATATTGACAGTATTTGACAAATATTGGTACATTTGTTTATTATAATTTTCTAAAGAGCCCAGCCTGTCGTATTACCTATGAATTTAAAAATCCTCTATGTTTTGTCCATCTTTATAAAGCTTTTGTACAACCCATACTAGAATACCCTACACCTGTTTGGAACCCGTACTATCTAAATGATCAAAAAATTCTTCAATCTGTACAAAACAAATTTTTAAAAAAACTTTCTTACAAACTCAATCTTCCTCCAAACTCTATCTACCCTGGAATCCGTTCTGAATTTAAACTTTTTGAACTGGCACTAAGAAGGGATTGGCACTTTGATATTGTTTTTATATTTAAATTATTAAACAAACTCATTGTTTAATGTTTTTATGTCTTTCTCCCCTCTCTCAGTTATAGCTACACGTCTCTTCGCACTTTCTCAAAACCCACAAACTATTTTATATTGAATTCCAAAGCTCTAACTATATTCACTCTTCTCCTCTACACAGAATGATGATCAAAACTAACATCTGCATTAGCATTGACTTCTTCAATAGTTCTGTGCAATCTGTGAAAAACCATATCCTACAACCCTAGTTTAGTTGAATTTTCTTACCAGTTTATATTTTTTTAAATGCTTTTATATTTCATACTGTTAAAAATTTATTTTATTTACTGGTTCACCTAAATCTTGCACTCTAGTCTTATTATATATCTACAATGACCATTATTTTCATTAAAAATGCACCTAAATATTATATTTTCAATTGTCTTTCAACTTTATTTTGTTTACGTTGCCTTAATTTGGTTAGTCTTTCATTTTTGTTGTTCAGTTTTTACTCTTTAATTGTATTTTTATATTTATTATTTGTATGTACCGTTTATAATATTACCATGTATATATGTCCTTATTCTTTTTATATATATTATTTGTATTTTTTACATATATTGTTTTGTATATTATTTTTATTTTTTGTTATTGTAAAATGTCTTTTTATAGTGGATTTCGATCCATAAATAAACAAATAAAAAGATTATTTAATCATGGATAGTAAGCGCAATCTAATATTCTTTAAAGTTCCTCAATGACATATGATGTGATTGATGATAGGAAACAGGATGATAGGAAACAGTATGATAAAACAAAGGTGAAAATTATACTTTGCAATTTAACCAAGACCTTAGATAAAAAGTATACTTAATTAAAATTATTCTATCTGGTGAAATTTTATGGAAGTTTTTTGTGTTGATGATACTGCCAGAGTGCCATCTTACAGAGCAGTAGGGAAACTGTAGCAAGAGAGACAGATTTTTACCCTAAATTCTAAAATTGTACTATAAAAAACAATGTGTTGAGAGTCAGTCTTCTTTTTAACCCTAAGAAATATTTTTTAATAAAATGAGTACCACAACAGATGGGCCTTCATACCATGCATTGTCCTTCGCTTAGAGGAAATCCTGAGAGAAACCACCAACAAATCTGTGAGTCTCCTAAATTTATATTAATGAAATTGGCCATCATTTTGCTGCACTTTCCTGCCATACTTTTAACCCCGAATTCCAGTCTCAAAAATACCAATAATTAAGCACTGGTTTTACATTGTTCATTGTGAAGTAATTACTTATATAAACAGCCTCAAAATGACAAATAGCATAACAAGAATTTTCTATTAAAAAACTTCCTTTTTTTGGAGAGGTAAAGTTAAGACGTCTTTAATACGATTTAAGACTTTTGGATTCTCCTTGCCTCATTAAGAACAAGAACAAATTAATTACGGTAAAATTAGGAAAAAAATTGAGCCACTTTGGAACATGAAAAAATGTGAAATGGCTGAGAATTTTATAATGAACACACTGAAAAGTAGAAATGATAAACCCTGAAAATGAAACGGATCTAATTCAAAGAAAAGATTTAGTAGAAGTAGTTAGCAGAGCTAGGACAAAAACACGCAGACACTATTAATTCTAATGCAGATAATGAGGAGTATATCATTGAACAACATATCATGACATTCTACACGACAGGATTGATGAAAACTTGCTATTTACTTATGAAGATATGGATACTACAATAAAACCAATAAACAAATAATTATCCAACCTGCAAGTGTGTCCGAAAATGATAAAAGGAAGTCATAATTGGCAAATTGAACAGCTTATTCTGTTAAAGGATGAAAAGTCATTTCCACTGAAATGTCCTTTAGCAAGAGTGTGAGACACATACAGGAGCTGATGGATTAATTAGGGATAGCGACCCTAAAATCCCGAAACAAAGTTGTAAAGAGACCAATAAACAAAATTGATCATTTACCAACCCAAATCATAAATGAAAATTCACTTGGAGAAGAAAAAGTTTGAAGTTTCCTTTAATTTGAATTTGATACCAAACTTATATATTCTTTTCTTTTGTTTTATCTAATATTACTTGTTTACTCATCAAATTATGTTGAATACTTCTAATTATTTCAAAGTATACACTACTAACAATTTGATAATTTATTATATTTGTATTGAATCAATTAGTTGTCCAGTCATGTTAATGTACTACTCTTATTTGTCTTTCACTGATGCTGCCATTTTGCAGAGCAGTATAGGGTCTGTAGCAAGAGAACTCGATTATTACAGAAAACAACTGTGCTAATATTGAAAATTATGTACTATTTTGGTGTTGCGTGATTTTTCAAATGCATTTGAATCCAATTAACCGTAGTTCCTTTCTAACCAGGCTTTGCTAACAATTTAATTCAAGCTTTACGATTTGTAAATTTTTTAATTCATAGCCGAGTAGTCGCTCACAAGTTGTCAATTATAGCTCCTAAAGATCTGACATTAGGATTAGATTGGGTTTTCTAATATCTCTGGGCATTTTACATCATTTACAACAGTTTTTACTTATTCCTCATGGAGCCATATAGGTATTTCCTCAGCGCGAACAAATTATTCATTTATAGCTGTTCTAGTTGGTACATCTAATTTATTCCTTTGTAATATTGTTCTTTCCTTCAGTCCACATCCATACTATTATCCTCAGTTTGTTTATTTTATTCACGTACAACCAATGCCACATTCTCTGTTTCTACGATTTTTTTCACTTATTTTATCTAACATTTTATGAGTTTGTATAATTTCTTCCTTTGTACTCTTGTTCGTTCCTTCAGTCTGTGCACTCAATTGTTCAGTTATAACATTTCTTTTAATTCAGTTTGGACCACTTGTTTAAATCTTACAACGTTCTTGTAGTGATATTTGACATTGAAAGGCTGAATTACAATTTTCATTCGTGTTAGAAACTTCATTACACCTTATGTCCTCAGAATCAATCTGATTTGAATTTAACATTAGATTAGACTAGATTTTATGGCATATAGTTTACTTACGTTTTATTTGTTTCTCCTTAATTTCAAAATTGGAGTATCCTACTTGTGTTTCTACCGTTTCTGGATTATTATGACAAAAGAACTTATCTAAGCCGAAATTTTCAACCTAACAATCAAAATTTATAACACCGTTGTTCTATGTGTCTTTAGTGTTTTCTTTCATTTTCGATTTCAATTTAGTCACAAAGCTGTCCTTTATGTCAACTTGAAAATCTTCATTTAGTATTAATTTTCTTTTTAACTTTTCCTCCTTGGCATTGATATCTGACATAATAATGGTGTCCCTGTCTTTTAAATTAATGCTGTCTAATTCTTCATTTATGAATTGCATAGGGGATTGAATATTGTCTGGTTTGGAATTTACATTAGCTAACGGCTTCATTTTTAAAGATGTTTGTGAACGGTGCTTTTCCAAACGCTCCTTCATATTATCATCAAATTCAGGTAGCAATGTTTGAAACTTGCCATCAGGCAATGAATCGTCACTTGAGATGGGATGTGCAGACACTATTAGTGCTTCCATGTTTGCTAACATGGAGCTTAAAAAGGACTCTATGTCATTCATTACAAATACGTTGTGATAATGGTTGGACTCAATCTCAATGTTATCTATTTCTCCTAGGTCATCAGAATCAGTCTGATTGGAGTTTAACATTGGATTAGATGAGCTTTCTAATATCTCTGTGTTTTGTATATCATTTACTACAGTTTCTGTTAGTTCCTCATAGAGCCATACAGATATTTCCTCCGTCTGTACAATTTCTTCATCTATAAGAATAGTATTTTGTACAAGTCCATTTGATTTAATCTTTTTTTCTAAAGTTGGCATTGCTTGGTCACCATTGGACACACATGCTTCTTCAGTAAGTGTAAATTGTTCACTCACGCACTTAACTACTTCTTGTGTTTGTACACCTACGCTAATAGCTGTGCTCTCCGTTTGTATGATCTGTTAATTGGTGTAACGATTCTTGGCAGAGTTTGTACTGATTCATTACATATGTTTGTACAATTTTCCTAAGTTTGAAAACTCTGTTCACAAACTCTAATGGGATTCTCCTCAATCTGTACCATTTGTTCCTCTAGGCCAATAATAGTTGTCTCAGTTTGGATATTTTCATGCTTTGCATTCAAAAATATTGTCCTCAGTTTGTGTACATTCTTCATTTATAGCCAGTGCTACGTTCTCTGTTTGTACAGTTTTATTATCTAACATTTCGTAAGTTTGTACAACTTCTTCCTTTGTACTCTTGTTCTTTTCATCAGTCTGTGCACTCTGTTCAAATGTAAACAAAGCTAATTCCTCAGTCTGTGATATTTGTTCTCTGAGCATTGCTGCTTGGTCCTTTTGTATACCCTTTTCACTTGTTTTTGTGTATACTTTATCACTTTGTGTTGAATGATCTGTAACATTCATATCTATTTCATCAGTTTGTATAAATTGTTCAGTTACAAACATTGCTTTTTCCTCAGTCTGAACCAGCTGTTCTAATTTCTTACATGGTTCTCGTGGTAATGTTTGACTTTGAAAATCTGATATACAGAATTCATTTGAGTTAGCAACTTCATCACACGTTATTTCAAGTTTTGCATCATTACATCTCACGTGCTTGTTTGTACAACTTTTGTTAGCAACATGGGTTTTACGTTTAAGATTGATAGCCAGCTTTTTAAACTGACTGAACTTTCTATTTCCAATACCTCTTGTTTTTTGTTGTATTTGTGCATTGCTGCCAATTATGTTTACAAGCACTAACGTAATAAATTGGAATTTGGGAGTGTAAACATTCAATTTGGTTTCTGTATGTTGACTTGCCACATTTAATTGATCTGTCTGTATATTATGGTCACATTTACTGTAATTTTCCTGTTGTAATGTCCGCGTTATACTTTTAGTTACTAACAGATCTTCAGCATTATAATGAATTTTGTGGTTTGTTAATTTACAATTATCTGAATAATCTATTTCTTCTATTGGATTTTTTATAATTGCCATCGCATCTGTTAACTCTGTGCCTGATCCTGTCTTGTCATCAGATTTTGACATTCGTGGTTCTCTGGAATTCAACATCACTAGCAAATTTTCATCTAGGGTGTATGTTTTATATTCCGATATTTCAGTGCTTGGATGGTTATTTGTGTATAGGCTGGCAGGATCTTTTGAATCATTACATTCATTATTTACATAATCCAGAGGAGTTGATTTTGCACTATCAATATTACAACTTCTGCTTACCATCTCAAAATCACCTTGTTTACATTCTTTCGAAACAGTATTTTCCAATTGGATTCTCTCATTATCCAATATTTTTGAAATTTTGGAATTTGTTGTAACAGAATTGTCACACTTATTATAATAAACTTTTAGAGTATTCATTGAAAAAAAATTAGTCCCTTGTTCACTTGTACAAAGGGACTCTTCGGAATTGTACGTTTGAATTGTAGGGTATGATGTATTCCTATTGGCCATTTTTGATGTAATTACTGGAGACAGACATTTATCATCTATTGCCATGGGTTCATTCTTACAAAATACTTCAGAATGACCCTTCTCTAGAACAGTATGCTCCTGAAATATTATTACATCATCATCATCTGACCATCTCGTCTCAGAATTATCATTTTTCATTTCAAATATACTACTGTCCAATAATTTATTTGTAGAGGGCTTCCGTGTAATGTGTGGTTCTTTTGATAATCCTTGTTTATCAATGGACGATAAGTTGTTACATAAATCATTTATACCAATTTGTATTGGATTTTTAATTGTGTGTAGTTCATTGAATATTTGGGAATTTGATACCATGTAATATGTATCTGACGCTGCAATCCTTTCATCTATGCTTTCACCAAATTTCATCTCTTTTCTTACTTCAGTGATCTTTTGAATCTTACAATCATTATTTACAGAAACCTGAGGTGTTGATTTTCGACTATCAATACTAGAACTCCTGTTTACTTCTAATAGTGCTAACTTCACATCTGCCAAATAATCGCTTACTTTTCCTATTTCTTTCCCCTCATTTGTTATCCATCTTTCCCTTAACCCATCAGCATTTGAATTAATATTGAGGTTATTTTTTATTTATTTTACTTTGGTTAGTTTTTTTTTTTTTGAATTTTTTATTCATCAGTAGTAAATAAAATCAATATTTAAATCTCACTGATTATTTGTTGAAGTCTGAGTTGCATTAATAGGTAGAATTTGTATTTCCTGTTTGTAGAGGCACTTTTAATTGGGTGTGAATTTTTCTTTCATCCACTGTTTTTTGTTTTTTTATCGATGTGCAAAAGGTAAAGACAAACTCAGATTATTTCTCTTTATATTTTTATTTTATTTTTGTACATTTTTAAAACATAATATACTATAATATTTTGCCGATTAAGTCGATATGAGAAAGAGAGGTCAATAGTGATGATCTGTCGAACATTTCATACGAAAGGTGTTTTGATGTTCAAATTATTTTAAAATTGTAAACATTGGTCATTGGTGCTGAAATTACCAAGCTGTCAATAGACTCAGAGTCTAACTTTGGTTGGTAGGACAGACAATAGTGAGAGTAAGACAATGGAGAGTAGGACAATAACAAATAAATTTTAAAAATTATAATATTAACATATGATTTTTTTCCAATCTTATGAGAATAGTTTCCATGGTACCAAATATTATTTGTTAAGATAAAAAGTTGTCAACTAATTTGGTTGGTTAATTTAAAACTAACTGAGGCAATGGAATATCCTAATGAAAAACCGAGCACATCAAAAGGTAATTATTCATCAGATTTATCTATGTATAATCACCAATATTTATATACAAAAAAGAACGGAACTGTTAAAAAGAAGTGGAGCAGTATTTCTTTTAAAGTAAAGAACTTTATTAATCGAAAATTTACCAAGTCGTTCAAACATAATGTAAAGAAAACAAAATTAGAAGGCATCTGTGTAGAAAATCACTCCAACAATAAAAATTTAACGATACGTAATAGACCCTATTGTTTCAATATGCTACCACATAACATTCAAAATGACATTGACCAGATCAAACAAATTTACAATCGTTTATTGAAATGGATAGAAAATTTAAAGAAATTCCTGCACAATCCTAAATATGTTAAAAATTCAAATGTTAATAGATTAAATGCATTGGTAAAACAATTTGAAAAACAAGAAGAGAGAAATAGTGAAATTTTGAGATCTTTTATTAAAGGTATATATTCGCTTCGGAAGAAGTACAAACAGGAAACAAAAGGTCAACACAGGAAGATATTAAGCAAAATTAATACAAAAAAATATATACAAACTTCAACAAATAATCAGAGAGATTTAAAGACTGCTCATACAACCGTTGAAACTTTACCATTGGTGAATAGAAAATTCCCAAATAGCCTCAATATTAATTCAAATATTGATGTGTTAACTGAAAGCTGTACAACAAATGAGGCTAAAGAAAAGGGCGAAAGTCAGCCATCATTTGGCAGATGTGAAACCAGCACTATCAAAAAGTCACAGGACAAGGAAAATGACAGTAAAGAAATAAGAAGTAAATCTGAACGTCGTCAATCCAATGAACCTGGCGAAGCTGCCACCGCCATTCATTTAACAAATCAGGAATCAATTGAGGAAGAATTATATCTAGCAAAAATCATGGGTAAACTAGAAAAAACAACTATGCTCCTAGGTACAGTTAAATCGGGTTCATACGAACCACAAAAATCTGTTTTGGAAAAATCTGCCCCATCTTCTCAGAACAAAATTATGAGTAAAAATTTTGGAAGTTTGTCTCACAAACAATTAAATATCAATAGAACAGAAAACCTAATGAAACAAAGTAACATTCACATCCAAATAAAAGCACCTGCAAAAACACAAAATACAAATTCTACCTCTCAATCCAACAACATACAAACTGATAACAAATTAACACTACTTGGCAATACAGAAGACTTAATTGCTAACAATTGCTCTTTGCTTGCAATGATCAAGCTAAAGAAGGAAGAAGATCCCATCAAAGCTCAGTTGGTGAAGCAAATAGACGAAAACATTGAATTTTACTCTTACAATTCATTACTTGATATTAATTACCAGTCTTTCCGCAGTTTTTTAAGTGAAAATAGTATGATTTTTTCAGAATATGAAGATAACATTCAGAGTGGAAACTGTTATTATTATAAAAATCATGATAATAGAAATTTTTCTAATACCGCTGAAGCACATCTGTTAGTATCTAATGAAATATTTTCTCAAGAAGATTGGTTTTACGCAGACTTGAAAGATCCATCAGACTTAACCAATAACCTTGAGAGCACATGCACACACACTTACTCAAATGGGATGTCAATTTTGCCCCGTAGCAATGTTGGTTCTCAGTTTGCCGACCTGGAATATTCTTCTGCTTTAAAAGATAGGATAAAACATAGTAGAGATATGAGTAGAAAAAGTTCATACTCTTCCCAATTGAAGAAAATTAGTTCGGAAGTATTGATTTCTCACAAAAGTCTCACTCATAATGACGTGAATCCTAAGAATAATGGAGTCCAAATAAAGGACAATTTCGACGCCGATATACCGCTTCCTCCTGAGCCTTCTTCTAGTGACTCCAACATCGATCTAGAAGATAAATCATTAACAGATTTAAAACAGAATCAATACCTAGGAAAACGTACCCACTTGCTTCGAGCAAACAAAACACTACGAAATCGGAACTATAATATTCCCAGTATATATCCCATTTTAGCAAAAAATGAAGTATTAAATCCAAGATATGAAAAGTTGATTGAGAACAAAACAGAAAAATCCAGCAGCAGTATGGATGGCATATTTAAACAGAAAACGCTATGTACCCAAGAACACTACATCAAGGAGCATACCGGTATAAACAGAAAATTATCCTCAGAACACGAGGAAAAAATATCTGCTTCTTCCAAAGTAACTATGCTGCCATCAAGCAAAAATTCTGAATTAGGTTCATTAAAGGACCTTTCTCTGATTGAAATTAACTCAACATATGGAACTACAGCCAAACTGATGGAGCCAACGTCTCCAGAAGAACTCCATGCAGAAACTAAAGAAATTTTTCTCTCTAAAAATGGGACTTCTATTGACAATGAAGATAAAAATGATTGTAATGATGAAAAAGTTCAAACTATCAGACAACCCCAAACATTTTCTTTTAAAAATTTACATGATATCTGTAATCCTGATTTCACACCATTGCTTGAAAATAATGAAAATTGTCAAAACAAAGAATGCCAAGATATTACCGATTCAATTGGTGTTGAACCAAAAGTTGAAATTATTCCAGAACATGATCCTTGCGATTTGATATATAATATTCAAATCCAAGCAACAAAAGTTAACCAGGAAATAGGACTAACAAATCAAGAAAACCTTGTAACATTAAATGACAACAAAAAGCCAATGAGAATTTTGAACACCAATAAATCTGATGAATCAAATGAAAATGATTTAGAGGTTCACAATGTTCAGCTAAACACAGATTTCCAATTTAGCATTCTAAGAAAACAAGAAGCTTGTCCAAACAACACTTCATGTGAATTGATAGAGATGAAACAATCAGATAATTATTGTTTTCAAAACATTAACATGATATTTCCACAAAATGAGAATTCTGTGTTCAACGACGCCACTTTAGACGATGATCAACTAGAAACTGAATTGAGAAAAGAAATGAAATTTGGTCAAAGCATAGATGAAAGGATTTCAGCGTCAGAAACATATAACATGGCATCGAATTCCCAAATATTCAATGAACTACACACAATAAAAAATCCAATACAAATTGGTATAAATGATTTATGTAACAACTTATCGGCCATTGATAAACAAGGATTATCAAAGGAACCACTCATTACACGGAAGCCCTATACAAATAAATTATTGGACTGTAGTTTATTTGAAATGAAAAATGATAATTCTGAGACAAGATGGTCAGATGATGATGACGTAATAATATTTCAGGAGCATAATATTCTAGAGAAGAGTCATTCTGAAGTATTTTGTAAGAATGAACAAATGGCAATAGATGATAAATGTCTGTCTCCGGTAATTACATCAAAAATGGCAATACAAGGATTATCAAAGGAACCACTCATTATACAGAAGCCCTCTACAAATAAATTATTGGACAGTGATATATATGAAATGAAAAATGATAATTCTGAGACGAGATGGTCAGATGATGATGACGTAATAATATTTCAGGAGCATACTGTTCTAGAGAAGGGTCATTCTGAAGTATTTTGTAAGAATGAACCCATGGCAATAGATGATAAATGTCTGTCTCCAGTAATTACATCAAAAATGGCCAATAGGAATACATCATACCCTACAATTCAAACGTACANTACAGATCATTCAACACAAAGTGATAAAGTATACACAAAAACAAGTGAAAAGGGTATACAAAAGGACCAAGCAGCAATGCTCAGAGAACAAATATCACAGACTGTGGAATTAGCTTTGTTTACATTTGAACAGAGTGCACAGACTGATGAAAAGAACAAGAGTACAAAGGAAGAAGTTGTACAAACTTACAAAATGTTAGATAATAAAACTGTACAAACAGAGAACGTAGCACTGGCTATTAGTGAAGAATGTACACAAACTGAGGACAATAGTTTGAATGCAAAGCATGAAAATATCCAAACTGAGACCGCTATTATTTGCCTAGAGGAACAAATGGTACAGACTGAGGAGAATCCCATTAGTGTTTGTGAACAGAGTTTTCAAACTGAGGAAAATTGTACAAACATACGTAATGAATCAGTACAAACTCTGCCAAGAATAGTTAAACCAATTGAACAGACCATACAAACAGAGAGCACAGCTATTAGTGCAGGTGTACAAACAGAGGAAGTAGTTAAGTATGTGAGTGAACAATTTACACTTACTGAAGAAGCATGTGTGTCCAATGGTGACCAAGCAATGCCAACTTTAGAAGAAAAGAATAAACCAAATGAACTTGTACAAAATACTATAGTTATAGATGAAGGAATTGTACAGACGGAGGAAATGCCTGTATGGTTCTATGAGGAACTAACAGAAACTGTAGTAAATGATATACAAAACACAGAGATATTAGAAAGCTCCTCTAATCCAATGTTAAACTCCAATCAGACTGATTCTGATGACCTAGGAGAAATAGATAACATTGAGATTGAGTTCAACCATTATCACAAGGAATGTGTAATGAATGACATAGAGTCCTTTTTAAGCTCCATATTAGCAAACATGGAAGCAGAAATAGTGTCTGCAGATCCCATCTCAAGTGACGATTCATTGCCTGATTGCAAGTTTCAAACATTGCTACCTGAATTTGATGATAATATGAAGGAGCGTTTGGAAATGCACCATTCACAAACAGCTTTAAAAATGAAGCCGTTACCTAATATAAATTCCAAACCAGACAATATTCAATCCCCAATGCAATTCATAAATGAAGAATTGGACAGGATTAATTTAAAAGACAGGGACACCATTATTATGTCAGGTATCAACGCCAAGGAGGAAAAGTTAAATAGCAAATTAATACTAAATGAAGATTTTCAAGTTGACATAAAGGACAGCTTTGTGACTGAATTGGAATCGAAAATGGAAGAAACCACTATAGACACATTGAACAACGGTGTTATAGATTTTGATTGTGAGGATGAAGATTTTGGCTTAGATAAGTTGTTTTGCCATAACAATGCAGAAACTTGCAATTTTGCAAGTAAGGATAAACGAATGAAATGTAAGTATACTATATGCCATAAAATTGTTTTAATAAAAGGTTAAAAGTAAAGTAAAATTGAACAAATAAATCTGTACAGATAATTTCATGATTGACCATTGCAAAATGTAAATCTAATTAACTTTGTAAAGAAAAGCTAATATGTTTTGCTTTTTAGATACTCGACCATGTTCACTAATTCTTAGCTTAAAATACAGACCTTTATTCCCCAACTTAATCAGAAATAGGAGAAAGAAGCCTCCTAGAACCAACTCGAACATCGATAGGCCCCAAGCTTACAACAAAATGACAGAAAGAGTGAACTTAACTAAAAACAGGGATACGTTTGTTGAGATGGAAAATAACGATTATAAGTTTAGCCTTATAGGAACATTACCCAGATGTGATGAGGAAGGCTTACAAGATGAAATTGTGGAACCACAGCAGCTGCAAACATTTACAGATAATAAACTACATTTACAGAATGGTGATGGAAATGTAGGAAATCACAACTCCGAAACTAGGAAAAAACATAAAACTATAAAACATTGTAAGTTAAAACTTATTTTTAATTTATTTTTCAGAGAGAACAAAATCATTATGAACAATTAATGATTTTTAGAGAATTTTCGTAGTTTTATTGTAAATTCTGCTTCCAGTTTTAAGAAACATCATGTCATTTACAACTGCACAAATTGTCGAAGCAAGAACATTTTTGTTAGTAACAAAAAAGTAGTAGTATACTACCTACAATAAGCACACAATTGTACACCATTTTTTAAATTTTTTCTTTATTTTTTTATGTTTTTTTTTAGCCTGTAGCTCATAAAATTGTTTTTAATAGTTTTAGATAATTATCAATTTAATTGAAGAAACCTGCGACAAAAAAATGTGTACATTTAATTTCTCACATATGTATACAATTTTAAAAATTCATATTTTCAATGGTCTACTGTTTCGCTTATTTCTTTCATACACTGTTTAATAAACATTTGTTCATTGAACAATATAATTTGTTTAATAATTCGGAGTTTTTTTAATGTTATCTTTATGTCAGACATTTGATTTCCATGGCTTTCCACAATTCTTCATCCAAATGGAAAACTCGTTGTTCATAGTTTTTTCAGGCCAAAGTTTCCAATATTTTTCTTTTAGGTTTAGGTCGAGAGCCATTCAAAAATATTTACATTTAGTCCAGCCATTTCCTGTTTTAAGGTTTTAGAAGTATGAAGATAAGCAAAATATCGAGGAGCATTGTCCCATACAAAATATCATCTACGACATAGACCATTTCATACAACAGGGATAAATACGATGGGCTGTATGTAAGTCCAACAATCCTCTCCAGTGATAAATTCCAGAATAGTGTTTTACAGCGTAATTCACCTTAATCTTTGTGTTTCATATGGTTTACTGATCATAATTCAGCACAATTCAAAATGTGTATTCTCCTTGTTGGGTCTGTCTCTAGCAAATCACTTCATATATGGGAAAATTATTTTGCTAGGTATGAAAAACTGAAATGAAAATTGACTCATACCTTGCATCATCTCAATTTGCCCAGTACTTTTTGTTAATGACTTTTGTTATTACTTTTCTCAATTTTACATTGAATTGATGGAGTATCGTTAGAATTGGGCATGTAGTAACATTTAGATTTTCTTTTTTTATTCCAGTTAATGAGTTCTCTTTTGAATCTTTCTTCATTTTAATCTTTTGTTGGCTTAGTTTACAAATTTTTACTACCATGATATCAGTGAAAGAATATTTTTCCCAATTTCGCGGTATCTCATCTTCCACATTTTATTTTTCAACTGTGTGTTCAAATCCATTGAAAATATGTTTTTCTACATCATTTAAAACTTACTGGCTAAGAAAAAACAAAGAGACAATCATTAAGGAATTATATTTGGCAAACTTTGGATTGTTTGTTTTGTGATTAATCTTATATATTGTAAACATTCCAATTTCTTTGCTTTTATAATATTAGTATTTATTTACTATCTATGCACAAAATTGTCAAAGATTTTATACATACTGAAATCAATAACTATTTACTTATTTTTGCAGTATACTTTTTTGTCATGGAGGTGTGAAATTTGAAAAAAAAACTCTTTTTGGATTGAAGCAGATTATTGATATCTTAATTTTCAAATAATATACACGGTTTATTGAAATGAAAAATTTGTGTAAGCACAGGATTTAACTCCAACGCTCAACCAGTTGAGCTACTGTTATTTCGATCTCCCATGACACAAACTTATCGTTTCAATTGCCTTTATTTTTCCAAGATATATAAACTATACAGATGCACATTTTTAATCAATGATCTGTAAACTTAGTGAGAATCATGTATTACTTTTTGATTAATGTTCCAATGTTTAATTTACGATTTTTTTTTCATTTTTATTTGTATTATACGTGGAAATTAATATACACAAAATGAAAAATTTGTACCACTAACTTTGCAGATTATGTAGAAATATTTTGAAAGATTATGACATAAAAATATTTGATAATATTGTACGTACATTAATGAATAATGTAAGTTCACTATCATTAACAAGCTATCTGAGTCAGGTCTAATTTTCAATAATGTATTATTTTAGCAAATCAAACTTGTGTTGACATGCTGAGAGAACAATGCTGCATTAGAACACTTGAGCAAATATATATGTAATATCTGTCATGTAATATTACATTGCAAATTTTGTTTTCAGATTCTCGGCCATGTTCAATAGTTTTTAGGCTAAAATCCCAATCGGTCCCATTAAACGTATTTACACACAAAACAAAGATGGGGCGTTTGAAATCGAAGTCGGCTATGGAATGCGATACAGACATTAAAAATAAACTCTATTCATCGAGAAATGTGGAAAAAATAAAACAAAAACAAACTCGTAGATTTTTCAGTTCTTTGCCACCTGAAAATCACACTACCTCTTTAATAAATGTATGGGACTACTTCACTAGATCACCATTCAAGAGGACTTATGACGGAGACTACACTGATATTATAAACTCAGGCTTTCAACCAAATAGATCAACAGATAATGAGTGGGTAAGGAAACTACCTAAATCTGAGGAACATAAATGTTTAGAGGACATTGGGGATTTAGATTTTCAAGAATTCAGTACAAATAAATATAGTGCTGAAGAATCTCCAACTTTAAATATCCCCCTTTTAAAATCAGCCAGTGACGTATCAGCATCAGAAACTTCAGATGATGAAAAATGCACAAACGTAAAATTTAAAGTACCTACTTTATTGCCAGCAAATCAGGGGCAAATGCGTGTGATTCAAGCTTGGCCAGAGAATGGGAATGATATCAAGTTTAAGACAAGGCAGAAGAAAAAAATGGTTGAACGCCTTGCCCCCATCAATCTGTTAATAGATGAAGAATATGTATTACGAAAAAAGGAATCAAAAAAATTTGACAGGGTTATAATTGAAGATTTATCAACAGAAGAATTTGAGACAGTTACACATCTAAAACCATGTCACATCGAAATTGCTAACAATGAACAAAAAACTGAGTATCAGCAAAAGATTAACACATTTAATGCTAATACAGAAAATCTAAACAAACAAGTGAAATTTTTCTCTGTACAAAATGAGCCTCAACGATTCGATGACTTAATAATTGAAGACTTGGCAACAGAAACATTTGATATCACATCTGTAGGACTTAAACCGCGCTGTTTTGAAATACATAAGAATACCCAGGACCATGATTACAGAAAACGTGATGTAAGAGTTCATGCACAAGAAACAGACCACCCATTAAAAAGTGAAAATGGCTATTCTTCATCTCTGCTACAGGATGATGGTATCGTGTGGGTAAAACCACTGCATTCGCCCAATGCTGATAATCGTAGCATTGATAACAGAATTGAAAAGAAAGCTTTTCTACCAATGCATAGAAGTCAGAAATATAAAAGTACAGATACGAAATGCTCATTGTTGACTAAAGAATTGAGACCGTGTGAAGATGTAAGGTTGGATAACGTTACAAGAGCCGACAAAGATAATGCAATAATGAATGCATTTGGATCTATGATGGATTTGTGTAATGATAATCTTAAAGACAGCATTACTAGACACTTGGAATTGAATTTGCCAATCACATCACCACAAAAGATTAACAGGACTTCTGGCCTTATAAATCTTAACAACGAAATTAATTTGTCCTCAAGTTTTTCTAAACAATCGCCCTCTTCCAAAATATCTCTAATTCCTACTAAAAAATGCACGAATGCAAGCTCTTTAAGAAAGATAACATATTCTACACGCAGTTTGTCAAGTAAGGGAATATATTCTTCTTACAGCCCAATCAAGTTGATGCTAAGAAAAAATTTATACACGAGTAAATGCAAATCTTGTCCAGATATTTACAGACGGTTCAAAAGCAATTTGAGGAAACATAAAGTCAATTCTATTGGGAATAAGAAATCTCTTGGTAAAATATATCCAGAATCAAACAAGCAACTAAACTCCATGAAGTACAACGAATACCTACATGAGCTAAGGAAATGTAACCAAGTAAAATATTCAGTTGATTGTGAAAGTAGAGATGAAGATCTTACAATTATGATGGAATGTGCTAGGAACAAAAATCACAAACCTAAAAACGGTAATGCTAGAGAAACTGAGGATCACGAAATAATTAAAACTGTAGTAGCATGTGTCAATTGGATGAATGATGTTATTTCAGGTGCAGATAACTTTTCTGCCTCAGAAGGCAACATGATGAACAACATTAACAATGATGAAATTACATCATTGGAGCTACATTCATTAACTGAAATGCTGCCACTCACACAAAACGTAAACGTTGAGTCCGTGTCTGGAGAAAATGGAAATGACAAGGAAAGACGCACAGAAGTGACAAACTTAAAGGAAACATCAAAAATAACCCTTGCTGAAAAGAATTTCTAAAATGTATAAATGTATTATAACATAATAAAAAATAAATAACTTGAAGATTTGTTTATTTCAATAATACTACAATTTAGTCATTACTAATCATTTTATCCTGCCTATCCTCTCTTTGTAGGTAACTTTAACTGTTAGTTGCTAACCGGGCGAGCGCGGATAAGCACCGATTGGGCGGAACTTCTTCTGTCCGCACTTTTTCCATTTAATGGTGGACAACCGGACAAGAAACTAAGCATTAACTGTTAGTATATAAAAAGAAAAAAATGCTTTTAGAGCACTAAACTGTATTATTTATATTGTCTAAAGATATTGGGATTATATTTAATATATTAGTGAAAAGGATTGAAATAAGACAATTTTTGTTGTTTCCCCCATGCTCTTTACTTTTAACGGACCAATCAAATATGTTATTCAGCTTAGCAGTTCCTGGTAGTATGTTGGATTGGTCCAATTCAAATCTATCTGGCCATTAACATTGAAATGATGCTTTTACTGACCCTACTCTATTGATGGTTCTTCCTAGTCGTGTTGCAGCCTATTTTATTTTTCATTTATATGAGCTATATTTTGAAGGACAAAAATTAAAGGCACATTGACTTATTATTTATTTGCTACAGCTCAGCCTGCTTGAGTGTGGCTTTCACTGCCTATTTTTTGTTTTAAATATTACAGTTGTATTCTGTTGGCTTTTTGTTTTCCCGTTTTATCGTCTTACTTAGTTATTAATTAAAATAATTACAGTCGATGAGATTCTATGACAGTTTAATCCATCCAGTCATTTTAGTATTTTATTCATGCATTTTAGTTTTATGTTTTCATTTACAGTTGACACATAAATTAACTACAATATGAATAATTTGTGTCAGTTCAGGCATGTAAGCCATGTACCCTTCAGGATGTACTGGACATTGTTTGAATATAGCAGATAGTGGACGTTATGCGTATAGTTTTTATTAATTTATATATTTATTTAATGTTATTCCTTATTATATATATGTATAAACTTAAACTATTTCCTCAATTGCTGAAAAAAGGCTTGTTATAAACTTATTTTAATCAGATGTCTGATGCGAAGTATTTAATACAAGACAATCACTGTGTGTAACTTGTACTAAGTTGGTCTAGTGTAGTAGTAATAATAAAAAAAAGAAGGAATTTATGCTGAATTTGCTTGATTGAATTAATTACATAACTATTGACAATTTTAATTGCGCTTAGTTTGATTGTCGAGTGTAAGTTCGTTTGTCTCAAACTGGAAAAAGTTTGTTTTGTGTTTTTGATTTTTGAAATATGTTCATACTTATAAAATGATTATTTCGTCATCAAAATGACGTTGTATAGCCAAGGTCGTCATAATGAAGCATTTTCTAGGTCTGACCGAGTGTAACCTTGCTTCAGCTGGATTCAACAAGGATTTTTCACTGAAGTTCTGTTAAGTCCGTTTTTAACAAGCACAACTTTATAAATAAACATAAACTTTTTTGCTCTTTTTTTTAAATGAAATAGGCAATAATATCAGGAAAGAATGCCTGCATGGAGCAGTTTGGGCGGAAACGCCTTTAAACTCATTTCGAGAAAACTCTTCTCCCAACAGAACTGTGAGTTTTTCTTACGATTTAATTCAAATTTTGACGATATTTTGTGTGGAATTGTTTCAAGATGAGATTGATTATTGATTAAATCAGTTCTAAAAATAGGCTCTTGTATGTAATTTAATTTTAGCATCTTAAACTTGTTTTATGGCCTAAAATATTATCTGCTAAAATCAAGATAGAAGATAAGTTTAGAGTTTGTGAATTCCAAGTTAAATGAAGGATTGAAGTCTAAAGTTGGGTTTCCACTATGTGAAAATTACTCGCATAATTGTTTCATGAAACTTTTGTTGCATTGTGGATACCTAGCCGGGACTGTAAAACTTTTGGCATGAGAATGTTTCACGGGGAGCCGAACGGCAGTCGGTTTTTTATTGCACACCAAAGTGTATTGCATTGTTTGTTTCCCTTCGTCTAAACGCACTTGTTTCGAGTATGAGAATTAACCAGGAGGACTGCATTCGATTTATCCGAATGTATCACAACTACGGATTTTTGTGGGATGCTAAAGATAAGAGAACAAGAGAGAGGATGCACGCATGGATGATCATCAAAATGGAACAAAGCCAAAAAGTATCACCATGATAGCATACGCTCTTGCTGTAGTTATAAGTCGCCTAGTGGGAATGGTTAACCTGAGTTGGCGTTTCACAAGTGATTCTCGCATTTAGTTGAGTGAGTGTTTTTTGCGCAATGGAAACCCTACAGCTGAGGGACCTGCAGACCAGCATGACCTTCTTCCACTTTGGTTGAAAATGTATTTGCTTTATTGTAAGATTTAAACAAGAGTGGCTGGACTTACAAAAACAGTATTTGTAAGAGGGGGTCAGCTCCGGTTGTCAGTCTTTGCTTTATAACTGGAGCCCCATGGTACATAAGAAACTCAGACCTCCTCTAGACTTTGTCATTCCCATGGCAGAAGAAGTTATCCAGCACTTACCACTTAAAGGATTAATCATCGCAACAGATCAGGGCCATCTCTAAGAATTCCCAGTTGAAATGGCACCAGGTCACTTATCCATCGGGGGTTTTTGATTGTTTGCTTTTTGACTCAAACTCTTTTCGGCTTTGCACCATCTTCAGTAAGGAGCTGTCCCAAGTGTAGACAGATCCAATAAGTGATCCAGTACTGGTTTTACACATGTTCATAATCAAATTCAATTGTAATTATGCACGTTAATTAATAAATGAAATGTGAAATGTCTAATTATCTATTACAGTAATAGTGAGAAACATGAGTGAACGCAAGATGAATATCACTTCATCCAGATTTCAGTGGCACAAATTCAAAGATCTATTACATTTCTACACATTGCTTGGCCTTATACCTGTTGGCCTCATAGTGTTCTACGCTAATGTGTTCATCGGTCCTGCCCAACTTGCTGAAATCCCTGAAGATTACACTCCTAAGCATTGGGAATACTACAGCGTAAGTATAAAATATTATTCTATTTGTATCGCAATTTCAAAAATGTTTACATTTCTTTTATTTAACTTAGCATCCAATTACAAGATTTTTGGCCCGTTATGTGTTCACCCCACCTCAACAGGAATATGAAAAATATTTACACGTACTTTATGAGGAAGACGAAAAGAAGAAAATAAGGTCAGACTGTTTATAATAGCCGTTGTTTTTATTTGAACTGTGTTGTTTTTTAAAGGCTTCTTGTAAAGGACGTGAAAGAAAAGATGAAGGAAAGATCGGATTACAGAGCTTTCTATGTTAAACCCTTTGATGGCAAATATTATCGCATTGCCCGTGAAAGCGCTGAGGAAAACGCAAATATTGCTGGCTTCAGTTCTCCTAAACCATAAGGGCAATTTAATATTATCAATAATGTAGGAAAATTTTGCTTCCAGAAGAGAAGCTTTTGTTATATAGTTTTAATAAAACTTGTGTTACTTACTATACTTGTTTATTATTTATTTATAAACCTTTTAAGTATAATACACAATTCAAAATATTACACACACAAGTCATAATATTAAAAAAAAAATATATATATAGAACCACATATACAAAAGAGAGAGTAAGTAAGGGATTCACAGTTTGGTCATGTCCAACGAAACAGTTTCTCACTCCACTGATGAAATTCCAAATTTTTGCAGAAATGACCTTTGCAGAAATTCTCCCATGACTCCAGATAAAAGGTACAAAAAAAGGAACATTAACACACCTTAGATAATATTTGACAATTGCAATGCCCAATTTGAACTATAAGTAACTGAAGTCGGGATACGTACGTTTTTGTAACTATTAGCAAAAAAAAATTTATTTATGTGCAATAGGAATTGCAATTAAAAAGTTAAAAATGACAATATTTCTTTTTCAAAGGAAAACATTAAAAATAGTAAACTAGTAAATGGTAAAAGAATAAAAATGGTAATACACAACCAAGCAGGTGCATGGGGGGGTTCACTTAAGAAAATGTCATGCTGACTGACTTCGATGTTTTGATTGGTCGAAACTTTGGGTCTGATTTTGTAAATAATCAATCACGGATAGGTCCACTTTTGAAAATGCCTCGCATTTTTAAACCAGATATGTTTTACTGCTGTTTTTATTTTTTTTATAAGTAGGTCATCATTTGGTTCGCCTCACCATAGAGTATCATTAAAAAACCTGTTGAATTGCCGTGAAAAATGTATATATCTGTCCTGATTTACATGGTGTGTACAGTTCTGGCTGCTATTAAATTGTATACCTAGATATTTCATTTCATCAACTTGGTTCAATTTGCAATCATTCAGTTTTGCTGCTTAGCATCTGAACTGAAGGTTCTATTCTCCAAACTATCTTGAGATATTTTGCAAAACTGCCCAGCTATTAAAGTTCTGTTTTTAGCATGTTCTTTCCAGCCACCGTTAAAAGATGATCATTATGGAAGGCCACTGCTTTTGAATTTGGAGGCTATTCTAACTTCAAGAGAGAAGTTTTGATGCTTAATTTCACAGACCAAGCCAGGAGCACTGCAATTATCTTTTAAAAACATGATATATATATATATTTATTTATTTAGAAATCATGAGATGCGGTCTGGTGTGATGTAGGTTTCAGAAAAACATTTTCTTTATCGTGCCAACGNTGGCAAATGCTTTGTAGGAAATTTCTGTTTATTTAAATTTATAAAAAGTTTTAATTGTTTGTTTAAGATTTAAAAGGAAATTTATTGGTTTTAATTATTATTTTCTTGTGTGTTCAATAAATTTTTTTTAAACTTTAATTAAATTTTATTTTAAAACGGCACCTGATCGGCTGTATTCAGGATCGATCAAGACCTCGGGCTCTGTTTCTCATAAAAAGGATTCAGAGTTGGGCCCGTCTTGATGAATCGAGAACAGATCGTGACAAAATTGGTAGCAGAGCGTGGTTGATTAAATTAAAAAAATATTTAAAAAAAAATTAATTTAAAAAAAAATAGTTCAGCTATGACTCGGAAGAAAGTAGTCGAAATGAAGTTAGAGAAGAACCTGATGTTTTGGATAAAATAGGGAATTTAACTTCCATTCGAATGAATACATGGAAATAATAGAAAAGGAAATTTCAGAATTCATAAATGATAGCCTGCAAATCCAACAAAGAATTCCTAAAAAACAGAGGCAAACCTTTGTCACATCAATATCATCCCGAATTTTAAAAGCTTTAGAACAGTAAAGATCAAAATGTTGGCGTGATAAAGAAAATGTTTTTCTAAACTTACTTCACACCAGACCGCATCTCACCATCTCTAAATAATCTTACAATGTCGAATGACTAAAGTAAGTGTAAGCAATTACCTGATGACTAAAAGTGAAGATATGATAGAAAGGAAATTAAGCAGATGGTAGATGTATATCGGCTTTTCGTAAACCTATATTGATTTGAAATAAGTATTTGTTTAAAATATGGTGACATTAATCCAACAAGTAGCTTTCAAAAAGTTCACTATCTGCGATCAATCTGACTGCAATCTTTGCAGTCTTATATTTGTCATGTAAGACATGAAGGATATATCTCAGAAATTAGAGATTTTCTGAAAAATTTAGCTTAGAGTTTCCTTAGAATTATAATAGATATGTAATAAACGTAATCAGGACTAGGACTTGTTAATTTTAAGAGAAACAGTTTGTTTAATACAGCAAAAAATTAGATAGAATTTAGGTTAGAAGTTGTATATTGTAATTGCATGAATATTATGATTGAATTCCTTTAATGTCCAAGGAAACTTTAGCATGAAAATAACAATTGTTTTTCACTTTAAATAATACCAAGAGAGACAAAAGTTGATGTGTGAAATTAACAAAATTAAAACCAGTTTCGGTTAACACATTTTCTTACTTTAATATACTGTTATAATTTTCTGCTATATCTTTTGTAGTCAGTTTTTTTGGAAGCCATTTACTTTTTACAAATTGTTTTATCATTTCTGGAGACGATTCTTTTGTAGAATTGTACTCTGGTGATGAATTTAATTTTCCGTCTTTTAATTTCCCAAAGTTTTTCTTTACAGCTGTTTTAGGGGATAAAGTGAATTTAAGAAGAGGGCTTGAACCCCTGCTTTGAAGGCTTGTTCTTTCTTCTTCTGGGACTATTGGATCATTATTTATTTCATCGATAAATTCTTCCATCAACCCAACATATTTACTTGCCAAATTAGACAGAATGTCACAAAAGTCAAGAAATGAAAGCTGAAAAAAAAAAAAATTATAAAAAGAGTTCATGTTTAAAATTTCTTATGATGTTTACAGGAAAGGTGCCATCTATTTGTTTAGTATAATGATTTAAAGTGTGTGGGACTGCTTCTGCTATGCTCATCATGACATTTTCCACACCTAAGTCCTGAAAAGTGGACAGTTCTGCAAATGGTGTTTGGTCATTTTGAGCTGATTCTTTTTTAAAATCGACATATGGCTCTTCATAGGGAATATAACCAAATGTTCCATCACAATAAACTGTGTTACTTCCTATAATATTATTTATTTTATGAAAAAAAAAATCTTGTTAGAAATGTAACATTTTCATAACAACCTTGGAGAATATGTTGAATGTACTCTGACGTAAATGGCATGTTATCCTTCAACTCATAGCAAGGATCAAATATTGCAGCACAAAGGTCCTTAATTCTTAGAGGTTCAGGAAGTGTTTTGTATAATGAATGAAGTGATGTAAGGGGTATGAATCTCAAAAACTTCAAAAAGTTCCCTGAAAAGTAAAAGAAATGGATTGTGAAATTGTATTTATACCCTCCCAAATAATAATTTAATTTATTTAGAAATCGTGAGATGCGGTCTGGTGTGATGTAGGTTTTAGAAAACCATTTTCTTTATCGTGCCAACGTTTCGATCTTTATTGAGATCATCTTCAGGGCCTGGGATTTACAAACATTGTTTATATATTACAATTACATTTTGGATGTGGAAAAGTCCTTCCCCACCCCTTCAAAATCCAACGTATATAAACACAAAATAGCAAAGTCTCACTGGCACTCTCGACACGACACCCAAGAATGGCACAATTACACAGACGACAAATACTTTGAGTGAGTAGAAATACTTTGGTTGAATATATAAAAAAATATATTTTGCATTGTATAAATTCACTTTTCCACAATAAAGATCGAAACGTTGGCACGATAAAGAAAATAGTTTTCTGAAACCTACATCACACCAGACCGTATCTCACGATTTCTAAATAAATATCGATTAACGGTCACTAATCACCACACATAATAATTTAATATTAATTTTGTTTTTTATTTGCAAATTTGGTATTAGTAGTGCGTTTTATTTATGGGCTACATCTAGTGGTCATCATTGGCCCTTTGTGCATAAAATGAAAAATTCTGTTTTTCTCTTTCATGCAGTTTTCTTTGGTCTCTCATATTTTTTCTCCTGTTTCCTTAACTTGCTAACCTCTCATTGTTACCTCAGATTGTCAAATTACTACTAAAATAAAAAGATTTGTTATGCTCCCTGCATCCCCAAAGCGCTGTTAGTGACAAGAGCCCTGTTCCCTCCAACTTGTCAAGGAGCCCACCGCAATGTCCCGGTGAAAAGTCGGTGACAATGCCCCCATTCTGGCTATTCAGGTGAGGCTTCTTTCACCTCCAAACACAAGATTAGTCTGGTCACAATCACTCCCCCATATACTTGATATTCCAACATGACAGGTTTAAACCCCATAAATTACTTTAACTCTCCAGATATCACACTCTTACTCCAGTGTTCTCAATATTTCTATACACCACCACAGAATGCACAATACATACTACTTTTTTTTATATTTTTTATTTTTATTTAGAAATCGTGAGTTGCGGTCTGGTGTGATGTAGGTTTCAGACAAACATTTTCTTTATCGTGCCTTCAACTCATAGCAAGGATCAAATATTGCAGCACAAAGGTCCTTAATTCTTAGAGGTTCAGGAAGTGTTTTGTATAATGAATGAAGTGACTATTGGATTACAGTTATTCAGAAATACTTTGATTGAATATATAAAATATATTTTGCATTGTATAAATTCACTTTTCCACATCCAAAATGTAATTGTAATATGTAAGCAATGTTTGTAAATCCCAGGCCCTGAAGATGATCTCAATAAAGTTCGAAACGTTGGCACGATAAAGAAAATGTTTTTCTGAAACCTACATCACACCAGACCGTATCTCATGATTTCTAAATAAATATTGATTAACGTTTACTAATCACCACACATTAATACATACTACTTTAAAACCAAGAAATGAGGAACTAGAATAGTGATTTGTGCCCACTGCAATACATAGGACAGTAGGCATTCTGCAGCTTCAAAATTCTGTAGACTTTTAGTTTTGAGAATTAAAATTCTAGTAAAGCATGCTCAACATTGAATCTGTTGGTACATAATGCGCACCAACAGGGTCTTTTTTTTTGTAAACAAGAGTCCTAGTGACTTATGTGTGACCAGGTTAGTATGGCCCTTTCTCGACTCGACCCAAGCTGTGTGAACCAGGTTCCAATGACAGTTTTTCAATTTGGCAGAAATCTATGCCAAGTGATTTCCTGGTCCGAGGACTCAGACCAGCATAACCTTCTTCCCACTGGCATTGTTCATTTGAATGCAAATTCAAATTGTGCTGTTTGCTTTATTGCAAGATCTGAACAATAATGGAAAACTTATGGAAATAGTATTAGGAGTCAGCGAGCCAGTTTTTGCCTTATAACTGGAGCCCCATAGGAAACACAGACTCCATGGTAGGAAGTTATCCAGCATTTGTACTCAAAGCGACATGCATCAATGACCACCCACATAATCAGCCCTCTGGTTGGGGGGCTCTCGCCCAGAATGAATCCAGTAGTGCTTGAACAAAAACAAAAAAAAAAAATCATCACAATTTTCCTGATAATTGAACTACATTACTACTGTCATTGTTAAATTGTTCGGTTATTTATTCATCATAAACTGTTAGATTGTATCTATGTATCTGTAAGAAGACAATCAGTAGCCTACATAAAAGAATCAAGTGAATTAGATCAGAATGGAGAATCTACCATACTACAAAAACAACTACAGTCATTCTGCTTCCACCTTATTGCCAAACAATCTTTTTATTACTAAGTTTAAAGTTTTAGTAATACCATTGTAATTATCCTTTGACTTGATCACTACTTCATCGATAAACCTGTCAAAAGTTCCAGCCAAAACACCTGGAATCCCTTCATTTTTCTGCCTTGGACTCATCCTTGTTAAAATGCAGAGTGTTATCAGATAATGGATCATTTCATACATCAAAACATTTTCAAAAGGGTCATTTCCAATGCCTAAAAAGTTAATGATAGTTTATTATTATAATTTTTTTGAAATTTAGATTGAAATAAGGTACATACCAACCATTTGATCCAAATCGACACAACTATATTTAGTTTTCGTTATACCACAATCCCTCAACAGCTGGTGCAACATAATCCGCAGCATAAAAATAGAGAACTTTGTCGGTTTGTTGTCTACACCAATAGCCGCATAGAAGTTGTACACTGACCTCAGGTCTGTCATCCTTTTCATGATGACTCTTTTCAACCACATTTTCTCCAACTTAATGACTTCTGTTCTTTCATTATAGTCTATTATGCAAACAGGGTCACCTTCGCTTTGTGGAATGCTCAAATTATAGTCAATCTGCAATTGTGTAATTATATTGATCTACGCATTTACAAATATAATAAAGCTATGTTTGCTTATTTTTAAAGTGTTAAGTAGAACACATAAAAAAAAAAGAAAAAATCTGCATAACTAAGGCACAAATGCTACTAAACGTATAAACTGGATTTGTAAACAAACAAAACAGGCATAACAAATGATAAAAAATTAAACAAAATGAACAAAGAGAAAAAAAAGACAGACAGTTTAATCACTATTAAGAGACCACTAAATCATGCAAAGTGATAGAAAAAACACCATTCCAAACAGTACAATTGAAAACAATATTAAATATAAGCTTTTTTTATTTAAAATATTACATACTTTAAAGAGCTCATTAATGTGCATTGAAAAATCCATTTCATGTAATGGTGCATTAACATTTAATGACCTTGGCTTCACTCTGCGAGCCAGTTCTTCATCACTCATTAAATTCTAAAAACAGATAAAACCTGTTAATTTCACATAGATTTCAAATAATAAAAATATGCACCAGTAGTTCAATATCATCTGACATGTCTTCAGGTAAGTTTATAGAATTGAACAGATCTACCTGCACAAATATAAAATTGATTTATCTATTGATAAAATAAAGTACTTTTTAAATAAAACGTACTTGAACTGCACGGTCTTGATAAAACAGGTTACGGTCTTTTAATTTATTTCCGTTGCAACATATGACTTCACCAGAACCACATTTATCACGGTTATACCAGCTTGTGTATATACTTGCTCCACTCGCGAGGCACAAATGACCAAATCCTATAAGAATTTAATTAGTTGAACATATTGTATATGTTTCATAATGAAAAATATTTCTACCTTGTCTTTTCCCTTCAACGAAATTTCCCGTGAACGTGTCCATTTGTGGAGAGACAAATTGCAAATTTTTAAAAGCTCTCCAAGTATATCTTCCTAAGCCATGCATAGATCCAAAACTCCATTCTCCACAATAGACCTAAAAAAAGAAGAGAGAGAAAAAAAGATTAAATTTGTTGAATACAAATATGATCCACTGAAATTGTTTACATCATTGTTATTCCAAATCATTGTCCCATAGCCTGATTTGTTTCCCTTGGACCATTCACCACAATAGACAGCTCCACTAGCATAGTGCATAATACCAAAACCATCTCTCTTTCCATACTTCCATTTTCCCTCATACCAGACGTTTTTATTATAAATTGCAGTTCCCTATAAATAAAATTAAGAATGCATTTAACCAGAATTGGAAAATATAACTGTACCTTTCCATGCTTTTTCCCTTTAAACCATTGACCATAATAGTAGCAATCTCCAGATGATGAGAACTTGCGCATGATTCCATTTCCATGTCGTTTGTTGTAGGCAATTTCACCGTCATACCAGGAACAGTCAGGATAAAAAATCTCACCCTTTCCATGAGCACATCCAGATTTGAACATACCCTTCCATGCAAACATATTTTCTTTATTATTACGACCATGAGTTTTTTTTTTTTTTTATCAACCTTATAGATAGTTCCATCTTGCCAGATGAATTTTCCTTCACCTTCCATTTGCATACGAGATATCCGACCAATATACCTAAATGTATGAATGTTAAAGGACATATTTATTAGATAGATGAAACACTATTTAATTTTTTTATTTATTTATTATAAACTAATACTATAATTAATATTTATGTTTGTAAGAAAATATGAAAATATATATTTTTTTTTTACGAAAATAGCAAGGCAGACAAGAATGATCAGAGAAGATCAGTTTATCTTCAAGACCTCACCACAATGCTTATGAACACAGAGTAATGTATATCTCATTCAATTAATTTGTATTTAACATAATTTTTGAAGCATAAAGTGGTATAGTTAGGAAAGTAAATAGATAAAGTAGTGTTTCAAGCATTTTTTTCTTACAAACAGTTCTTCATAATCTTGGTCTGCTTATTCTCGCTGGTTAGAGTTAGTTGTATAAAGCCTATCAATTTTTGTACATATGTTTAATAATAACTTAGCCTAGTTAGCTAAATCGTGAGATTTCCTCATGCGGTCTGTGTTGGTATGTGAGGATAGACAGACCAACAATGCTAAGGATCACCATGCAGACCCCAAGAGAATCTCCTAGGTGTCTTTGAAATATTTTTATTTAAAATATTTATATAAATAATAATATATATAAGGCAATTAATTAAGGTTTTTTGGTTGAGATAAAAAAGTCAATGGCACGAGCGGGATTCAAACCCCGATCTTCGGCTAGATACGCCGCTGCTCTACCACTTGAGCTATCGTGACCTCGATCCACTCGGACACTAACCTCCCATCTCAACCCCACCTATTGAATTTTCCCTCCTTTTTGCCAAGTGGTAGAGCAGCGGCATATCTAGCCGAAGATCGTGGGTTTGAATCCCGCTCGTGCCATTGACTTTTTTATCTCAACCAAAAAACCTTAATTAATTGTAATATATTAATTGGTCAAGCGGACCACGAAATTAGTGAATTTAATATATATAAGGTCAATACATTTGAAATATATTTATTTATTTACGGATCGAAATCCACTATTATAAAAAGACATGTTACAATAACAAAAAATAAAAATAATATATGCAAAAAATACAGATAATAAATATACAAAAAGAATAAGGACATATATACATGGTAATATTATAAATGGTAAATATAAATGATAAATATAAAAGTACAATTAAAGAGTAAAAACTGACCAATAACAAAAATAAATAACATAATTATTAAGTAAATTAAGGCAAAGGAAACAATATGAAGCTGAAAGACAATTGAAACTACAATATTTAGTAGATATTTAATGAAAATAATGCTCTTTGTGATATACAACCGAGTGACAAAATTATGGACACATTAAAAAATCACGATTTCAACAGTCAAAAATGATTTATTTTGCCATTAGAATATTGTTCATGATATTAAAAGAAAATTAACTCTGGAAATGGCTTGATCTGATAATATTATACAAATGTACATCTTAATGAACAGTATTGTTTTGATTTAGCTGCGACAGAATTATAGACACACATTTTGTTTACGTTTATTTTATAAGTCCAAAGGTTTATTCAGTATTTACTGTACCCTGCCTTAGTAAAGTGATTACTGTGAGTTCATTTGGAGCAATTCAAAGTTATTTTAAAACGCCCAAAGGAAGAAGATTTTCTGATGAGGAGCGCCAGTTGATTCACTTGCTCAATGAAAATGGAATGAGCTGTCGAGATATCGCCCAACGCATAAAACAAGTTTTTCATCGGTATCGAAGATAATAGACTAAGTGAAGACTATGGAAGAGGGCATAGCTCTGGATGACCTCCTTCCTTGACCAGAAGAGACAAATCGCACATCCTGCGCGTTGCTTCAAACAGCTTTTTGACTGCAAAAGCCATCACAGGTGTTGATGTTTCTGTTTGAACTGTTCAGAGATTCCTTTAAAAAAAAACTGAAAACATAGTCCAAAGAAAACTGAAACGCAAACCAGCTCTGAAACCCCATCACAAACTAGCCTGTGTCAAATTTGCTGAAAACCACACATTGAAAAATGAAGATTATTGCCGAAAAGTTATTTTTTCTGATGAAAAAAAAATTCAATTTGGACGGCCCGGACAGATACGTATACTACTTTCATGATCTAACTAAAGAAGAAAAAATTTTGTCACGGCAACAAAGGGGTGGTGGATCTTTGATGATTTGGGGGTGAATTGGGTGTAATAAAAAAGGAAAACTTTGTTTTCTTCCAAAAAAAGTCAATTCGGAATATTACAAGAAATTACTGGACAAAGAAAAAACTAGTTTCAGCGATTTATGGGAAGGGACTCCAATATTCCAGCAGGACAACGCACCCACACACAATGCAAAAATTGTTAAATAATGGTTTTCACAGAACAGCATTGAAAAACTTGAACGGCCTGCACTCTCACCAAACTTGAACATTATAGAAAATGTATGGGGAAAATTATCGAGGATGGTATATCAAAACTGTAAGCAGTACAACTCTGTCGAAGAACTTAAAACAGCTGTCACCACTGCCTGGAATAATTTGCCTCAAGATTTTATTCAAAATTTGTACAAAACCATTCCAGAAAGAATACTGGAAATAATAAAACTGAGTGGTAATGCCACAAAATATTATAACCTTGTTTTAAATTGATTTTATCCCATGTGTCTATAATTTTGTCGCAGACAAAATCGTTTAATTTTAGTATTTTAATAATTTTTTCTCTTATTTACTGAAAAATTAAAGTTTAATGAAGAAAAATATTTATTTCATGTGTTTTGAATAAATATTTGTAGTACAAACCCATTACATTAAAAAATCATAACAATTAGGGGTGTGTCTATAATTTTGTCACTCGGTTGTATAATAAGACTAGAGTGCAAGATTTAGGTGAACCAGTAAATGAAATAAATTGTAATAAACTACAGCAGGGTTGTAGGATATGGTTTTTCACAGATTGCACAGAACTATTGAAGAAGTCAATGCTATTGCAGATGTTGTTACTCTTGATCATCATTCTGTATAGAGGAGAAGAGAGCATGAAGTTAGAGCTTTGGAATTGAATATAAAATAGTTTGTGGGTTTTGAGAGAGTGCGAAGAGCAGCTGAGAGAAGAGAGGACATAAAAACATTAAACAATGAGATTGTTTAATAATTTAAATACAAAAACAATATTAAAGTTCCCTTCTTAGTGCCAGTTCGAAAAGTTTAAATTCAGATTCCAGGGTAGGCAGAGTTCGGAGGAAGATTGAATTTGTAAGAAAGTTTTTTTTTTTAATTTGTTTTGTACAGATTGAAGAATTTTTTGATCATTTAGATAGTATGGGTTCCAAACAAGTGTAGCGAAATCTAGTATGGGTTGACAAAAGCTTTATAAAGATGGACAAAATATAGAGGATTTTTAAATTCATAGGTGTTCTGGATGATGAAACCTAGCATCTTCATAGATCTATTTTTTATTCAAGAAATAGGTTCTTTAAACTTGAGCTTTTAATCAAAAGTACACCAAGATCGTTTACGACCTCAACTCGTGTTAAAAGAGAATCATGGAGAGTGTAGTGATAAAGAAAAGGTTGTTTCTTATGAGAGAATGTAATTGTGTAGCGTTTGGAGACATTGAGAGCAAGTTTGTTATTAGAGCACCAGGTTAGCACGTTATTGATAGAATTTTGTATTGAAAGCAATCGGAAGGAGAAGTCATTTTGGAATAGATTTCAGATCGTCAGCAAATAATAAAAATCGAGCAGAAGGGAGAGCAAGTTGGATATCATTAATAAATAAGAGAAACAAAATATACGTTGTATTTATTTAATTTTTTTTATAAGATAACAATTTGACAATCAAGAAGTATGTTTTATGTTATTAGTGCAAAATCATTCTGATGACCCATTGAATTTTTCACACACACAAACAGCTATATATACCATTTGTATATGTATGTAGATTAGTAGAGGACTGTGGTGGACGAGGGATTTAGGGCGTCCGACTTATATTTGCCATGAATGGGTTTCAATTCAGACAGTCCTTGTCTTTTTAATTGAACATAATGTGAAAAAAGCCATGCAAAGTGGTTTGTAGGTGTCATCTAATAGGTAGTTGGGTATTAAGCCCTCTTGTATGACAGGAATTATTTTGTACTGATTAATATTAGCTGAAAATTAACTTTTAACTAAGTATGGTGACCTATTACTTTGATCTAGATCAGATTTTTTTAAAACAATTTGATATATTCACATATGTTTTGTTTTTAAGTTCTAACTTGTTTAAAATGCTAAACTAAAAAAATAAATAAATAAAATAATTTTAAATTCTTATTCTTGTATGGTATGGTAAATTCTTATTCTAGTAAAAAAAAGTCTTAAAAAAAATTAAATTTAAACCTGTTTCCATTTTGGAAGAGAATCTCCACTTCTTGATCCCGCTCTTTAAAAGTCCAGTTGTGAAGTTTCTGTTCCAGGTAGAATGAATAAAGGTAAGAGTTCGAAGGGTATGCTGGTAATAAAACACAATGATTGTTTGAGAGTTGATGCATAATCGCGTTATTTTACCTTCTTCTGGACAAGCTTTTAATTCTTCCTCTTCACATGGGGCGTCATTGTCTTCTTCAAAATTGGTTTCCAAATTAGGTATACTGTTTATCGTTTGTCTGCTAGGCTTAGAATTAAGCGTATGAGTTGAACTTTTGGAAAATGTCCGATATACCCTTGACACTCGCTTCTTCCTTCTGTAAATATATTTATTTTGTTATTTTACTCGCAGCTTACTAATTTTTATAAATATTCATTACTTGTTTTTAGAAAAGCATTTTCCACTCTCAACTGAAGGTAGTGATGATATAATCAGAGATTCACATTCGCCTTCTTTCTCTTTATTCAGTTCCTGATAAATTACACGCAGTACAGGCTTATAGACCTTCCGTTGGCATTCCTCACTTTTAATCCTGGGGACAGTAGTGTTGAAAAAGAGAAACTGTCATAGAAAAACAAAAGTACTAACGATTTTATGATATGCACTGCCAGAATAGAGAGGAAATTTGCTGCAATTTCTTCATCGGGGAAGTAAACCTTGTCATTTGCAAGAATTATATCAGGTTCAAGAATAAAACTATCTGAAAATAAACACCCACAAATCAAATAAATATTTTAGAAAGAACAATATAATTTTTAATATATAATTTTAATAATATAATGACTTCTTTTATAGTAGTTAGTTTATAAACTTGATCTAAAGTTTTTTGACAAGTCATTGGATTTATTTATATCTAAAAAATATGGGCAAATTTAGACATTGTAATTTGTAGTATACAAGTTAGTCGGAAAATTGATGTTTTGAAAATTGAAGGGTATTTTGTTCGTTACAGTAATATGATTTACAGAAAATACTACCCATGATCAATTTAGGATTGCAAAAAAACGACCAATGTTTTTTATAACAAGACATGTTCAATATTATTTATTTATTAAGGCTAATTGGAAGATTTTCAATTTCAAAAAATCGGAAAAGTACGTCGACAAGACACACAACCTGTCAAAACGTTGTGCTGAAAATGGCGTTGATTAAATGCTTTGGCCTTGTTAAAGCAGTTCTTATTTAACAGACAGCTTCTTAAATGTACAAAATGTAAGAAAGTAAACAATAGACAATATAAACTATTATAAACAAAAGTTCTAATAATGGTAAACAAATGGTTATGTTGTAGTACATAAATCGATTCTACACTTAAATGATTCAAGTCAATGTCAGGCAATCTTATAGGCTACGTTGAATACAGTTTAATTATTTAGAATATTCCTTATTTTTTCTGGTAGTTCCATAATGTATGGTAAACAACGTAAACCTAACATTTAAATTGTGGTCCGAGTCCGGAGTCCAATCGTTGCTTCCTTTAAAGTTGTTTTGTTCCTTTGACTACCAATCTATTTTTGAATTTTTATTTATTTATGGAATACAACATATTGTGCTGAACACTTAATAATTTTAACAGACTATGGTAATTTAAACAGTAAAATCACACATCCATTAACACTGGCGTTAATGTAATTATTTCACAGTTGAAAAAGACAAGATAGGTGCTGCACTAATTGGGTTATTTGATTTCAGCCTAATCCTTCAATCCATGTTGTGTTTATGTTTTAGTCTTCTGATGGAGGAATGGCCTGTAGTCTGGTATAGATGATTTGGATAAATTGGCACTTTTTTGTAGAGCACAGTTGTAGGAGACGATAAGTGTATCCCGACCATCTTTTAATTCCATGGCACTGTAAAGTTTCTCACGTACCATGGCACCTGACTATTTTGTGTAACTTGGACTCTATTGAGTTGGATGTGAAAAACCATATTTCCAATCCATATAACCATTTATGGACAATGACTTTTGTCCTACAGTGCAAACATTAGAGTTGTATTTTAGTTGGCGGGTCCAGATGTATAAGTGAAAGAGCGTTTCGGTGATATGGTTCTTCCATATCAATCTAGAGTCTTAAACCCTAAATATGTGATGAAACCTCTACAAGGAATTCGTGTGGCTGCAAGAACTCGGTGGTAGCAGACTAGTCCGTCCTGAAGACAATATAACAATGTATAATAGACGATGCATTAATATTGATTCTCTATTTGCTGGTCCATTGAACCAATCTCATGGCAAATATTTCTAAATACAAATGGTTTTTGCTAATGTTTTAATTGTTCTTAGTTCTTTTTATTTTGCCTTGTAATTTTAAGGGGAGTTTTAAGTCAGTTCATCCAAATAAATCTAGCAGCCTTATCAGCCTCTGGATTTGAGGTGTCAGCTGGTATCATGGTGTCCGATGTGGTTTTTCTGTATATTTCTACTTTAACTTAGATTATCTATTATGGACGATTTTAAGTGTAAAATGTTTAAACAAGTCTTTTTACATGTTTCTAATGTTAATTTTATTTTTGGGTATATAGAATTAATTGGTGAAATTATCTTTAATCTTCTAGGGTTCCTGTTCATTTATACATAAAATGTCTACATAACGTTTCCATAAGAGAACATATTTAAATAATAGTTATAACAGTTCATAAATATTTCACCACAAAGTGGGGATAATGGATACCTCCTTGGTAAACTCATTTCATAAAATTTTATGTTAAATTTACAGTAGTTTGATAGTAGGACACAGGTTTAAAAGGTCTGCTACATAGTTTATAGAAAAAAAAATTATGGAGATAAATTGTCTTATACATCTTATACATTTTGCACATTCTCTAGCCGGAAAATCCGTAAAAAATTAGTAACACAAGCACAGTTTGTAAGTAGAACCATCCTTTTTGTTAAAAGTACAATATCTTTGTAAGTTTTTAAGGATTTGCTGAGATTTTAAGTCTTTACCTTCTGGTTTGCTCGACAATGAAGGGGGTGGACTCTCGCTACTAGACCCTTTAATGTTCTCTTGTGAGATAGTTTTCTCTTCTGTTAGCCAAAAAGACATTTAAACTATATTAAAAACAACACTTATAAAATAAATGTCCAGCAATGCTCATTAACAACACCTAAACATGTGTTATATTTAATAATTTTATCATTTAAAACAAATTATAGTGTAAAATTTATTTTTATTTTTGGCTTTAGTTGTTCAGTCAAAAATCTCTAAGTCTCTGATTTTCTTTTTATTCGGTATCCATGGGCAGTTTGGTATGAAGGGTCCAGGTTCTTCCCGTTCTTCAAAGCTAGAAAACATTGCTTTCATCTGGCTTATCCAGTCGTTGGTGGACTTGCGTGATGAAGATCTGCTGGCCCTTTTCTTCCTGAATTTCAATTCGAAATCGTAATCCTCTGGGAGGAGGGGCATCGTCGAGTTATCCATGAAGCTCACTGCCCTGTAAAACTCTTCGCAAAGGTCCAAATACTGTGTCGCGAGGTTTACGAGGATATCACAAAAATCTAGAAAGGAGAGCTGGAAGACAGATTGATCAAGTGAAGGAGTGGTGTGCCGTTCTCACCATATAATTGCCGTCGAGCTGGCCTTGGTCATTCATAGCCTCCGGAACCACCTCGGAAATGCACCTGACCACATTCTCGAAACCGAGGTCGGCGAATATGCCAAACTCTGCGGATGGGATGTTTTCGTGCTTCAACGACTCCTTTTTTATATCCACAAATGGCTCTTCAAATGGTATGTAACCAAATGAACCGTCGGGAAAAATTGTATTGGTGCCTGAAATATAAGGTAAAAAAATATATCGTCTACTTTTTATAAATTGAGGAATTAGACTCTGAAATTCACTTGTTGGATTAATAAATTACTGCAAACTTTGCAAAATTGTAACTTTCAAATCACAATGTGTTAATTGCCAGTATTATTACATTTTACACAATTCAGGGATTATTTTGATTATAATATACGATTGAGAGACTACGCATAATTCGCACATCCATAAGAAAAATTCTAAATATGTGATTATTTTTTTTTTTCGGGCGAGTGATGCTACAGGATAAATGCCACTGTAAGTGGACTCTTAGCTGCTAGGCATGTGCCACTTTTGAATTTGTGGGAACGCACTGTCTCCATTCTCGAAAAATGGCATATCTTTGTCCAGCTTTATAGCATAGGTGTAAGTATTTATATTACTTACACTGCTGATAATTCTGGCTCTTCTGATTTCATTAACAATTCTGGGAAGCATTAATGCTCAGCTAAGTTGTAGGTCAAAATTGTTACAGAAAATCGAAAGATTGTAAATACTGAATTACCACAATAATATTTTATGCGAAGAAACAAGCTGTATGTCCTTAACTGGATCTAAACAGCATTCATGTTCTTATGTTACATTTTTCTCTTCATGGTAAGAGCAAAGTAGTACTACTTTTAGAATTATTTTAGTTTTTAATGTTAGAAGTTTTGACCAATTTTTCACCCATGAACACTCGGGATCAAGTTCTTGAAGAAAAAATCAAATTCAGTAGTCCTTGTCAAGCAATTTAAAGGTCATCTTCAGGGCTTATATCAATTTCACATTATGAAAAACAATTGTTAAATCAATTTTATAAATATGTTTTTCATAATGAATATATGCTTGTTTGTTAGGTTTATATGTTGTTATCACAAAGAAATTAATACTGTTACAGTCATTAATTGACCACCATTATCATTAGCGCAAACAAACAACTAAGTTACTCAGAGTCAATATATGCAAGAAAGTGTCACAATCCAAAAAGTTTTTTAGGGGTAGTACAGTTGGATTTTTAAAGTTTTTGTTTTTGCTTAAGTTTTGGAAAAAACGAAAGATAATATTGATGAATCATAACAGTTTTTATTGCCAACAACCGTAATTGCATGTACCTAATTCATAAATAGAAAAAGTAAACTTCCACTCTCCTTGTAGGTGTGCAATATCCATGTTTAACTTAGTATGAATTGGGAACTGAAATGACCTAGCAATGATAGCTGGATGCCCAAATCTAACCCAAACCGCCAAAAACACCGGAGAAAATTCTCTTAGCCTTTAAATATATATAAAAATATATAAATTACTCCTTTAAATAGGATTTTTTTATAACAAACAAAAAATAGACACTTTTGGGCTGGATCAGGCAGGAACAATTTTCATTTCTCCGATAACTTGTATCACATGAAAATGCACAACTCCTCTGAATTTTAACTAATATCCAAGGTATTACACCCACTGGAAAGCGGAGTTTTCATCTTTGAGCTTATATAAAAACCTTTTATATGTTATAAATAAGAAAAATTAGGATGACATCAACAAAAACTTCATAAACGTTGAACCTGAGTTTATATCCAGGATTTGATTGATTTTCGGGAACCATGTTTATCCCAATACGTGTTGGTTTGTAGGATTCAAAAACAGAAAAATTGCCCATGGATCGGTCCAGTTGTTTCAGTTATCACCGTTTTGGTTATTTTCAAAAACAATCGGAGGCATTAAAAAGAGGAAAAAATTGAGAGAAAAATTATTCTTTGATTTTCCTATAAATTCGTATTTAGGGGTATTTTGGACAGTTTGGATTTTATCCCTCTGCAGGCTTAAGAAGGAATCAATTGATGTAGGTCTTTTCTTAGGCCGTATATTCCGAACACAACTTTCTACACAAATTCACTAGTTTTCATGGTCCACTTGACCAATTAATATATGTCAATTAATTAAGGTTTTTAGTTGAGATAAAAAAAGTCAGTGCTACGAGCGGGATTCGAACCCACGATCTTCGGCTAGATACGCCGCTGCTCTACCACTTGAGCTATCGTGACCTCGATCCACTGGACACTAACTTCCCATCTCAATCCCACCTTTTTAATTTTCCCTCCTTTTTTCCATTGTTCGAATCCCGCTCGTGACACTGACTTTTTTATCTCAACTAAAACCCTTAATTAATTGACAGATATTAATTGGTCAAGCAGACCACGAAAACTAGTGAATTTAATAAGTTAAAATTAAGTTAAAATAAGTAAAAATAAAGTATACCTTCACTAAAGCTCTCCGTGGCCATTTCATTTATCGCCGAGAATCAAATGGATTACACAATTACGGGGTTGAGATGGGAATTGGGAAGTGATCTAAAGTGATATTTTTGATTTGACCCAGGCTTGAATACGGATTATAATGAGTCGGTCCTTTGATGTGAATCGAAAATTAAACTTTTATGCTCCACTTGCCAAAAACAACTGGCAACACCCTATTCTTTAAAAAAAAAACATTTAAAAACCCACGAATTGAGACCAAAATTTGAGTGTAACGTGTGTGAAAAACAATATAAAAATAAAGTAGACCTAAATGTTCATTTACTTACTCACAATAATGATCAGGACCTTATTTGCCAAAATTGTGGCTGTAAATTTTAGACAAAATATAAATTAAATAATCACAAAAAAAAGGTTGCCGCTCCCTTCAACAAAAGCAATTTACATGTCCGATTTGCCGAATGGAAGAAAGCAAGACATTACTGGCCATTTCAGATATTTTCATGATATTAACATTGAAACAGAATTCTATACTTATATACCTTTCCGAATTTGAAAGTTGGAAAGAAACAATAGAAAATGATACAAAAAGTAAGTATATCATCGCACATAAAAAAACAAACATTATAGAGTATTGTTGTCATAGAAGTGGGTACTATAAACCCAAGGGTACGGGGAAAAAGGCATATTAAAATCCTAGGATCAAACAAAATGAATGGCTTTTGTCCAGCCATAATCATTATGGAAGCCGAAAAAAAATGGATTAATAAAAGTTAAATATACAAAAACACATGTCGGCCATGATTGTGAATTGGGGCGGTTATCATTGACCACATCTGATCACCTTAAAATAGCATCGAAGATATCTGCTGAGATACAATTCGATGCTATTTTAGACGAAGTGAGGTCCTCAGTTAATGAAAATTTAAAACGAATAGATCTCTACACGCAAAGATCTTTTTAATATTGAAAGGTATTTTAATTTTAAAAAAAGATTCGGTCCGACATGCAAATAACACACAGAGTGTTGACTGTTGGGTGAACGAAATCTGTGAGACTGGTGACACAATCGTGAGATTGTATAAAAGTCAAGGAATGCTGTGTGAGGAGCATCCATCCCTTCTCGTAAACGATTTCACCTTGGTTCTCATGACGGATGCTCAAAAAGAAATATTGAAATTGTTTGGCAATAACATCATTTGCATTGATGGTACACATGGGACCAATGCGTATAGGAGGAATGACCGAGTTCGAGCACACAAAAACGTTAGAAAATCGCGTTTCAATTGTCACTTTTAAATGAAACTAAATTGTTAATGTCTACTCGGAAAGAGGACACTGAAGTAAGTAGAGAGTTATCCAAGTGCTTAATTTGAATTTCAGAAATAACTGACTGGGTGTGAATTTGTCAATTCACTTTTTGTAAAAGATGGTTCTAATCACTGAATTCTGTGAGTAGAGCCATCCTTCACAAAAAGCTTTTATAATGGGTTATAAATATTTCGAGGGGGATCAACAGTAACTCTTTAGCCTTTCTTAAAATGTCCTAATACCAATACACTGGAAAATTAAATAATGCTTTTATCCAGTTAATTTTTTTGTTTTAGTTTTGATGGCAATGTTTATTCTATTCCTATGTAAAGTAAAGTAATTCCAGTAATACAGGAGGGCGTAATATACAACTACCCTTTGGGTGTCGTGGTCGACAGGGTAATACCAGTTACAATCCATTTTTTATATTATTCTCAATTAAAAAGCCATGGGCCATGCCTATATTCGAACCCAGAACTTATCCACTCAGCCACAACCGTCCCCTTAAAGCTTAAATATGTTCATATTATCCAGATTTTTGCTCAATACTTTCTGTTGAAAACTTTTTCCTTCGAAAGCTATGGTAAAAGAATTTATTCCGACATATTTGTTTAATAATTAAGATCCCAAAATTGGTATTTCATAAGTTACATTAATTGTTACTTATTAATGAGATTTTACTAAGTTGAAATTAGTTCTCTTACCTTGTAAAATGTATTTAAAATACTCAGGAGTGAATGGCATTTTGTCGCTGAATACAGCAATCGGGTTGAAAAGTCTTTTACAGAGGTCTTTGATTCTCAGTGGTATCTCGAAAGTTTGGTACAACCTGTACACACTTTGAAGGGGAATGTGTTTCAAAAATTTAAGAAACGTCCCTGAAAAACCAGAATTATTTCTTCTATAATAGACATGCTAATTGAAGTATACAGATCAATATTATTAAACCATCATATTTTTCCATTGCTTTGAGTACGACTTCGTCTATAAAGCGGTCGAACGTTGCGGCAATCACTCCTGGGATCTTTGAGTTCAATTTTCTCGGTTCCAATCTTGTCAGCATGCAGAACGTCATGAGATAGTGAATCATCTCGTACATCATCACTTTATCCAATGGATTAGAACCAATTCCTTAAAACAAAAACTGTAATATTAGAAACATCCTCTTTGTATTTCACCGCCAAATACCCACCGACCATTTGATCTAATTGCACTGCATTGAAGTTCGTCTCTTTAATGCCGCAGTCTCTCAACAACTGATACAGCATGATTCTGAGCATGACTGTTTTAAATTTAGGCACTTCGTTGCGCACTCCGATGGTACTGTAAAATGTGTAGACAGTTGTGAGATCCGCCATCCTCTGCATTATGACTTTTTCCAGCCATTCGTTTTCCAGTTGTCTTATCGCCTCGCACTGGCCTTCGTCCACTGTGCAAACCGGGTCTTGCGGACTCAAAGGAATACTGAGATCGTAGTCAATCTAAATATCCACATTATCAAATAGGTTTAATTTAATTTTGTTTTGTAACAGTTTAAACCTCGAAAAGCTTGTTAATATGTTTTGTGAAATCCATCTTGTGAACTGGACTGTTGAGATTTATTGTCCTGGGCTTGACCCTCTCCCTCACTTCCCTATCATCCATCAAATTCTAAAATATGGTTAATCTTGATTTATTGATCTGGATCAGTGTTTCCATTTAAATAATTACAAAAATATTTACAATTAATTCAAAATCATTAGATAACGTGTCACTGTTTTCATTGTCAACTATGCCAGTCAGATCAACCTAAAAAACAATGCAAACTAAGTGTAACTAATAACGTTCAACTGTCAAAATCAATTACAATTATTTACAATGGATTACTTACAAATTAAGAAGTAATATCTATTTGTTATATTTATTTGTCTATATTTGTATGGTATCAGTTTTTGTTCACAAAAACCTCACTCATAAAACACGTTTTTTAATTAATTAAATTATTTACCTCAACGCATTTGTCTTCGAAAAATAAGTTCCTTGCAAATATGGTATCACCGTTTCGACAAATAATTTCCCCATTTCCGTATTTTTCTTTGTTGTACCATGTTGTGTATATGGTTGCCCCAGAGGTCAATTGGAGATGGCCGAAACCTGCAGGGAATATGGTTTGCGACATGTTGCTGTAAATAATTTATTAATTGACAATGATCGCTTACCGAGGCGCTTTCCTTCGAAAAACGACCCAGTGAAAACGTTCAAATGTGGAGCGACAAATGTTGTGTTCCTGAACGCCCCCCATGTGTACTTTCCAACGCCGTGCATATATCCCATTTTCCAACGGCCGGTGTATATCTAGAAATATTAGAAACGAAAGAGTACACAGTGAACTTTAAACGGGACCCTAGGTGTTGAGGAATTTTTTGGCAACTAGGCAATAGACATAGTAGCTAAAAGGGAAATACATAGGCCCATTTTGTGGCAAAAACAAGAGCCACATTAAAAAAACACTGTAATATTGAGTTGATAGAAAACAACAAATACATTGAATGGATGCCGGTCAAAGCAAAAAGACTACTCGCTACTTAAAGAAAGGTAAACTATGAGCACCACATAGGCCTGGGAACACCCCACCCATCTTTCAAATCTTGGTTAAATAGACATAGAAATAAATGCTCGTGCAATGAAGCAATAGCATCTAAAGCCAACGAGGTTAACTGAAAACTACTCTGGCTTTGTCAAAATACCTTTAAAAAAAATTCATTCAGGCTACAGTTGGTTCCAGGTCATGAGGGAATTTCAGACATTAGCAGATACACTGGCTGAAAAGAGAGCCTCGAAACAACAGAAATCCTTTTTGTCCCATAAAGTATACCCACATTAAACAAGGACTGGAAATTAAAGAACACAACAGATATTGGTGCCAGGCATGAAGCAAGCAAAATGACAACTAAAAATTTGAAAATATTAGCTTACTAAAATTCAACATAAAAATTAAAAAGAGAGCACAATGGAAATAAAATTCAAAAAATAATAATAATAAAGACCGCCACGACCATCTTTCATACCGAATTACTTGCCAGAGAAATATATGCATTTATAGCTAAAAGAGAACCTCGGAACAGCAATTAGCCCAAAATCCCAATTGTATACAAGACTTACATTAAAAAAAGAACTGGAATCTAGAGTTACTAAAGAACAAAACAAATACTGGGGACGTATACCAGGCATGCGAAAAGCAAAAAGACCATAAAACCCAATGGGAGAAAGAAGAAATCCTATTCAACAAAAGGAATTAAACACAGGTATATTTACAGGACATGCTCCAATAAGAGACCACTTACAAAATGGGACCATCAACAGATGACCAATATAGATTATATGAACATATCCTATGAAACTATCCTGCAATAGCTTTGCAAAGCTCTGATACCTGGGAAATTATTGACCTAGAACAATACCACTCAAAAGAATGCTATATTTAAAGGAAACCAAAACCTTCAAGGAAATCATAGCGGACAATGTTTAGTCGCAAAATGGGGAAATCCGTAAAACTTCAAATGTGTAGGAAAAAATCCGGCAATATTAAGAGAATAGATAACGTCATGTTACACATATAATTGTGCAAACATTGAGAAAAAAAGGTGAGAATCAATCAGAAATTATACCATGGGCTATCTGTGATCTGCCTTAACTCGTCCTCACAGAAAAGGAGGATAAGGCAGTCCTTTATTCAAACCCCGATATATTAGGAAAGAGGTAGAGCCTACTTATTACGACAATTTGTCCAAAATTGACAGGCGGTTGAAAGGTCATCTTTCGAGTTAATAAACAAATTAAACCAAAATGAAACGAAATTTTGTTCACGTACCAACTGATTTTGGTTTATGCCAAACAATGGCAGCTAAAACGCTTGGATTTGAAGAATAGCTTTTACGTGCTGTATTCAACTATTCACTGACACATGGGATATGTTTTGAGGGTGAATTCCGTTTAAACCCTATAGATCATTTCCATTGAATTGGAGCATTATGAATCATGATTAATGAGCATGACGTTAATATTTGGGGCGTCGGTGGCCACAACGGTTTAGACGTTGACTTGGCGCTCATCACTGGTAAAGGTCCTCCGGGCTTGAATCAAGCGGCCCTTCATTCGAACCCGACATACTTACAAATGGGCTTTTTTTCAGGGTTCATATAACCTCGTAGTTGAAATACGCTCGTTAAAAAAAGAAAATTTTTTTGCATGCAGTTAAAATTTAAAGAACCCTGGGTTCTGCCGTTAAAAAATGGTTTTAATTGCAGGGCTGTCATGATTCGAACTGGCAACTCTAGATGCTGTGCCAAGGCTTTAACCTCTGTGGCCAAGAACACCCTTTTGCAACAACATTTTGCAGATGCATTTTTATATAATTAACTAATTATTCAGAAATCGTGAGATGCGGTCTGGTGTGATGTAGGTTTCAGAAAAACATTTTCTTTATCGTGCCAACGTTTCGATCTTTATTGANAATGGGAAAAGGAAAGCTAAATTGTTGAAAAATTAGACTATGTAAAAATGTTTGATGTGTGGAATGTGATGAATGTTTTATATGTTATATTATATGTTTTGTGTGATGTGATGATGATGTATGTATGTTATCTATATTTAATTTGATTAATGGTATTGGTGTAGCTGCGACTGAGTTTACATGTATCTGTCCTGTAATTGATGCTGTGTTTATCTCTGTTGATATAAACCATTTCTAAAAAGTTACGTTTATTTTTGTTTTGTTCTGTGTGTAATATTTTTGAAGTCGAAATTGTGTTTGTGTTCAAAATGGTGGGTAGCCGAACCGTACCAACGTTTTTTCACCTCAAAGATGCCGACTCCTTATACAAAAATGTCTTTCCATTTATTCAAACATAAAACAGCAATATCTATGAGCAACTGGCACTCAACACGACACGCAAGAATGGCACAATTACACAGAAAACAAACACTTTGAGCGAGTAGAAATACTTTGATTGAAGTATAAATTCACTTTTTTCCACATCCTACTTGTTTTTGTTAAATTTAAACAATGTTTGTAAATCCCAGGCACTGAAGATGATCTCAATAAAGATCGAAACGTTGGCACGATAAAAAAATGTTTTTCTGAAACCTACATCACACAAGACCGCACTCACGATCTCCAAATAATCATTGACTAACGATCACTAATCACCACACATAATTAACTAATATAATAATAACTAATAAACTAATAACTTAAAATAATAACTAATTAAAGTGGTTTCATTTCACTGAGCATTAGTAAATTATTAAAACCATCAGAACTTGCACGGTACTATTCCTGGAATTAGACCTCATGGCTAATTTATTAGCCTCACGGAGAAAAGATGAATGGTAATGAAAGAATCTTAAGAAAATGATGGTTGACATACGTCGTTATTAGCCCATATCATAGTCCCTTGCCCGCTTCTCAAACCGCTGTTCCAATGGCCACTGTACAAGGCACCATTTCCGTATAGTCTCGTACCAAAACCGAACCTTTTTCCGAATTTCCAATCGCCGTCGTACCAGTTGTTTTCTCCGTAGACGAGCACTCCCTAAAGGGCAAGGCAAAATCGTTATTCGACGTTTACACCGCAAAAGGAGTTGCCGTGTTTACTTTTCCGTGTTTTTTCCCAGCGCGATAAAGTCCATAATGATACATTTCCCCGTGAGTGGAGATACGGTGAGTGATGCCGTGTCCCTCCCTCAAATTACACCGCATGTCTCCCTCGTACCAGGAACCGTTTGGCCACAAGATACTGCCCTTGCCATGTGCCGTCCCTTCCTTAAATGAACCCTGAAATTCGTTAAAATTACAGGATTACTTTAAAATCTTTACAGACAACTTTAGAACCTCTTACTTCGTAAATGGTACCGTCGCTCCATATATATTTACCCTCACCTTCCATTACCATTCTAGATATACGTCCGATGTATCTACACGTTTACAAATGTACAAGCTCCATTTTGCTCATAAAATGGTTGTTTATAATAGTTTACCTATCTCCGTTTTTAAAAAAGATTTCTACACTTTGATCTCTTTCCTTATAGGTCCAATTCAGAAGCTTCCTATTTATGTATAACGCTCCCAGATAGGATTTAGCCGGGTAATACGCAAGTTCTGCAATGTAAGCGCTTATAATTAATACACCAAAAAGAAACTTATAAGGACATGCCTTTTAAGAGAAGGTCTCCTTCGCTCAATGTTTTTTTATCGACTTCAAATTCTTCACTTATTGGTTCCGTTTCGCTTCTGACTCTCACCGGGGTATGTGCCCCTTCAGCTTCGTCCTTACCAATTAGTGAACCTTTGGTATCAGTCGATAAGAATTTTGGAGCTCGGAACGACTGGACAGACGATTTTGTCGTTGAAATGGACTTGTACATTCTCGACTTTCTCTTTAGTCCTGTTTTTCTAACATTTGACAATTGTTTAAAAATTTTCCATAAATAGAATAAAAATAAATTACTTTTTTCTCTTAACACATTTTTCCACCACGACCGATCTGCCCGAGTCGCTTTGTGGAATAGAATTTTGAACGTCCGCGGACACATGAATCTCAGGTTTTATGTCGACCCTTCGCATATAGTCTGAACTTTCCATCCTGACAAAACAAATCAAGCTCAGCTAGTGCGATTCTCTTTTAAAATTAAAATTCAAACCGACGATTTCATGATATGCCCAGCCATAAGAGAGAGGAAATTCGTCGCAATTTCATCATCAGGAAAAAAGAACTTTCCAATATTTCCAAGAACAATGTCCGGCTCGAGAAAAAAACTATCTGGAAAACCGGGGTACAATCAATTGTGAAGTCATATATAATTATTTCTTTGAAATAATATTTTAGAATATGTGTGGTGATTAGTGACCGTTAGTCGATGATTATTCGGAGATGGTGAGATGCGGTCTGGTGTGACGGAGGTTTTAGAAAAACATTTTCTTTATCGTGCCAACGTTTCGATCTTTATTGAGATCATCTTCAGGGCTCAAAGTGTTTGTTTTCTGCGTAATTGTGTCACTCTTGAGTGTCGTGTAGAGTGGGCACTCTCAATACGAGACACAAGAACGACAATTACGCAAAAACAAACACTTTGGGCCCTGAAGATGATCTCAATAAAGATCGAAACGTAGAAGAATGGTGTAAAAGTGCAGCCTTGGGAATCAACCCAAACAAAACAACTATAGTCACTTTTACACGGAAAAGAAAGCTAGATCACATGAAAGTAATCAAACTAAACAACACTGTGATAGAAATAAAAAATGAAGTCAAATATCTGGGCATCATACTAGATAAAACACTAACGTTTAAGAAACATATCAGCTCTATCATCACAAAGGCGACACGAGCTCTGATGGTGTTCAGAAGAATGGCAGGAAGAAACTGGGGATGTAGACCAGAAACCCTGTTATGGATGTACACCATGATAGTAAGACCTTTACTTAGAGATGAGAACATGTCCTACAATTAGCATGGAAAAGATATTGGGACTAATCCCCCTACATCACATGATAGAAAGGACAGCACAGAAAACTATAATTAACATCACTAGAGAGAAACCTCCAACAGGAATAAAACTGAAATGGAGAGACAGAAACAAACTGTGGAAAAACCATCCTTCACTCATGGCTCCAAGGGACGACATGAACAGGAGGTTTGAATTTAACCATAAATTCCGAATACATCTGGGCACCAAAAAGGAATGGGAAAGAGAGGGAAATAACTCCCTCAAAAATGGCACCATCCTTTGGTACACAGATGGATCTAAAACACAGGAAGGTACGGGGGCAGGAGTGTTCGGACCCGGAACCAAATACTCAGAACCCATGGGAAAGCACACCAGTATCTTCCAAGCTGAAATTCATGCAATTGAAAGATGTATCCAATTCAATCTAAATAAAGAATACAAAAACCTAACAGGAATCCTAACAGGATTCCTGACAGGACACTGTAGATTAAATGGACATCTAAAGAAAATTGGAATAATCCAAGATGGCACATGCAGATTCTGCAAAGAAGCAGAAGAGACACCAACACACTTACTAACAAACTGCGGAGCTACACTAGCCCGCAGGAGGAAGTGTTTTGGGATGTACAATGTGACCATAGAAGAACTACAACCACTGAAACCGGGCCTATTAATCAAGTTTCTTGATGAAATAGGACTCACTGATGTGCTTTAGGCAGAGCACAGGGGATACAATAGCTCTTAAAGGGCCATACCCTGAAATATTACATCTACATCTACATCTACAAGATCGAAACGTTGGCACGATAAATAAACTGTTTTTCTAAAACCTACGTCACACCAGACCGCATCTCACCATCTACGAATAATCATTTTAGAATATGCAGTTTTGAAGTTTGATATTCTCCTTCTGTCCACCGATTTTGGTCAGTCAGACACTTTTCAGTTTATGGCCATTCAGTGTCGGGTTAAAAATCAAATCCGTGAGCATAAAAGGTATGAGATTTCCCTTCTTATATGTTATAAACCTTTAACTGGCGAGAAGCAGAAACGCGTCCAACAGACCAAAACAGCTAGGATTCAGTTTTTTTTTTTTTTTTTTTTTCAATAAACAATCACTTATATTTTGAGGAAGAAATCATTCACTTTCAGTCGATAAACTTCATCCGGCAATTGTTTTCTAATGATCTTTGTCGGATTTAAATTCCTCTCGAACCACTCACCGGTCGATTTGGTAGATTCGGACTCCGGTTCGCTAGACGAACTTGACTTCCTCCCCTGTTGGGAGATGGTCTTCATCTCCGTCAACCAAAGAGCCATTTTGCACGAATAAATAAAAAAAAGTCTCTCGACTAAAACTACTCTAAACAAACAACTATAACACTAATAAGGAATATTGTGAGAAACATATGGTAATATGTGAAAACTTTTTACGGTTTACCCATTTATGTTTACATGTCCGAACGTTGGCTGCTGGGTATAAAGTATTCTTAGCAAGAAGAACGTGATGAAAAACGCGATTCAAGAAATCCCCCTTGAGTATTGAATATTCGCACTTATAAACTTAATTTGAATCCCCCTAATGAGAAAATTATTTATCGTAAATTTAAAAAGTAATAAGATTATTGTTCGAATCGACACTCCAGGAAAGTGTCTTTGAGTTTTATGATAAGGAAGCGGTTTGAATTATTGAAGATCCGACGCATAGTCTATAAAATTATTTTTATCTCTCACACCTTGGATATTCTTTTATGCCATCAACTTCTTTAGATTGAAAGTTAAAATTTTAGCTTTTTTTCCATTCCTCGAGGAGGGGCCATTTGTTGCCCATGTTTAGCTTCAAATTCATGGATGTTGAGATTCGAACACTTGACCCTTACGGTGATGAATTGTCGGGTTTTAACCTTAAAAAAAAATTATGTTGATTTCCAGAAAAAAATTTATTTTAATTAATTATACTTTTTATGTAAGGTCTTGGGTGATAAGAAAAATCAAATGACACGAGCGATTTTCGATGTAAGGCTCGTAGGCACGTTTTTTACCTATTTAAAAAAAAAAAATGGAAAAAATGATTATTGTCTTTTTCGATGTAAAAGGCTCGGAGGCACGTTTTTTTTACGTATTTTTCAAGAAAAACGTAAAAACCCCCCAAAAAATCGAAAAAAAATTTGTCTTTTTCGATGTAAAAGGCTCGTAGGACACGTTTTTTACGTATTTTTCAAGAAAAACGCAAAAAAATCGAAAATTTTTTTATTGTCTTTTTTGGTGTAAAAGGCTAGTAGGCACGTGTTTTACGTATTTTTCAAGAAAAATGCAAAAACCCCCCAAAAAAGCGAAAAATTTTTATTGTCTTTTTCGATGAATAAGGCTCATAGGCACGTTTTTTACGTGTTTTCAAGAAAACGCAAAAAATCGAAAAATTTTTATTGTCTTTTCCGATGTAAAAGGCTCGGAGGCACATTTTTTAAACGTATTTTTAAAGAAAAACGCAAAAAAACAAATAAAAATTGAAAAAATTGTTATTGTCTTTTTCGTTGTAAAAGGCTCTTAGGACACTCTTTTTTCAAGAAAAATGCAAACAATTATATTTATGTAATTCATTATTTAACATGGTTTTTTGGCATTTACGTTGTAAGAGAGTTGAACAGTTAATAATATTTAATTTAGCAAGAACGAATTTTGGGGTTAGATTTAATTCCAAACATTGGGAATTCACTCAGATTGATTTGTTGATTTTTGAGCATGAAAGTCTTAATTTATAATAAAGATTTAAAAGTACTTGTTTACCAGGCGTCGGGTAGCGTCGCATAAGCGCTGCATGGGGTAAGTGTGTTCCCTTCTTTAATCAGGTCCCTTTGTGAGATTTTTTCTTGAGGTTTAGAGGTTGATCATCCAATAGCTTGTTTGTTTCTTATTTTTCTTCTTCTTTATCTGTCTCTCCTCACTGTTTTAGTCTTTCATACACTTTTTCGCCTCTCATTTCTTTCAGTGGTGGCTTTATGAATTTTTCTTATCGTAATCAGATATCTCTTACATTGAGATCTTTTTTCTTGAGGTCTTGGGATTGATGAACTATTATGATATGAAAGTTCAGTCATTTCTGATTAATTTTTCATCTGCCTAACCTCACTGTTTTAGCCTTTCAGACTCTTTTCTCGCCAACTTAAATGGTAGATTTATGCATTTTTTTAGGAGAATAGCTTACAAAGGTATGAATTTCAATCTTTGAGTGTTTGGTAATTTACAGTCATTTTTTGTCTGCCCACACTCATTGCTATGAACAATCAAACACCTTTTGGCTTGACACCATCATCAGGGTGGTATAATTTTTCATTGCAGTCTGATGTTTTTTATAATGTGAAATTTCCTCTTGAAGACTGCAGGCTGATGAATCTGTAGCTTGATCATTCCGGGTCATTCTGTTTTGGTCTTTTGGCCATCCATTTTGATCTATTTTGAGGTTATCATTAGGACCTATGTTGATTTCACGTTATGAAAAACATATCTGTACAATTGATTTAACAATAAATATAACTAACAATAATAACAATTAATAATTGATATAACTATATATAACTTAAAAATTATCATAAATATGTCTACAGATTGACATAGTTTTTTAAAAATAGAAGATCTCAAATTTCCTTGAAGGCTAACTCAGTCCTAACATTGCCAAGAAGTGTTATAGTATTCGTTTGAACGTTAGAATTATTATTTTACATTTTAGTATGTGGAACATATTTTATTCTTTGTCTGAGTAATTAAGACAATTATTAAAACATTTAAAAATTCAAATTTATGCCTACTTGATATTGAATGTTTTGATGGTCCAATACCAGTCATCACAATCAGAATCATGACCATAAATTCGATTTTATATTCTGTTTTGTTGGTATAATACATTCAATAAATTCAACTTAGGTGGCTTGAGTTATTCTTATATTTGTAGCAATTGAGTGAGGTATGTATTTCTTTATCACATATTTTAATTTGAGCAAAATCACTGGGACGTACGTTATACTCCTGAACGTGAAAGAACTGTTCATATTTCTATCAGTTTTTTCACCGTTTGTTTTTTAAATTAATATCTTACAATCTATTAACCAATGTCTTTGGGTAGTTGTTATTTCTTAAAATTCGAAAAGCTCACTCTTTAACTTCACTCCCAGAAGTATGTGCTGCTTAGTGCTTGTACTCTATATATCAAATTATTAGTACAATTCAGTTTTTGATTAAAAGAGTGTGAAGAGAAATAATTGAAATATCTGTCAGAGCTAATTTCTTTTATATACCACCTAACATGTGCCTGCTGGACTTCTGATTACTTCCATGTTTAGGGCATGAGGGCTAGAATCTTCGGAATGAATGCAAAGTTATGACTTGTTAAATATGCTACAGTTTTCCAGTCTGAGATTATAGCGATTGAATACTATGCCAGGGAAATAAAAAGGCTAGAAATACATTCCTGGAAGATAGCTATCTTCTATGACAGTCAGGCAGCATTAAAGTCACCTCACAAGGTGGAGACAAAGAGTGTTTGGACCTGTTTGGAGGCCTTGGTTGGAAGTCAATGATACTAATGACCTGACTAACTATAACTAATAATGCTAGTGACCCTGGGCATAGAGGCAATGAAAAAGTTGACATGTTGGCCAAAGAGGGAGTGACATGGACTCTCTAGGTCCTTAACCCTACTGTAGCCTAGCATCTTGCCACAAAAAAAGGATATATCACAAAATGGATCCTTAGTGAGTCCAAAACCTGGTGAACAATACCACAGGCATGAGGGACGCGAAGAGGTTCATAGAAGGGCCATATGCAAAACTTACAAAGGAATCAGGAAAGGCAACTGCAGCCGAACCAGGATTCTAGTTGGACTCCTTGCATGGCACTGCTACTTAAGAAATCACTTGCACCAGATAGGATTACAGACAGAAGAAACTGCAGATATTGCCAGGAAAAGGAGGAGTCCGCAGAACACATTTTGTTTTTGAGAAGGGCTATGTAGGTGCAGATTCTTGCAATTAGGACAGGAAAAGCTACAAGCAAAATCCTACACTGAATCGCTGGCAAGGCTATGGAGTTGATTAACAACCTGAAGCTGGCCAGTGGGTTTAAAAAACAGGGGAGCACAATAGATCTACTCAGTTCAAGGTTCAGAAGGCCTTGTGGCCACCTCTTTTATCCCTATCCCTATACATCTGGATAGAGTATAGTGCCACTACTTTCAATTTCATTTAGTAGGGTTAGCATCTTTTATTCGATTTGTCTTTATGCATTAGAACAATTCTGTTTTCCTTGCCAGCTTTCATGGTATTAATTTAAAAATTGCTTAGTTTTCCTAATCAAGTCAATCATTTTCATGTCTTGATTATTTTTCCGAAAGGAAATACCGTTTCTGATTATCCTGCATTATTACTTTTGGCTAATCTGAATTTCTGCCCTTCTGAGCAGTACTCCGTCCCAAGTATTTTGGACTATTGGGACATTTATAAGTTATTGAATCTTTAGTGATTCACAAGTTCACATATTGATGATGGTTCTGCTAAAAACTTTTCTGCCATCTTATATTTTCTTATCTCTGTAGCTATATAATATCAATTGTTTGTTTTTTCTTCGAGAAACTGGTGATAATTAAAAATAAATTATATTAAAATTATTATACAAATTTTGCATTTATTACATTTGAAAATGTTTTAGGTTGTTTAAAATCAATCATTATAGTTTTGTAGAAACATTTATTGTTTCAATATTACATTGGCAGTTTCGTTCATCAATACAAATTATTCATGACAGTATGGCAGTAGGTTAATTTTTTATGTTTTAATGTCAAAATTCGATAAAAGTTTTGAGCCAATTTCTTCAACTCAAATGAAAATCTATATTTTATTAATTAATGACTTATCCCTAGAAGTTCAGAGTACAAGTTATTTGATTTCATAATTGACAAAGAATAATTTAATGCTTAACAAAAACAATACGAATCCTAATTTAAAATGTAATACATTTTCTTGTACGCTGAAAGTAATTTTGACACCCAATTACTCTGCCTGAAAAAATTCAGTATTTAAAGATTGAGCAAATTCATTTTTTTGACTTTCTATTCTTGCTGAAATGACAACAGTTTGGTAATAATTTATTGTTTGGATGGAGTTTTAAGAGAAAGAATATAGTAAAAAAAATACCAATTAAAAACAGTTAAAAAACCATGATCCAATAAATTAAGTATTAAAACAGAAAAAATATCCTACATTTTCTAATTTAACATCTCATGACTTTCAATTCAACAACATCAACAATCAATTTTTAATAAAACATACACATAATATTATAAGTAGACAATTATCGAAACAGTGTAACATATGTATAAACTTAACTTCTCAACATCCAACATTTATCTTATAGCATCTCACCAAATATGCTGCACCCTGTTTTTATATATTACATAATGAAATATGATATGCCCCACTAGATATATTGGCAATAGTACAATCATCAAATGTAGACAATTTTTTTAAAATAAATTATTTTATCCCAACATAGGCCAAATGCGAGTAAATACGCTCCTCTGTCTATTTCTTTTTTTTTTATTTTGTAAGATAAACAACTTTTTGTTGAGACTATATTGAATAAATAAAAATGGAAGCCAATTAATTGACTATAAAGGAAATTAATAGAAGGAAAAAGAAGTCTTATTTTTTTAAAAAGAGCAGCATTGTAACTGATTCTAAAAACACTGTTCAGGAACTCAAAAATAAAATTAATAAACAAATAAAATATAAAATAAAAAGATAAAATTCATATATTTATGTTAATGAGATCATATTTTCAGGTTAAATTTCATTGTAAACACTATAAATTATCAGTAATATATTATCATATATTTATAATATTAAACTCAATTTTATAGTCATATTGTTTATATTTATGGTTTCAATTTAAGCATAATTGAAAACATTTAGGCATTAAAACCCTAAGGATCATATTATAATAGACTAACATTTATATTGGTAATCACAGAAATTTTAAATTTTAAACTTTAAAATCTCCGACAAAATTTTCCTCATAGCTTAAGCAGAGCTGTTATCGGGCATGTTTGTCGTCGGTGGTTTTGGCTTCCTCATTGTCCTCGTTTCTTGAACCGCTGCAACCAGTGTCCGCACAGCTTCTTCATGCCCCTCGAAACTATCCGCCTAAAAATAATAAGACATACAAATTGGAAAAAAATTGTTAATAATTGATACCTTTTTAAGTCCATTGAGATCAAAGGCACCCCTGAAAGACTCCGGATCGTGGCAGAATTTGGAAGAACTGTAATGGTGGTTCCTGCGTTTGGGTGGGAATGTCTCCCATGAACGCTGCTTCTGCATCATACGCCCCTTACCTTTCCCCTTGCCGTGGCCTATCACTACTACAAGGGTCTTCCTCCTATCCATCAAATCCGTAGAAGACCGACGACTTTAAAACACAAATTTGTTAACTCTCAGAGTTGATTTTCTGATATATCTGGATTACTAACCCTGAGCTTGGAGTATCTGGATAAAACACGGAATCTTCAGTGTCAGAATGTGGGTAGACAGCCGGAGGCGTGGCTGACTTATGCACATGAGCACGTGTGTGGATAGTAGTCGCATCAGATATATGTTGATAATCACTGTCCTCATCTACAATATCAAGCAATTTAATGACTAATACGTTACTCATTGTTCTTCTTAAAGAAACTGTCTGTAGACATTTGATGTAGACATCAATCTAGTTGAGATATGGCATCATAATTGCGTAAATTTACTGTTACGTACAATATACAAGACAAAAATTAATTTTTAATACATGTCACATTTAGTAAATATTTTGGAAATACTGTCTTCTTTCACTTTCATTATACTTCTATTAAAAATAATATCGTCAAATTTTATAGAAAAAGTAGGCTATGTTTGTTTGTCTGCAAGTAGTCGAACAGCACTGATCATATTTCTGGGTGTGTCTGTTCTCACTTGATTACATTTCACTCATTTCTGCTACCACTTAGCGCATTGAAGATGATGAGGAGGATGATACTAGGAAATGGGAGGACCCAAAGGGATCACCAATGGTTATTGAGGAAGCTGTAGAATCAACAAATCAAATATAGTCAGAAGTATGTGACACTTGCCGCGGGTGTCACTGGTCATTATTCATCATCAACAAGAAATAAGAAAGGTTATGATGATGATGATGATACTAGGAAACAGATTGAATATTCTCCAAGCACTTCACATGTTTGGCTTATTGTACTTTTCCTAGTTGTTTGGTTCAGTTAAATCAATTCTTCTGTTTAGAGATAGAAGACCTTGACTGTCATTGCTGAAAGCGTTTTTCATGAGTTTTCTTGGTATGCTAGGTTATATATCAAGTGAACAGTTGCTTCGCATTCAAAGATTCTAGCGCTTGTCCATTTTGTTTTGATTGGATCAATTCTGTGGTGGAGAGGGTCTATGTAGATATCCTTTTGGATCCTTCCTTAGTTTTGGGTCTATAGTTGTTGTTGCAGATGCCTTGGCCAGTTTGCTTGTTACCCAAAATTCTTTTGTGTGGGTTTCCATGGATGTCATTACTCCTTAAGGTCTTTGCCCACTAGAACGTATCATACTAGGACCGTAACCATACCGGCACATGCAAACAAATATTCTTTACATCATTTAGTATTAGAAAATGCCCACTACACCGTTCCATCACCGGCCAACACCTTAGCGTGCCATGAACGTTCAGTCAACAATCGGCTGCCGAGAATATTTTGCAGGTGTCGGCACGCTCCCTGTATGACATGTGAACATTGTGCGCATCCAGCCTACTGCGTTGCTGTCCCATTCCACACAAGTTCTTTGCATTTGACGAAGAGATCTGTGTTCTATTGTATTGTGAGTGTTTGTATCGTAATAAAAATGGAGGATGAACAACTAATAGAATAGTTGTTGTTACCCGACTTCGTAGAGATTCGTGACTCCAGTAGCGTCTAGTATTTTTTGTTTTTGCTTTTCCTTTTCCTCGTCCAAAATAATGGCAATCATGGACAATGCTCGTATTGATAATTTTCTAACAGCCATACTTTATTTAACAAAAATCACTCCTCACAATATCTCTACTTAATACAATTGCAAAACTCTTCACAGGTGTTCTATTGGAGAGAATAAAGAATTGGATAAATAAGCACAACCTACTTAAAGAATCGCAAGCAGGCTTCAGAACCGGATATAGCATGATAGACAACATCTTCAACCTGTACAACATTGTAAATATAAAATTATCTGACAAAGAAAGGGTGTACTTATTTTTTTTTGTAGATTTTCGGGCTGCTTTGACAGTATAGAAAGGAGAGCACTATTTTATAAATTATCTACCTACGGGCTATCTACAAAGATTATTAACGTCCTCAAAAGTTATTATGCCGGATCAGATGCCCGAATCTGGACAAAAGGTCTGACGAGTGACTTTGCCTGCGAAATGGGAGTCAAACAAGGTTGCGTACTCAGTCCGGTCCTGTTCGCAATCTTCCTTAACGACCTGGAGGACGAACTATGCGGAGGGGTAATAATTAACGGACGAAAAATAAGGATACTACTACGACATAGTGTTGTTGGCCTCTACACCTGCATCGTTGCAACTCATGATAAGGGATTTAGAAGACTATTGCGACAAGTGGAACCTTAAACTGAATCTGCAGAAATCCCAAATTATGGTCTGTCGGCAGGGAGGCGGAAGACTTAAGAAAAACGAAAGATGGATCTTCAAAAGTGAAAGAGTGGACTGCGTAAACTGCTACAAATACCTTGGTATTAATTTCACTAAGTCCTTGAAGATGAAGCATCACTGCAGGGAGAAGGCCAGCAGCGCTAATACGCCGTTAATAGTCTGTGGCACAAAATAATGACCAACAAGAAGATCCCATAGAGGAAAAGATGGTGATATTCAACAGCACCCTAAGGTCTGTAGTATGCTATGGTCCGCAGGTCTGGGGTTACTTATACTTGAAGGAAATAGAAAATGTACAGAAATACTTCATCAAGAAACAGCTCTGCCTGCCAACTAATACCCCAGACTACATCCTATATTTTGAGTGCTCGGTCACACCACTCTACAGTCACACTTTGAGCCTGCATTTGAAATATATAAGTAAAATACTGAATCACACACCTGACAAACTGACACAGTTTTTGGCTGACAGTAATAAATAAAGGCATTTTATGGCACAAGCAGCTGTCAGAGTTAGGTAGGCTGTATGGTGTAGGAGTAAGTAGGGAAGAACTGAAGTCCTCTAATACCTCGGGCCTGATAAAAAAATGGGAGGAGAGCAAGAGGAAAGACCTGGTAACCCGCGCGAGAAACAGCTTACATCACAACTTACACGCAAGACTGGATTTTCACTTAGGGCGAAACTACATGGAATGCTCTGATATGACAGCCTGTGAGGTTTCTCTGGTCTTGAGGGCGAGGGGTGAATTACTTCAGCTGAACTGCCAACCGTAGAGACAGGATCGCGCCATCATTTGCTCCTTATGTAACCTCAACGTCCTGGAGGACACTCTCCACTTCATGGGAGTGTGCCCCGTTCTGAGAGAGTTCCGCCAAAGGTACTTTGGGAAACTGAAGCTGGATGTAGAAGAAGTCATTGCAATCCTCAATGGAAGGGATAACTGGAGGAAGCTTGTGGTGTATCTCACTCACGCCCTATGGTACCGAAAATACCTGGTTGACCAATTCAATTTTTAAAATCAAAGTTCATTCTAAAGATACAAAAATTGATAAAGCAACTCGACAGACGGCTAAGACCATTGTCAATTTAGCTTTTTCTTTCGAAATGTAAAGTTAATGTAAATACTTTGTGTAAATAAAGCCTTTATTCATTCATTCATTCAAATCACTCCTCACGTGAAAACAAAATTCACAAACGACGTGTTTTTAAAAAAGAAATGTATAACAGTGAAAGCAAGATGGCTACGAAACGTTTTTACATACACGTTACATACGGGTATAGAACGTGGTTCATCCGTTGCAGTGGGCATAGTAGTGACCGGAGCGTTTTTTTTAGTGCCTGATACGATCCTTATATGTTACATTCTAGTGGGCAAAGACCTTAAACAACACTTCTGTCTTCCAAACAGCAAAAACTAATGAGCACGTAGCACTCTTCATATTAACAAGGGCTAAACTGATTCTAATCAGATTTATCAAATTATTCTAGTTCTCCTCTGGTTTTATTTGGATTCGTTCTGAGGTGGAGGATGTTCTATGTTTGATTTTCTCATCCCGATTAAAGGTTTGGTGCATATAGTTGGTGTCGTGATCCACGTTTGGCCAGTTTGTTCATAACCCAAAATTCCTTTGTGCTCCGGCATACAAGATATTGTAAGGTTGTAATGTTTTTCGTTTTGGATTCATTTTAGATATGACATTTTTTATCTGATAATGCTTTTAAGACCACTTGGCGTCGGATTTTATCAGGATTTTTCTGTCAGTGCAACAACTTTAAAATTTTACAATGCACAAGTATAACAATATCCAAGCAAATAACATTTATAACAGCTTGAAAGACCAAGGTGTATTAACCTATTGGGTGTGATTGTGCATATTTTGGGTTATACCTGACCAGGTATATACCTGATTAGGTTCTGTCTCTGGTTTTGGAGCCATCTATATACCATATAATTGTGTTTTATTTTTTCTGATTTCTTCATCTCTTTTTAGTCTGTTAAAAGTGAGGAACTCAGTTTGAGCTGAGGTTCAGTTATCAAGTGTGTTTGGTGAAGCTGAGTTGATCTGATAACTGTAAACCAGTGAGAATAGGCAGAACCAGTAAAACAATGTGTCGATAAGTTCAATTTTAGAGAAACCACTTTCAAACTTCAATTAATGCACTAAATTTATTATTAATAATAAAATGATTTCTAATTAATAATCCTTTTATTCCTTGTATTATACTTTCTTTGAAACTTTTAAAATTTCCATTCATTATTCTTTAAGTACATGTTCAAGGAACGTATATAAATTACAATATAAAAAGATATATGTTTTCGTGAAACAATAACATACCTTTGTCCATTCTTGAAGACATTTTTCTTCTTCTAGTTGTAAATGGGGCTACATCCTTCTCACCTTTAATATTATATATTTGATTTTATGTTTTATTTTGTGATTTGTATTTTTTCACGTTGGGGGAAAAAAAGAAGTGCAGAACAGTTTTAGTGAAAACATTTTTGCATTAAGAAATAAGCATGCTTGGACTTTACCTTGGAACTCTTTGTGCTTTGTGATCGACTTGGATCTCTGGGCAAGTTTCTGTTTGATGTGCTCTTCAAGGTGTTCTTGAATGCACTTTTTCATAAGGAATGCCGCTTCTTCCGATTGCTTTTCACTTGGCCTCTGTAATTTTGAAATATGAATTATTATCGTCAGAAATTTGTTTTCAAAGGGATAGCACATACTTGCATCTGTGTAGCTTGAAGCGTTTTACCACTTAAGCTGTGGTATATTGAGCAGCTTTTGGGCGCCTCTGCCTTCGCTAAAAATTAAGAACAACAGTTCAAGTCTTTAAAAGTTGCCTAGTTAGAACTGTTTAAGAACAACATAATAACTATCTTAGATATAATTTTATACTTTTTCCCGAAGCACCTGAAGATTCTTTTCTTTCTTTGGAAGGTTCTCTGTCTCTTGTGATTAGTATACCACGATCTTCCTGAACAGGAGATTTTTTACGATCTTCTTTTGTCCTGACTTTGTCCATTATATGGCTAAGGACACCCCTAATTCTATGATCCTGTGCCCTGACATACTGATCAGTCTTCGAGTCGTTGCATATATCTAATAGAAAGAAAAAAGTTATAAATATATTTTTGTCTTTTTAAGATTATAAGCTTACCTTTTATTTCTTTTTCTGGTGGCTGAGGTGTTGTAGCTGTTGAATGCACTGCTGATCCCTTTTGAGAACCGTGATCCAGGATGTACCTAAGAATAACAAATAAATTGACTCACTAAGAATGAGATTGACTCAACTTACTTTATATCAGGAGAGTGCATGTTCGTGATGTGATCGATGAGTGTATTGATATTGATCATTTCGTCCAAATTTTGGTTTGAAAGTCGTTTAACGCAAGGCTCTAGTTCTTGGGTGATTGAGGCGAGCTGCTTCACCTCACATCTTATCCTAACAACCTCGCCCATCTATAATTAAAAATTAAAAAAGCAATTAAAGCTAAAATGGTACATGAAAAAACTGTATGATATACTTGGGACTGGAAGATATCCTGTTCAAGCCTGATTCTCCTTAGCTGGTCTTGCCAGAGAGACTCAAAAGAGCCTCTCATCCTGTCCAGTTCCATGTGGAATCTGTGGAGTGTGGCTTCTAACCTCTCACAATCTTTAGAGATATTTGTGTGCCTCTTTGCCAGAGGTTGTACTGCAGCTCGTTTCAAGACTGCCACATCTCTTTGAAGCTGAGTCAATCTCTCTTTTACTCCTGTCACTTCTGCTCCTAGTTCCTAGACCAGTGAAATCTTTCTCTCTCACTTCTATGCCTCTTCGGTGAAAAAAACTAAATAATACCTTCATCTGTGTTTCAAAAGTCCTGCAATGGTTTGTGAACTGCCCTTCATCAAGTGATTTTAATTTTGTAATTTGCTTTTTCTGACTTCCTCCAGGAGTGGTATTTTCTTCAGTGCCACCTGCAGGATTGGGAGATGAATTATAAAAAACTGCTTAATGTAGTTGCTTTCTAAATCGGAAACCTTGGGTAGTTTGAGTACTGGGTATTGGTGGGAGCGGTTTTCCGATCCATGGCTCTAAACTCTGCGCAAACTCGGATTTATAGTTCGTTTTGATCAGGCTTGACTGAAGTGGCCTAAAAAATGTATGTATTTCAAACGTAAATAATAAACTCCTTTATGTAATACCTGATAGGTTGAGAGAGCTGGGATATGCTATTCAGACGGTCGATCATGGCGTAAACAAGATCTAAAAACTGAAACTTTGTCGCCATGCCTGAGAAAGTGTGGCAAAGGATGAGGTGTGCCTGAAGAACTGGAATCACGCTGCTTAAATTGACGAGTTGAGAATGAAGGACTCTTTCTTTGCTCTCGTATTGCCTAAAAAATCAATAGGCTTTAGAACCACTGTCTGAACTTCACGTTCTTAATGTTTATTTTACCTTTGAACCTCAAGTAACATCGCAGCCTGAGTTTTCGCGATAGAGTCCTGCATTCCTTGGCAAAACGAGTGTATTGTGGATTTTTCAGTATTCGTGTTGTGGTGAAGTTCGTCTAGTAACGTCCGGCATGCCACGACCCCTGACCTAACTAAGCCTTGTGTCTCCCTAACCGACTAAATAAGGATATAAGTCGTAACGTGAACAAGGCGAGAAGGTGAACAAGGCGAGAAGGACGGAATACAAACCAAAAGGGAACGTTCAAGATTCTTGCAACCCTGAGCATAAGCCGTGTCGATGTCTACGCAGTGGAGTCTTGCTTCTGAAGGAGTGTCTCGGAAGCAGTTGACACAGAGCATCGCCCTTTGCGAATTGGAAAACATAATATATTGCTCTCCGTGTGCGACACACTAAAAACAAAACAATACTAAAGAATTGCAAAAAACACAAAACCATCGTACTTACACGTCTATGACCATCTTTGGCGCATTTCGACATGTGCACTACATCGTGCGTGGAAAACATCTTCGCTCGGTGGGTGTTTTCTCGACAATGCGTACAAAGCGCCTGGCCTGTATGAAAGTTAAAAGATTCATTTCCGAAACATGGATTTTACGTTTTGGTCTTTACCGCAGGTGCTGCAGAAAAACATGGAAGGTCGGTCTCTCTTGTCGCAGTTGGAACAAGGAGGATTGTCGGTATTGGCCAGGTCGATGAGATGCCTCATCAGTGTGTCCGGCGGAGGCAACTGGCAGTTGTCTTTCAACTGAGTCGTGCTTCTAAATATTAGAAAACACAATAGAGACTCGTCCTTCGAATGAGACGTTACGCAGCACTTACCCGCATATGGGGCAGTTGATTTTGTTGTCCGTGATTTTGTTTTGAAGACATTGGGCACAAAAAGTGTGGTAGCAACTGAGAAGACAGGGTTCAGAAAAGTAGTCCTTGCACAAATAACAGAGCAAAGGGTTTCTCGCTTGTTGTACTGCCTCAAGAGGTCCGGATGTACCTTCGGTGCCCACCATGTCACTACTTGCACAATGGAACATGTTCTTCGAGACCACCCTCAAACCATTACAAATATGAATAAGAATTTAGCAACTAGTTTCTCATTAGGAATCCGCGGCTCATTACTAAGTCTTGATCTATCTTGATCTAGAAATCGCCACCATCGGAAGATATATCAAACTCAAGACAATAAACAACAACAAATAGTTATTGAATCAGTATTAATTATCCCGTCCGTGATATCTTCACTAAAAAAAATTTCTTCGTCCAGTGGGTAAAATATACCGCAAGTTAAAATTAACAATGTCTTTGATCTGAAGTTTGATCATTTCCGGTCATTTACTGCCTAGTCTCGGAGTTTTGGTCTATAAGACATCCGTCTTCATTGACGGTTCTATGTTTAGGCTATTTCAATATTACAAGAAAATATCGATTTTTGGGGCAAACTGACAAAAAGGGACGCTTGCATGTAAGTGAACAAGAAAATAGTGAGATTTCTTCTTGGTGTCTACGGAGTGAAGAGCTTGTAATACGCACACTCCGATCATTTTGGTGGTTTCTCGGTATGTTCAGAGTCGAGTTGGGCTTAAGCTAAAAAGTATTGCAGGAAACTCTCGATTTTTTGGGCAAACTAAAAAAGAGAGAACGCGTGCAGGTAAGCAAACAAGAAATTGTGAAATTTATTCTATAGGTTTGTCAGGCCTGTAGCTGCTAATTTTAAATCTAGGTTATAAGCATGGTGAGGCAAGGCATCGACTCTTTTCAATTTCCTGCTTTACCAGGCAACGACTGAATATGGCGAGAGTCGAAACGCATCTATATATGAATGTTGCGGAGGCAGACCAAAATAATCAGAAACAACATAATTACAGGTTCGTCATCTCGCATAACTCAAAAATGTTCCCAATTGTCACGTATCTTTCGCAGGTAAGAGTTGGGTCAAATCTATCAGTTTAATCATTTTGTATCTGGACTATAAGCACAAGGAAGACAATCATCTATGTTCTGAATTTCTCGCTTAGCAAACCCACTAGTGAAAATGGCAAGATTCGAAACTTAACTGACAGGTCAAAAACGTTCGGGCAGGCAGACCCAAATGTTCGTAAATCATGAAACTACACATAACCCCCATACCTTAAAAATCTTACAATTGTTTCGGCGTGGTTTCGCAGCTATTATTGTTGGATTAACAAAACAAAGAGAGGGACGCTTGGACTTAAGTGAAGAAGAAAATTGTAAAGTTTCTACATGAGGTATACGAAGTGATGAACTTGGCTTTTTATCATGTTTGATCTTGGTTGTAATTAAGACGAGCCCAACCAACTATTTTTTTAAATGTCTTATTTTACAAACACCCTTTTATGATGGCAAAAGCCGAAACTCGTGTGGTAAACTAAACAAGTGTACACAGGCATAACAAAGTGATCGGAAACGAAATAACGACAGGTTCATAACGCAGCAGACATTAAAAATCCATTAGCTTCCGAAGATAATGAATTGTTGGACAAAATGTAAAAAATAGAAAGAGGCAGGTAAGGAAAAAAAAAAAAAGCGAGATTTTTTTCATGGGGGCTACGGAGTGATGAGCCTGCAGTTTGGTCGTATTGGTCATTTTGTTTCTGGGTATTAGCAGTGCAAGGCCAATCAATCATTTTTTTAATTTCGTACTTTACAAACCTGAAGATCCGAAACACATCTGGCAGACCACAAAAAAGTATGGACAAATAGACCGAAATGATCGGAAACGAACTTATCCAAACCGACAAACCTCAACAATCTCACAATTTTGATGCTACAAATCTAAAATCGAGAGTTCACAATCATATAATAACTGTAGCAATACAACCACTGAAAATGGCGAGAAACTGAACAATTCTAACATATTTAAAGGATCGAAAATGGTGAAACTAAAGGATTATCACCTCGTAAAGATCGAGAAAAAAATTCAAAAATATTTTGATGCTGTATGTAACTGTAACTTCTGTATGTAAGAACTGAGTAAAATCGAGAGTTCAGAATCATGTAATACCTGTAGCAACACAACCACTGAAGATGGCGAGAAACCGAATCTGACAGACTACATGATTGAAAAAGACCAAACTAAAGGAGCTAATGGAGGAACTAGCTTGCGAAGCTAATGAATTGTTGGAGAAAAATCTCATTATTGTTTTGATGCCATGTACTTCCGTATTTAAGAACAGTGTAAAACCCTAAAATTCATCTCGTAGATGTCCTGCTAAGACATTTTGCTCAAGAGACTGTATAACCAACAATGAGAACGAATAGACCATTTATTTATTTATTTAATTATTTTTTTAAATTTATCTTATCTTTTAATTATTTGTTTAAATTTATCTTATCTTTTAATTATTTATTTTAAATCTTCTTTCTTTGGGGTATAACAATTTTAGTATTTATAACTAATTCTATCCAGCTGCAATGTAGAACAAGAATAGTATATTTTTTTAAATTTTCAAGTTACACATTACAATATTTTGAATCTGGCACAATTCTGGAAGTGAGGACATTGAAATAAATGATTTTATCATACTCATAATTAAAATGATTAATTGTAATCGTAAGATCGGGTAGGGCCAAAATTATAGGTCTTCCCAGCTGTAAGTTGGTCCTCGCAGAGCCCAAGAAAAACATTAATTAAAAGCCAAAAGAAAAACTACTAGATAAAATAAATACTTCTGCACCAATATAAATTATTTTTTCAACAAATAGTAACACTAGAAAAAACTTACCTGCTATGTTAATTCCTCTTATGGTTTGAATACACAAAAACGAGATTTACACTGTGTGAACTATCACCCAAAGCTTGTAGGTAAATCTATTTCTCAGGAACAAGAGCCATGTTAGATTTTTTTTATCCTAGAGTGACCCAATTTCCGAATATTGACCAGCTGTGGCTGTTATGCTAGAACTATTTTAACGGTTTGAACCCTAGGAAAACGATATAAAGGTGTGGATTAAGAAGTAGTAAGTCGGGTTTAAAGGTCGAAGTGCTCGAAATTAAAAACCTATGGGATTTGCATTTACAAAATAAGTTTATAAGGGCTGTAACCATAGAGGAGGATCTGGACGTGACAACTGGGTCAAACGATTTTCCCTCGAGTTGCGCGTGAGGCCCAAGGGTGGCTCTTGGAGGGTGGTTCTTGGGGGTGGCACCGGGTGTGGGGCGACGTGGACGTCGTTTGTTGTACTAGAGAGGATGCCATCGTAATAAATAAATGAACTTCTCGACCTCCCCACGTACACTAAACATTTCTCAAACTAACCGTTAAACGTAAAACATCAATATTTAATGGATATACACGCCCAATTTGCAAGTTTTTTATTTTATTATATATTTTATTATAGCAAGAAATGTTATATTTTAAGGAAATACAACAAGGATACTTGCCATACGTGTTAATAAAGGCATCCTATGAATAACAATTCTGATGTATGAATGCAAATATATATTTCAAAATGTCTTGCTGTTTTTCTTCATGTTCTTCTTACATTTTCAGTTTTATAATTAACTTAAACAGAATTTAATACATGATTTCTATTATCTATGATTACAGAATATTATGCAAATGTCTCATTTAAAAGTATACAAGGAAGAGGATCATTAATATACTCAAATTTCTTAAAATTTCAATTCTGTGGCAGTTCCAGCGACTGAAGCGTTAGAAAAGAAAGATTGAGGTATTTCCTCCTGGGGTCTGCGGGATGGCCTGTAGTTGGTCGTTTTCGATTATCTTGATCTGACAATCCACATTGTTCAGGTCAGACGCGTTTCAGCTCTTGCCATCTTCAGTGGCCGGTTTGTTAGACAAGAAATTCAAAAGAGAAATGTTTGTCCTCGTTCTGCTTATATCTCAGATCCAAAATGATTGAAACGACCAACCAATTCATCCCTCCGTATTCCCCAAGAAGCTGGGTTTTCGGAAAATTCGAATAAATACGTTTCAGTGTCCCACCTCACCCTCCTTAAACCTCTAACAAACGCTTTAGTATTTCACCATAAACAAAGCACAATTTTGAAAAAGTAGCTGGTTGCCTCACGCAGATCAAAATGTTTGGAAACGACCAAACTACAGATTGCATCACTTATGAGAAGGTATTCAGACCGAATTCTTAGCTGATAAATGCACGTGACAATTATGAGATTTTAGATGTCTGGAAGATAATGAAACTGTATTAGGTCGTTTCCGATTATTTTGATCTGCCTCCACTCTGTTTTGGTCTGTCCAAACTCGATTCGGCTTCTCGTCATTATAAGTGGTTGATTTGTAAGGCTACAAATAGAAAATAATTGGTGCCTTGCCTGTCCCAACTTAAAACCTTGAAGATGGCGAGAAACCAAAACACTTCAAAAACAAGACTAGCAGACAAATGACCTGACTTAAGACTAAAAAATGTATAAACTTTTGTTGCTGCACTTTTTACCCACTGGACGAAAAAGTATTAATTTTACTTATGATAGCATAGAACCGATTATTTAATACTGCTTGAGTAACGAAGCTTGATTTTTTAAAAGTTAATAAGTAATTTTCCAGAGAACATCATAGTGAGATTCTCTTTAGGGATTTTTCGTTTGTGGTTTCGTCCTTCTGATAATTTTGGCCTGTTTATTTTCTCTCTCTCTCTCTCTCTCTCTCTCTCTCTCTCTCTCTCTTTTGTCAAAAGATATAATGAAACGTTGGTTTGCCCAAAATTCAAATAAATAAGATTCAGTGCTTCCATCTCACCCTGCTTAAAACCTTGACCGGTAGAAACGCGTCTGATAGTTCAACTCAGCAAGAATAGAGAGTTTTGGTCTGTCAAACTCTTTTCTGCTTCTCACATCTTAAATGGTAAGCTGCCAAGCAGGCTTATGGCAAAATGAAACGGTGGACGCACTTGCAAAGGAGGCTGCAACATCAGGTCCAACCCTTGACTTCCTAAAGATGACGGGAAATTTTTTTTTGGAAAAGTTGAAAAAGAAATCTGTGGCAAGAAAAATACAACGCATCAAATGTTGGCAATTATTACAGGTCACTGTTCCCTGAGCTCAAGAAAAAACCATGGTTTTCGGAAGGCGATAGCCCAGAAGGAATGTCAAAGGAGTTCTATTCTACTATTTTTTGACTGAAGACAAATCATGGCCTATGGGGTAGCTACAAGAAGAGAATCGGTTTGGCATCGTCTCCGAACTGTCCCACTTGCGATTGCCCTTCAAATCCTTCCCACATAATTTTTGAATGTCCAGAATATGAAAATGAAAGAGTCAAACTGCTAAAAAATCTGAGCAAAGTCCCAAACATTTCCAAACCAATAAACTTAGAATCTGTCCTAATAAGCAACAATCCATCAGCTTTCAACATAATCTATGGATGTCTAAAGTCGATAAACGTTTCTTTTTGATTATCTTCAACCATGAACATTTAGAAGATGAGAAGACGATTGAGCTGAATGAGTGGTGCGGGTGCGCGGCGGGGACCTGGCCCTGGTTGGCCGATCACGCTCGACAGTAAAATGAAAATAGAAAACTTCATGGGTAATATGCCAGCGTAAACCCAAAAAAAAGAAAAAATGGTAAGTTTGTTTTATTGTCGGTTACGGTTGAAGCCGGGTGAGACATGGTACAAAATCTTTGATTTCAAACGGGAATGTTGAAATGGAAAGCTGGCATATCGGAAAATTCGAATAAATACGTTTCAGGGTCCCGCCTCTCCCTCCTTAAATCCTTCACCGTTAATGAACAAAGAGAAAGGGTGAGGCCGATCTGACGTTTTTCGGCATTTTACTTTAAAATCGAAGAAGAGCAAGAAATCGAAAAGAGGGGGTGCTTTGCTGCTCCCTGCTTACACCCTGAACCAAAAGACCAAGCTACAGTTTCTTCACTCGGCAGACCTCAAGTACAAATCTAAACATTTAATTTCTAGCGTCGATCTCGTTTTTCGTTTTGTCCAACAAATAAATATTTTCTTGTAAACATTGATAGCAAGAAGCCGAAACGAGTCCTACAGCGCGGATATACAGACCAAAATGTTAAAAAAACCAAAAGAACCTACAAATATTATACATTGTAGTTTGGTCGTTTTCGATTATTGGTTTGTCTGTTTTGGTCTAGCAGACGCCATTTTCAGTGGTGGGTTCGTAAAATAAGAAAGAAAAGAATCGGTTTCTTTCCTCGCCATGTTTGAAATCAAGACCAGAATGATCGCAAACGATCAAGCTACATTTATTCATTATGTAAGTTGGTTGCTTCTAAGTAAACGATTTTAAACTGACAATTTTTACTGTTTTTAGCTGCGAATGCTGTGACATCAAAACAATTGTGAAATTTTTGATGTCTGACGAGTGATGTGCCTGTGGTTAGTTCCTGCCCGATAATTTTGGTCTGCCTAACACGCCTGAGGCTCTCGCCGGTTATAATGCTAGATATACATAGAAAAAGAATCGATTTACCTCGCCCTGCTTGTAACTCAGAACCAAAACGACAGATACGACCAAGCCACAGGTTTTCATCCATCTTCACTGTGGTTTTATAAAGATAGAAATTAAAGAAGAATTGGTTGGCATGAACCTGCTTATAACCCACAACCAGTGTTTGTAAAGCAAGAAATTAAAAGGACTAAAATGTTCGTAAGGATCACGGTACCGATTTCAAGAAGTAATCTCACCATTTTCTTTACTTCATCTGTCCCCAAATTCAGTTTGTTCAACAAATATTTTCTTGGCAGATTTGATATCGGTTACGGTATAGATAACGGTTAGCTTGAACACGTACGCACCACTGAGAATGGTGAGAAACCGAAACTCGACTGAGAAATCAAAGCAAAGATGGAAGTCATAGGAAAGGACCAAAATAAAGATGAAAATGTGCACACCTCCTACTGATGTCGGAAAGCGAAATGTCTGTCAGACCAAAATGATTGGCAACGATCAAAACGTGCAAAATATCAAACAATGAACACTTGACACTGTACATCGAATATAACGGATTTTCCATTATATACTGTTTTTTTAATGAAAAGATAATTTTTATTGCATATTTAAAAAAAGTGCGTTTTATTTTGAGAACAACGGAAAGGAAATGTTTGATTCCGTTTGTTAATCCAAAGATATGGCCAAATTTAGAAATTCAACTGATCATCAAACTTTATTTTAATTAAATTCACTAATTTCGTGGTCTGCTTGACCAATTAATATATTACAATTAAAACTCAACTCTCAACTAAAAACCTTAATTAATTGTAATTTATTTGAATTAATTATTCTTTTTGTGTGAGGTTTTGGTTGAAATGAAAAAGTTAGTGTCACGAGCGGGATTCGAACCCACGACCTTCGTCTTGACACGATAGCTCAAGTGGTTAGAGCAGCGGCGTATTGAGCCGAAGGTCGTGGGTTCGATCCCGCTCGTGACACTAACTTTTTATTTCAACCAAAACCTCACATAAAAAGAATAATTAATGAAAGAAGTAATTTGGTCAATCAATGTATTTATTTTAACTTTGCCAACTGTGATCTCTAGCAGAATTGACTTAGAAAAGGCAGTATATTTTTTATTTGTAAGTAATAATATGGAAAAAAAGCCCAAAATCTTATCAAATCGGGAAGAGAGATGGCTACTCTATTTAAAAAACAAAAGCTGTCTTGGAAAACCTTGTACATCCTGTGACCAAAGGGTGACTTGTTAAGCTTAAAATAATCTAGACAAATAAATCATAACACTCACTTTATCGATATTTTTATTATTAACAAAATGTGGGTAGAGCATGGAAAACTTGCGACCCCGTTCGATAAAAATATTTAATTAATGAAATTTGTAAGATGATAGTGGGCTGTAGAATATGCTTGCATCTATGAAACTATGCTAAAAATAGCTCAACCAAACGAGTTCAAACGGCTGCACGCGACGAAGTTTGGTTTTCTCTTTATTTATTTACTCCGATTTTATAAAATTTCTTATGACCAACGGACTATACAAACTGCAGTGATTTTGTTTATTTTCAGAAACCAGTCTATATTTGTCATATTATGCAATTTTGTACTGTGCTTGGTAGTATTTAAGCGTGTTATATATTATGTATATTTTTATTATTTGTGTTTATTTTGGTTTGTTTGTATTTATTTCAGTTATATCGATAGCAATATTGTATTGAAAAAAATTATTTAGTTTGTTATTGTTTCATCGATACGTCCGGGATTGTTCAAAATGATTATAATTGTAACAGGGCAAACAATTGGGAGGTAAAGTTTGCTAAATAGATATAGGATTGGATAAACAGCTTTTGTTTAAACTACGTGTAATTAGATTGTGAGTAGGGGGATGTTTTAGACCGGGTCTAAAAAAAGACTTGTGTTGATACCGAAGCTGGAATCGGTCCAAGTGTGGAGTTCCAATATTACAACAGACAGAGTCGAGAGGTCTGACCGGTCAGTGGCAGTATGCGAATGCCGAGGGATGAGCGAAGCGGACTTAAGGCGGGACTTTGGCCAGGTGGTGGCCGAACTGGAAGCGCTGAAAAGGGACAACTCGTACTTGAGGATGAAGATACGCTACTTGGAGTCGGGTGGCGGAAGGGAGAAGGTGTGCAAAGTTTCCAAGTGGACTAAGGTGAAAGGCGCCCTCGGATGGGAAAAGGAAAAGGACGAGCTTTTGACTCTCAAAGTACCCAACTCTTCGAGCGACCCGTCTTCTTCAATCAGCGTCAGTCCAGCAGGCTCTTGCCGAAGCCACTCATCACTTGGCGTTCAGATCAACATATCTCGCCCCGAGTCTTCTTCCTCCTCGGAAGAAGACATACTCACAGAAGGTATTAACATTATAATTACAATTAGTATGTTTTATAATTTCTAATTTATTTGAGAAAAATGAAAGAAAGACATCATTTCATCCATTTCTATTTGTGTGAACCTTCTTGTTCTCTCGCTTAGCAACAGGACGGAGTTGTTCGACGCTACGAAACAACAACGGTTTCAGCGGGCAAGAAGAGGGAAGAAGAAGCAAATCCCTTGATGGTGAAACATCAAAGTCACTGGAGGAACATATAGCAAATAAGGTATGTTCTCATTTTAACTACTTTGTCAGGAAAAATTTGCATTAATATAACGTTAGAAATGCCGTCAAATAACTGGCTGATTTGATAGTTATCAATGATGGTTATCAGTAGTTAGGGTGTGCTTTCAAACCACCAAATTGTGAAAAAGGGAGAAATTATGATTCCGTCTAAAAAACATGTTTCTCTGTACTTCACATGTGTAAAACAATGCATACTGAATTAAAATGTACTGATTGTAATTACGTACGAAATATTTTGAAATATGTGGAGACGGTTGGAAGAGGTTTCTATTTAGTCTTAAAACACGAGAACATGCGTCACGTTATATAAAAACTATAATAAATTAAAATGTATCGTTCATTGATCGTGCACTATACAAAACGATATATCACAAAATTTATGACACAAGGTTAGGTGATAAAACAGGTTTGTAAAACAAATGCTTGTAGTTCACTTTCGTTATGCAATACATAATAAATTACAATGTATTGATTAACGTACACTGTTTAAAATGAAAGAAAAAACATTTGTGACAAAGGTTTGGGTGATATTACAGTCAAATTTTCTAAAACACATACTAAATTAACGTGAAATTATTGTACGTACATTACACAAAACGAAATATTACAAAATTTATGACACAAGGTTAAGTGATAAAAGAAGTTTGTAAAACATATGCTTGTAGATCACTTTCGTTATGCAATACATAATAAATTACAATGTATTGATTAACGTACACTGTTTAAAATGAAAGACTAAACATTTGTGACAAAGGTTTGGGTGATATTACAGTCAAATTTTCTAAAACACATACTAAATTAACGTGAAATTATTGTACGTACAACACTCTCTCTCTCTCTCTCTCTCTCTCTCTCTCTCTCTCTCTCTCTCTCTCTCTCTCTCTCTCTCTTTCTCTCTCTCTCTTTATATCTCAACTTCCCATTTGTACCAAGATGAAAAATACATAGTAAATTACATTTATTAATACTTACACTGTACATAACGAAACAAAAAGTTTGTGACAAGATTAAGCGATATAGTTCTCATTGGTTTTAGGACTTTATATATTCGCCACTTCCTATAGAGATAGATTAATCATGTCAATTTAATGAGAGCTACTTTGACAGTGAAGCGTGAAACTGCTAAAGTTTTCCGAGTAACAAATCAAAAAAATTGAAATCAATTGTTGTCCCATTTATAAATTATATATATTACACAGTCATAGAGTATCAGTAATAGAGTATTTTCAATGCCAATGATCTTCACATTTATGTTTATACGATATTTTCTATAAGGAATTGTAGTCTTGGCTAATTTACAGAAGTTGGACGTCAAAGACTTCGGCACGAAGCACAAGACACCATGGAGCAAGGTGAAAGGTATCATAAATAACACGAAAAGTGTAAGGAAGCGAAGTCAGGAGGAGAAAAGAGACAAAATACTGATTCTACATGGACCAGAACAGCAGCAAAGTGGAGATGAAGAACACAGCACTGTGAAACTGACCGCCCCTAAGCTCACCCTGACTCTACCTTCCAACGAGGAATTCTGCACGGAATTGAAGAAGCAGCAAGATACAGGCAACAAAGACACGGTAAACTGAAAAGCATCCCATACTATAAAAGCAATGAATTTTTATAAGATTTTGGCATTCTGAAGTTTATTAAATCAATCTTTCTAAACTACTATTACTTTTCTTATTCTACTATACTTTTGATCAATATCAAACTTCTTAGTTGAAGTTTGAAAGGTTTTATCGGCATTAAATATCTATTCAAACAGATTTATTCTTATTCTATTTCTCAGAATCGTGGGGCTTCACCTCAGCTGTCGAGAAAGTCGAAATGGTTCAAAGTCCGCAACGTTTTCTTACAGGGTTCCAGCTCTGCACCCGTCAGCCCGATTAGATTGGAAAGCTTTATATACGACATAGGTAATGCATGCCCAGTTTTTTTAAAATCAGTTAAAATTTAATTACGTTTGATTAATAAAGAGTCAGATGAAATCAGCAGCGGTGACATACTCGGAGAGAAAGAGGACGAAGTATTTCAGGACAATATCAGATACGAAATTGAACTCGGATTCGCCCAACTTCAGAGCCGGCTCACTGATGAGTTTTCAAAGAAGATGGAGAACATCGCGGAGAGAAAACGGACGGATACGAGGTAAACCGACGTTATTTCATTTCCATCTTGTATATTTCAGTGTCGTTTTCAATCAAGGGACCAAAATAGAGAGCGTGACTTGTCTCCGGAATTCAAGAAGAAATTAGAAGAGTGGGACAGGATAAAACAAGGTAAAGAACAGGCAAAGAAAGGAGACAAAGATAAAGAAAAGAACAAAAATAAAAACAACGAAAGGTAGGAGACACTTTAAATCTGTAAAATTAATGTTAATGTTATAAATCTTCAAGGTCCAAGAAAACAAGACTGACTGGAAGACAAGAAGTCCTCATACCGACATCGACGGGGATGTTCCGATTTGAAGGCATCTCCAACAAATTTACAAGACGACTGTACGAATGGGAGCAAGCCAGAGGGATAACACCGGAAGAGTCGACCTTCGTCTTTTTGGACCCGGAGTATAAACCGACTTTTTCCCACAGCCAAAGTACCCTATAATCATTATTTGAAAACAATCTATTATTTTAACCTATAACATTTTTATTGCCCAAGTTGAAAATGGTGTCTTGATCAGATCAAAGTCCATAGGGAGCATCAGGGGAGCGTCGAACAGCCCGATTCTTGTCCAGCAACCGTCCAGCCTTTCTCTCAACGATCTCCAAGCCTGCACCGGTATATTATTATTTTTATATTTATTACATAAAATAAACATATAACTGCTTTAGATAATTTAATGGAATTGGGAGTACCTACAACGTCGGATAGTGAAGCTGCAGGAGTTAACCACCCCTTTTATGCTCCTGAAGAAGTGACACGGCTCATAGATTCCAGTAGCGGGTAAAACATCATTATATACCAACTTATACTTACCTATTCAGTGACCAGAGGTGGTGGTGTTGAGAAGGGCCGGAACGCGCCGTGCGTTCTCAGGCAGGCGACGATTTTGAGTACAGTAAGCTGTCGCGAGAGCCTGTTGCGGCTGTCGGTTACCGTTGTTGTCGAGTGCGGAGCATAGGGTCTCGAGCGACTCTGGTCGGTTTACGTGTGAGAGCTGCGTGTGTGAGACATTGAAAACACCCTGTCACATGTGGTTTCTCATGGCTATAGGCTAAAATACTAATAGGCAAAAAAACAGTGACAATCTACCAAGTTACACTTGATAGAAGTCACCCGGCAGTGACCCTCCCTCACATCGAATCAATCTCTCATGAAATCTCTCGGCCACAACCGCTTAAAACGACTATTGGATTTCCACGAATGTCGGGACAAGCAAGGTATTGGATAAGTGGATTAGGGTGAAGGTTTAAATTGTTGTGGATGTTTTTGAATCGGGATTCTGTATCGTACATCACAAAGAATGAGATTTGGAGGTCATTGTGGATTGTTAGGTATGAAACGTAGAAATATCAGTTTAATATTTTTTCAGTTGTTTTGATTGGATGGATTCGATTCCGTAGTTGTAACCACAAGAAATTGGGCTACCACGCCCACCTCCATACTGGCTTCTTCAGACTACCTTCTCTTATGACCAAAGACCAACTTCATTCAAAAGAAACATCGTACATTGGAAGATTGGAAGGGATTTCACTACCTGACGTCTAGATTAAGTACGATAGGACTTGTCTATGATTATATTATTATATACATTACTTGCTCCCCACTGAACGTGAGAACTCGTCGACATGTCTGACATAAGATGATATCCATCGGAACCGACTACTTACGACTGCGACTGCGGACAACTTATTTGACAACTTGAACTCTCACATTGGAACGTACATTTTGGAGCCATTTTTCCCTCGTTAGTGGCTGTTATGTTGTAGTAGCATGGATTTTCATACATTCTAACTTCTAACTCACTGAATTTCGTAGATCATTGATACCTGGGCGTGGTTATTGACTGAAACTTACGAGGGGACGACATGGTTGGTGGTCCCGGATTTGGTAAAATCTTTTTTTGGTGATTCTAAACTCCAAAATGTCGGACACGCACCCGCCAATTTTTCGCACTCATTTCGCCCAAATATTTGAAAATTAAAATGTTCCGTTTTTTAATATTTTTTCCGCTTTTCTGCTTGCTCATATCATTATGCGAATCATTTTACCGTATTTTTTATGTAGATTACAATAAAAATATAGTAAAATCTATCACAGTTTATCAATGAACAAAAAATTTTTAAAAACCAGACAGTCTTCAAGTAAACTAAAATTTTTTTTCTTGAAACTAATATAAAATGTGTGGTGATTAGTGACCGTTAAACGATATTTATTTAGAAATCGTGAGATGCGGTCAGGTGTGATGTAGGTTTCAGAAAAACATTTTCTTTATCGTGCCAACGTTTCGATCTTTATTGAGATCATCTTCAGAGCCTGGTATTTACAAACATTGTTTACATATTACAATTACATTTTGGATGTGGAAAAGTGAATGTATATATTAAATTAATAAATGGTTAATGTAATGCTAATTTAAAGAATGTTTGTAAATCCTAGGCCCTGAAGATGATCTCAATAAAGATCGAAACGTTAGCACGATAAAGAAAATAGAAATGATAAATGATGGAGTGAGTGTGGCGTTCAATCCTTTTTAAAAAGATAGTTCCTACTCACAGTAAGTTTTTTTTTCCAACCACGTCTCTCGACATGAATTGCCAAAGTGAATCCGCTGATACCTCCGCCAACGCGACGTTCCCATTAGCAGCGGATTTTTTTAATGGCGCTCAATTTGAACGTGCGAAACGCGGAAATTATAACACAAATAAATATTATACTAGTAAATACTTAATATTATTAAATTACTATAAAAATAATTATTTGGATGTTTGGTATTATTTATGTATATATTTAAAATGGGAGGTAGATCAAAATTTGTTATATTATTAATGCATTTATCACCATGTTCAATTTTACATTTTGCGCGTAACAGCGGGTTCACTTTGGCAATTCATGTCGAGAGACGTGGTTGGAAAAAAAAAACTTACTGTGAGTAGGAACTATCTTTTTAAAAAGGATCGATAAAGAAAATGTTTTTCTGAAACCTACATCACACCAGACCGCATCTCACGATTTCTAAATAAATAACTAATACAAAATTTCGTTTTAGCACCTCTAGAGATCCCTAAATATGAATTTTTGTTTAAATTTAAATTTATCGATTTTTTGACTTCAAATTTTTCCGATTTTTGAGAAGTCGTTATCGTGATATCTGATTGAAACGGCCATAAATCAAAAACAGCTAAAAGGATTTCAACGTCAAAGAGACCATTTGAAAGAAGAGGATCGTATCGTAGCTTTTAACGACAAATTTACCATTAAAATCTATAAAATATTTCTATAAGAAAATACAAAAAATAACAAACATATTTGCCAGAAATGAACCTTGTTTTTTAAATGGAAATAATAGCCAGATTTTAATGTTTGATACAGTTATAAAATGCACTTGAAAATTTCTTTAAAACGAATTATCAATCATGAAATAGATCCTCTAGGTTTGGAGAAAAAATAGGTTAGAGCTTGCATTAGGAATGTCAGTTAGGTAGAAAGGTGGCCGAAATTATCAGTCAAAAAATTAATTTACACCGCTTTCCGCGAAAGTCGGTATCTGAGGGTTTGATAACGGTAGAATCTAGACAAAGAAGTCAAATCCATGTTTTGACCATTTTGTGAACTACTTTGCTTACAGAATGTTTGTTAAAATAAGTGAAAGCAAGAGTATTTTGCTGATTTATTTGTTTAAACCGTACTAAATTAGAATATTGTGCAACGTGGAACATTTTAGTTTTCATGTTGAAAGAATGTAATACACCAAAAATAATATTTTTTTAATCTCTAAATAACGAGTACTAAGTAAATTTTCAAGGGTTTTGAACCCGTCTCTTCATTGTAATCATTAAAGGTAAGTTTAAACATTCATCACATTTGCTATTTGCACAGGGCCACTAATGACACCGAACTCATTGGAAGAACTAGGTCTCTTTTTTGACACTGAAAATTCATTTTTGAGTTCGACACTTCTATACATGACACTCTACTCAATTACAAGTGGTTTGGGACGATGATAAGTACTCTTATGTTAATTCAGCCCTTTCTTGCCGAAGGAAAAGTGCGATGCCACTTTGCTTCCTCTGTAAAGTGTGAACGTGCTACATCTGTAAAACTGATGCTTCAGGAAAGCGTTTGAGATCTCATAGCCAACTTAATTTACGTGTCAGACGTTCTAACATGTCCCATTACGTCTTCCACAAAGTTCGCAGTTAACAGGCAACCAGCGTAACCAAAGAGAACACAAGTAACGCAACATTTCCGAAAAGTGTGGTGATTAGTGACCGTTAATCGATATTTATTTAGAAATCGTGAGATGCGGTCTGGTGTGATGTAGATTTCAGAAAAACATTTTCTTTATCGTGCCAACGTTTCGATTTTTATTGAGATCATCTTCAGGGCCTGGGATTTACAAACACCTGGGCCTGGGATTTCCATACCGACATCCTTCCCCACCCCTTCAAAATCCAACGTATATAAACACAAAATAGCAAAATCTCACTGGCACTCTCGACACGACACGCAAGAATGGCACAATTACACAGAAGACAAACACTTTGAGGGAGTAGAAATAATTTGATTGAATATATAAAATATATTTTGTATTGTATAAATTCACTTTTCCACATCCAAAATGTAATTGTAATATGTAAACAATGTTTGTAAATCCCAGGCCAGTCTGACCTCGACCTTCGTACGATACACATCACGATAAGGAGAGCGCCGGCGTTAACTTGTTGTTTTTACAAGTATTTTTCCTTTTCCTTTATTAACATTAATTGTTACTAAGGTTAATTTTTGTTCGTCCGTTTGTTTGGTTTTTTCAATTATTTTTATAATTGAAACCCGTTGATTCACTTCTGGTCGGCTGCTGGGCGACCTAAGATAATGTCCGCTTCGAGCGGAGGAAATGATTCGGCTCTCCCGGGACGGGGACGAGAATTAACAGAATTCATGGATGGAAGTTTCGATCCAAAATCGAAAGTACCCGATGACAACAATCCGGGTTCTGATAAACTCAGATTGACCCTTAATATTAATGACTCCGAAAAACAGGGAAGTTTATTTTCGAAGACTGACAAGGGACCTTACCACGTTTATCTGGAGAGCAAACAGATTGACGGTCAGACGGGCGGTTTGGCAAAATTGCATGCAATGTCTCTTGGAAAACTGATTTATGAAAATCACCCTAAGATTCGCCATGAAGTTACAAGTATAGACAGATCAGGGCAAAACAGAGTTAGGGTAATTTTTAAGTCCCACCAGGGGGCAAATCATCTGGTTGAATCCGAGTTTTTAAAAATTAATAACATAAAAGCATATATCCCGTCCTTTCTCTTGGTTAGGGAAGGTGTAATAAGAGGAGTCGATCCGAAACTCAGCGACATGGAACTTTTACAGTCTATAAAAACGGATAGCCAAAATATAAAAATTTTAAATGTTCGGAGATTTAAAAGGAAGTTAGATAAACTCAAACCCGCTACTGAAACCGGCAATCTTATAAACACGGGGACTGTGCTGATTACGTTCAAAGGTCAGGCTCTGCCCGACCACGTTACAATACATTACGTGAGATGCAAGGTCGAGCCGTTTGTTAAAAATGTTGTACTATGCTTCAAATGCCTAAGGTACGGACATGTAAAGGATCATTGCAAGGGTGTTTTACGCTGTGCTCACTGTCACGGCAATCATGAAAAAAAGGACTGTCCACAAACAGAAACCCCAATTAAATGTTTGCATTGCAAAGGCGCCCACTCGGTCTTCGCTCAAAGGGAATGCCCCGAATATGATAAACAGAAAAGAATTAAAACCATAATGGCAGTTGAAAACCTGTCTTACAGCGATGCATTGCAGGTAGTAGACAAAAAATCATATGCAAGGGCCGCCACTGTCCCTCCTCTTAAAGACAATTCTTCATTCCCTAAATTAGCCCCTCCATCCTTGCCCGCCTATACGATGACCAACATGAACACTCGGAAAAGAAGAATCTCCTCCCCCCCTGGGGAAGTCACGGCTCAAACCCCAAAAAGACTTTATAGTCCGCTAATTCCAACCCCAAAAGATACCCCAGGAGGGCTCATCCCCTTTAATCCGTATCGTCCCAAAGAAAATGATGACGAGAAAAGTCTAAATTTCGCCCTTATTTGTGAATCGGTACTGCGCGTTGTAAATATGATTAGAGAGGGTCAAAATGACAACCTACTAATGTCAACAAATTTAAATGACATTATAAAAAACAGTGTTATGAGCCTACCGATATTTCAGAAATTGGATGGCTCTGTACAAAAATAAACCCAGTGAATATCCGAAAACTAACTGGGTAGTAAAAAAAACGGGGAGTAAATTAATAACGATAACCTCAATGCTAAGTAAATATAATACTCACCATTACCGGTTGAAAATCGTTTTTCACAAAATGTTCCACTTTACTCCTCTTATTGATTATTATGTTTTACATGATAACTTCCTATGGTCCTTCCCAAGTATATTAATCTAAATTGCTTGCAGTGGAATTCACGGTCAATTATCCCCAAAAAAGGAAGCCTCGAATTTCTATTAGATGAGAAGAAGGCCAATTTGGTTTTTCTATCGGAGACTTGGCTGTCTTCCACCACCGTTTGTAAATTTCGAGGTTTTCATTTCCACAGAAAAGACAGAAGGGATGGATATGGTGGAATAGGTATCCTGATAGATAATCATCTACAGTTCCTGGATTACAAAATCACCCATACTGAGCTCCGGCATTTTGCAATCGGCATGCAAATTCTACGGGGTAACTCAGCACCTCTCACTGTGGTCTCTGTCTACGTTCCCCCCTCGGAAAACATTTCTCTACAGAAATGGAATCAATTCTTCTCCAGCCTCCCAAGGCCTTTCTTGGTCGCTGGGGATTTCAACGTCCATCATGTTGCTTTTGGGTCTGATCGTACCGATAAAAAAGGTGAAAATCTCTTACAAGCGGTCGAGGATAATAATGCAATTATTGCCAACGACGGAACCAGCACTAGGATAGGTTCACCTAGGTCCAACACTAGATCGGCGTTGGACATCACCCTTGTATCGTCTGACATATCTCCAGTAGCAAGATGGGAAGTGCTAGATGATCCCATGGGTTCTGATCATCTGCCCATTTTCTTCTCTCTTTCGAGAGCTCCTACCCCCCATTTCCCCAATACAGTCTATCGCAAATGGAAAGCTGAAAAGGCGAACTGGATAGAGTATAAGGACCTATGGGAAATGGAGTATTCGCGCAATCACGAAGGAAACTGGAACTATGATCTCTTTATTAAGACAATGACAGACATTAGTACGAAAACTATCCCCGTAAATAAACCAAGAAGGGAAGGATCAAAGGTTTTGGCGAAGGTTTGGTGGAACTCAGANTGTAAATCCCAGGCCCTGAAGATGATCTCAATAAAGATCGAAACGTTGGCACGATAAAGAAAATGTTTTTCTGAAACCTACATCACACCAACCGCATCTCACGATTTCTAAATAAATTTCCGAAATGATTGAACAGACAAGGAGAAATGGAGATTTAATGAGAACACCTAAAAATACAATATTCTCACTATTACGTTCACAACGAACTATCAGGCCTACCACATACACAAAAAAATGAGCTCATCCCTCAATCTGACATTGTATATTACAAAATAATATGACATTCAAAGAACACTTGGGATTGATGATCAGGACAATTAATTTACCATTACATTCTGTAAAACCAATTTTAGGAAGAGATCCCCCTCAATATGGATATAACAAGACTGATGTTCCTAGTTGTAATTTCTTCCATATGCTGAGCTTACGGGCTCAGCTTAGCTGACTAGCAACACCCAAATAAGTTGTTTAAAGATGGTGCAAAACCGAGAGACTTGGCATGCTGGAAACTCAACAACAAATTGACATTCCTGTGGTAAAAGAAGCTTTAAAAACAATGTCAACATGTCCCCACTCTTCTTAATATCTAGCCAAATCTTATCGTGGCTAACACTACGATTCCATGAGTCCAGGAGAAGACTAACGAATATGTACTGTCTATCATTGCCTTTATTCGACAATGAACTCTAGTACACTAGCGATCATCACCGAAAGAAACGTTTTTGCATGTTTCGTATTGGAATGTGCAACAGCTACAGTTAAAGATATCTAAATGCGTTTTGTATTGAGTGTGTAAATTAGATGCGCTCGTATAGCGAGTGAAATTCAATTAAATATTTATGCTATCAAAACAAAAGAAGTACATAGTCCCAAATGTTTTCTACTTTTAATAATACTATCATTATTATGACTGTGAACATTTTTTTTTGCAGGGAGAGTGATAAAGAAATGACACGCCAACAGGTCGTCAATTCGAGCTACCAAGTTTTACAGGAAAATATCGAATTGTTGGACAAATTAAAAAAAGAGAGGGACGCTTGCAGGTAAGTGAACATGAGTTATGAGATTTTTCTTGAGGCATATGGCCGGTAGGTTAGGTTGTTTCTATTATTTTGGCACCAGCAGTAAGCAGGGTGAAACAAGGCTCTTTTCTATTTCTTGCTTTACGAATCAACGACTGAATATGGATTATCGATAGTCGAAACACTCCGACTGACCCAAATAGTGTGGACAGGCAGACCCAAATGATAGAACCCGGGTAGTTTCAGATTATTTTGGTAATGATAGCATAAGGTAAGTAAGCAAGATGAGGCAAGGCGTCGACACTTTCATTTTCTTGGTTTGTTTAAGGTAAAGAAGTGTGGACAGGTTCTCATACAAGTGTCTCAAACGACACAATCAGCATAGAAAATATTTACTTAATACAATATTGGTAATAATTAGGTAATTACAAAGAAAAGTAATAAAATAAGTTTAAGGTGAAAGTCGAAACACGTCTGACCGACCAAACTCAGTCTACCCTCGCTCTGTTGGTTGCGGTTTTTCTATTCGTTTAGTATCGATCAGGGTTTTAATCTGGGTGAGTCGGGCTTTGGATTTTCTTTATTCAGTTCAGTTGAAACGAAGGATTTTGTAGCATGCCTCACCCAGCTTATAACCGTGACAGAAAATAACTCCCAAACTCACTATTGAAAATGACGAGAGGCAAAAACTTATCTGACAAACCAAAACTTTAAATCCTGTATGATAGATGTCAGAAACTTTTCCGCTTTTATCTTCGTTCATTATCATTCAGGGAATAAGCTGAGTGAGGCAGGGCACAGAATCTTAATATACAAATTTCCACGGGCCAACTTTCCATTTCAATATTCCCATTTGAAATAAAAGAATTTTACCATGCCTCACACAACTTATAACCATAGTAGAAAATAACTGACGAACCCCACTGAAGATGGCGAGAGGCAGAAATGTGTTTGACAGGCCAATCCTAGTCTGTCCTCGCTGTGTTGTCATTTGTGACAATAAATAATTTGTGCTGTTTCCATTAAGTTTATATTTTGTATTGTATACTACTTACCACTCTTTATTAACTTATCCTGAAATGCTACCTAACATGCCGCAGCTTCAGACTGAGGTGCGGCAACAATTTCTCGTAATCAGAAGATACAAGCCGGCTTCCTACGAGGGAGCATTCTTGGTCTCATTCTTTACATTATTTATATTGCTGACCTACCTATACATTATAATACCGTCATCACCACCTACTCGGAAGATACCGCAATTTTTCCCTCGACCTCCAATCCTATCTAAGCTACCCCCAACATTCAAGAACATTAATTAAGATTTTTAGTTGAGATAAAAAAAGTCAGTGTCACGAGCGGGATTCGAACCCACGACCTTCGGCTAGATACGCTCCTACCACTTGAGCTATTGATCCACTCGACACTAACTTCCCATCTCATTTTTTTAATTTTCCCTCGTTTTTGCCATTTTTCAAATGTCGTGTAATCTTTTGATTCTCGACAACAAATGAAATAGCTTTAGTGAAGGTATACTTAATTTTAATTTATTAAATTCACTAGTTTTCGTGGTTCGCTTGACCAATTAATATCTTTCAATTAATTAAAGTTTTTATCTCAACTAAAAACCTTAATTAATTGAAAGATATTAATTGTTCAAGCGGACCACGAAAACTAGTGAATTCAAGAAAATCTTAAACTTACGGAAGGATTGGTGGAAAGACAAGAATGAATGGAGAAAAATGCACTCAGTTGTACATTCACATTGAGAAAACACTCTTGCCGTCCATTTTACAAAAACAACAAAGAGATACCTACTTCCATTCAAGTCAATTAGTTAGGACTATACCTAGACAGCAGACTGACAAGGGATCCCATAGGACTTAGGGTCGCCGGAAGACTTGGACAGCTACGAAGAATCTTACTTCTAGAATCAAAATCTCACTTCACCGTCAAAACTAAACTAACCATAAGACTTTACAGCGAACAATGTGGACATACGGAGTGGAGCTTTGGGGGGTCTGCCAACCCATACAACATCCAGCGCATTCAATCATTCAAATGAAAGTCCTCAGGACAAATCATCATAGCTCATTACTACGTCACTAACCTCACTAAACACAACGACCTCAACATTCCTTTTGCCAAGAAACTGATCTCTTCCTGATTCCTAATTTTCACACCAACCTCTCGATCCATCCTAACCTTTCTGCTCAGCCATACCAACACGTTCCCATCCCGAGAACCCGCCACGTCGCCTTAATCGACTATAACCTACAGACCTCCTTGACCCTTAAATCTTCCCACTGAGTGCCAGCATTGGCTGGTTCCATATTGTACAAAATTTACTTTGCACTTGGCATATTTTCTGCTGCTTATAAATTTTATACATATTTCTTACTATTCTTATATAAATGAGACATTATGTTAGACTTCACTACTTGAGAATTTTTCCGTAATGTATTAATAATAAAGCATAAAGAATATATATTTAATCCATTATGTTTAGTGGCCTAATTGAGCAAATTACTTCTTTCAATTAATTATTCTTTTTATGTAAGGTCTTGGCTGTGTTGAAAATATATATTTAATGTTGAATTTCTGATGTTATTCCATTCAGGCAACTTGAAGATGACATGCGGTTATTGGAAGGACAGATATACAACGTTTCTAAATCTTTCGACTGTCAAGGTATGTAATTTAAATGGTTTACTTATTTCTACAACTTTGAACATAACTTTAACCCTTTAATTGTTCTCAGATGGAATTAAATGCGGTGTAGGAAATCTCGACAAGGTCGACATGTTCGACTACGATCCCGAGATACTGTCTGAGAACCTTCAGATGATACGAAACAGCGAAAATGTACGCAAAAGGAATTCGTTTCGGCGATATATCCTGAGTGTTGCTATTTCATTTTCCAGAGTCGGATTTTAGGGCCAGCAAGGGAGTTTACAGTCAAATTCGACGACTTCAAAAGGGTCGAAACGACGATGGCGGACGAAGAGTTTACACAGGTGGACTACCTACCCTACGATCACGGTTTCACATCTTTTAATAGGGTGGACTCACCAGTTCATGAGATTTTAAGGGAATTGATTGAAATGGTAATTGGAATCAGGGCCCGGCCGGAAAACAGAAAATGGAGTCGGGAATTATTACTCTTTCGCCTTCTCTAATTTTATTTTTTTTCCAGACTGATCAACTAGAATCGGCCGTGGTTGAAAGGGACAAGGAAATGTTTCAAATCAAAACCGCCCTTTTCCGCAAACAGCTGGAAACTAGTGAAAACAGCTTCTCCTTGTTTACATTGCCAGTGAGCATTCCAATTTTTATGTATACAATACTTACAAGGGAGTGACAAACCGATTTCAATAAACAATTTTCGGCATATACTAGGTCTAAAAATATTAGATGCTGCTCAAGGGTTCTTGTCAATGGGCATAGGGACCGATTAAAAAAAAAATAAAAACATGTACATAATTTTTTCAAAATATGGTTTTCCTGCTGTCCTAGTTGTTCCGATCTTTATAGAGTAGCTTACTTTGGATGATTGCTCCATTAGAGAATATGAGATCTCGCCGTTTGAGCCCTTGCATAAATAAAGAGATGCTCCATGCTCAATAGCTGTTGTTTGGAATGCGGAAGCAACGTCGAAGTAGTGACGACTGCCAGCAGTCAGCCTGTTCGAGGTGTTAGTAAGTCACAATCAGTCACCACAATAAAATTTATAGCTAATATCCATTGCGGCTGAAATGACCTACTCCTTCATATCATCGACACCTAACTATAAGACAAATGACTAACCCCAGACAGCCAAAAACACTGGTAGTGAAGCCAGCAGAACAGAATCAAGATAAAACTTTTAAGAATTAGCCTCTTAAAATAAGAGCCATTTCAGTAGTCATGCTCTCAATAACTGGGTTTTACGTGTTATTTATGTATTATATAAAATGAAATATCTGGATTAGAGGGCATTTAGGGATCCGTGAGAATGAGCTGGTAGATGTGAAGGCGAAACATTTAGTTAGAATTCTGAAAATATATATACAAAAAGCGATTGTAGGCGTTTACTCAATGCGAGTTGGCTATCTGAGTGGCATGAATTTCATAATGGCGGATAATGGCAGGCGGATCACTGTATCGGTCCAGGTTCCCCGTGGTACCAAACCTCCGTGGTTTCAAGGATGCGGGGCAACTCGCGACTTCTATACCGTAATTACATGGATCAGAAGCAATCATGGCTTATGGGGTGCTCATAAATATAAGATAGGCCTGAGGGATTGTGCCAATTGTGCGTCCTGCGACTGTACATAGGACGTGAACAATCATCAGTGGCATCGAATCCTTGGTTGGAGTGGCCAGACCTTTTTCCTTGGAAACTTTAATTACGTCTGGGAGAAGAGACACATACCATCTAATTTATTGTTTCATAAGGGAAAGTTGCATTGAGGTGTAATTCAAAGGTAGACATGTAACATGGGGCGCGTGCTTCGGCTCGGGTCTCTTGTCACCTGCCTCGCTAAGTGGTGGTATATATATATATATATATATATTTCTNAAAAGTCTTAGTAGTTAATGTATTGTATATATAGAAGTTCAACTTTTTTATTGAATAATTTATTCGTAGGTACAATATTTACGAGGAAGGAGATCCCAGGAGTTATCGCAGTTTCCCAAGCAGATCATGGACAAGATTCTTGAGTTGAAGCAGGCCATAAGCTCATCCTCGTCTATAACAGGTACATGTTCAGTTCTACATTCGGTCTTATGCTAATTGGATACATACAGATCTCATACTCGACCAGCCGTTCAACCCGCCGAGAGTATTGCAACGAACCGTCGGTCATGAAGATCTCAGCCCCGACTACAGGCCACTCAGTCAGACTTCGTCCTCCGCCTCGTCCTTCAGCTACTTGAACCCTGGCTTTAGGACACCTCAGGATTATTCATTTCCGTGCCAGTACGACCAAAACAAGTGTACCATGGTTCAGGAATCCATTATCGTAGATCCTCGAGACTCCAAACGTGAGCCAATTACGATACAAAAGAGAGCGAGCGAACGAGAACGAGAGAGAGAGAGAGAGAGAGAGAGAGAGAGAGAGAGAGAGAGAGAGAGGGAGAGAGAGAGAAAGAAAGAAAGAGAGGGAGAGAGAGAGAGAGAGAGAGAGAGTGAGCGTGAGAGGGAAAGACGACACAACAGTGCTTTCAGGGCTTCCCAAACTTTTTAACTATCGGACTCCTTTCACAGAACAAAATCCAGGGCGGACCCTTCTGACTTAAGTATTTAAAAGTAGGTACTAAGCGTGTTGTAAAATAAAGTTTTATATACTACCCAGTCCATTCCTAATTAGGTGATGGAGGAGATATCACTTTGAAAACAAAACATTAAATTGACATACTTAACTTTATTTATGTAATCCGGAAACAAAAATCAAATTGTACAGAACAGAATCAATACAACTCTAGCCAAATTTAAAAGTAATAATTTGAACATTAATGATTAATGATTGTTGGGAAAAGTGGGGTTGTTTTAGCCTGCACAATTTGAATATGTTCTGTTTAACTGGTGATGTTAGGTTCAGCTGAGAGATGTAATTTTGGTAGCTGTTTAGGTAGGGAATCAGGATTCGCATTGGTAAGCTGTGGCAAATGAAAAAGAAGTTTTAGTTTTTCAACGAGTGATCGAAATTTTTTTGTTTTCCAATGGAGCCATAAACGAGGGTAAGTATCGAAATCGAAAGTAGATTTCTAGGTGATGTCTGAAGTAATTTCTATTAAACATTCGTATTCACTTGAAGATAGACTGGTCGGATTTGTCGAAACTGAAAAGGTTTGATCGCCCATTCAAGGTCTTGCAGGAATGTTGTAATCTCGAGCTGTTGGGAAGTAGATATAAATGGTGGAGCGAGTGTGTTGTTCAATCTTTTTAAATTGATAGTTCCTATTCACAGTACGTTGTTTTCAACGATCCGGATTTCGAGCTTATAGCTCATCATCAGGTTGTAGAAATCTTTCAACTTCGGAAGCTCGAAATCCGGATCGTTGAAAACAACTTACTTTGAGTAGTAACTATCTTTTTGAAAGACTGTTGGGGGGGGGGGACATCTAACTTCGAAGGTGTTCACATATTTCGTCAATCAAAAAAAAATCCTTTTACATAGAAAAACATTCCACCTTTTCCTTCTCAACAGTATTGAACCCAAAACTGGATTTTTCTTTGGTAGGCGTGAACTTTGTCATCGAAAGTTGGATACTCTTCCTTTGCAAAGAAAGACTCATGTCATACATTTTCATGAAAATATTTAATCAGTATACATTGCCATTTCTCATCATTGAAAACGTTGGCCAATTTGACATTCTGGTCCATCAACTGAGATAAGATTTCATAAAGTAATTCCACTAATCGGGAAAGTGCTTTCCCCCGAGACAGTCACCTCACTTCTGTACGGAGAAGCAGGGAATGATGAAGGCTTCACGTATCGTCAGAATTGTGGAACTTTTGACTTCAATGACTAGATATAATTAATAATTTGAACAGGATCATCAAAAACTTTCTTAAAAGAGGCTGGCATTTGTTTCATAGCTGAAGCATGTCTGTTAAGAACACAATGACTGCTGCCGCAATTGTTCGATTTATATTTTATTTTAGTAATCATTTCGATCGTTCGGCAATGAGCTTTACACTCATCAGCCTGAACAAATCCCAAATCTATGTAACTGTGGTGGTATTAACACTTTCTAGATATTCCATTTCCACTGGTTATTTGACCTGCACCTATTAGGAGACTTGTAGAAATTGAGCATGCTGGTCCAGTCAATCCCGTCCGTCTCACTTATCTTACCTATTTTGCTTACCTGTGCAAAAATAAACGTAGAATGAATAAACAAAATTTAAAAAAAAGGAGGGAAAATTAAAAATGTGGGGTTGAGGTAGGAATTTAGTGTCCGAGTGGATCGAATTCACGATAGCTCAATTGGTAGAACATCGGTGTATTTAGCCGAAGGTCGTGGGTTCGAATCCGGCTCATGACATTGACTTTTTTATCTCAGTCAAAACCTTAATCCCGCTCGTGACACTGACTTTTTATCTCAACCAAAACCTTAATTAAAGATTAATTAATTGATTGAAAAACTTTCATTTTTAAGTACTAATTGTTATTAGTTTTTAATTTTATTTATTCATTCTACTTTATTTTTGTAAGTATTAATTTTTCACGAAGTTCGCAGCGGACCGTCTAGTTTGGGTCTGCGGATCACAGTCTGGGAAGCCCTGCTTTAGCGTATTGCTACCTAAAAGAAACCTAATTTTTACTTAATCATTTTGGATTACTTCTGGACATTTGTGATTTCTTTTTTAAAGGAGAATGCGAAAAGGACACCAATTCTTGTAATGTCTTTGTTCCAACAACAAGAAAGATATTTTCACCAGTGAATGAAAATAAAGCAGTCAGCCTAGTAATAGAAGAAGAGAAAGATGAAGAAGGAGGAAGAAATGAAGAAGAAGAGGAGGAAGAAGAATGTGACGATTCATCAGAAGAAACTGAAAAGGCAGGGGAAGAAGAGATCAATACTCAGATAGTGTTGAAAGACCGAGCCAAACTTAAATCTCAGAGTTCATCTCCAGTACCAGAAAGGAAGCCTCAGAAATATTCTTCCGTTTCAATTCTTCTCGATAGTGAAAACGGTGTGGTCAACCCACCACCTCTGCTTGTAGAAGAGATGAAGTTAGGCGAAGAATTGGCCAGCAGTTTGAGGCTTAGAGCCTTAAGAATCCAAAAGGCAAAGGAAGAATTCCTGAGCGGGCGGCACAACTCTGTGACCATCGTAGTCGAAGAACTCAATTCAAACCCAACAACGCTTCTTGTCAAGTCCGCCAGTGCTGGCCTAATTGCCGAAGACAAAGAGAATCCTTCAGGAAAGAAAAACGACAACCTTTTATGCCTTTTGAGGAAGAAATTCAAAAAAGAAGGCACAGTAGTCTCACTGGCGAGACAGGTTGAAACAACACCGGACCCATCTCACACCAAAAGCTGCCCGTCCTCTCCTGTCCTTAATAAAAAATCTGAATCAACCAGTTGGATCAAAAATCCCGCGAAAATATTATTTAGGCCAAAAGGTAAATACACGATAAATAACAAGTGATGTTTACTATCTTATATTTTATACCATTATTTCTAACCTTTTTATTTAAAATAAAATATTATAAGTACGTTGTTGGATTTTTGTTTTCCTGTTTTTATTTTTTCAAAGCGTATCATGTGTACCCTCACTTAAGATGGCAAATTAATGAGATTGACATTTATGAAGAAAATAATAAGATTGTTGTTTAGCTCTCGGGATGAGAACATCGTCGTTATAAATTTATTATTATTACTTTATTGAATATTTTTATAGTTAGTTATTACTATTTATTACTCTTACCACTACTGTTACTATTGTTATTATTTCATTAGTATTAGTTACAGCTATAGACTAAACGATGAATGAAATTAGTAGTGGGACCGATCCTCTCGATAAATCAGAATTCACATTTCTCCTAAATGATCTAAAACCTCTGATACACACTTCGGAAAAAATAGTTCTCTCCTGCTAGGAAAACGCCCGGTGAACCCGTGCATTGACAATTTAACAAGACACAAATAGAGAGTCCAGATTTATACGTTTCGGAACAACCGAAATCTCAAAGACGCATTGAAATGCTAACTAAATTAAAAAACAACGTGTATCAGCCTTCGGACTCGGGCCCGTTCATTGTTTTCATTGAGAGCGTAGACAGAAATGAGGGAAACATCCATCGTATGGTGTTGGGAAAAAAGATATGGGAACACGACAACAATTTAACCAACAAAACTCAAACATTTCCTTCTCTGGACGTAACAGAATAAGAATAGAGACCAAAAACCATTCCTCGGCAAACTAATTAATTGATCTCGAGATCTTAAAAAAAAATCACCTTCAATGATATATACCGTCCTACTTTATAAACAAAATAGGAGTGATAAGGAACGTATCTACTGACTTAAGTGAGGAAGAGATCCTTTCCAATATAAACTCACCCATCCAATTAAAAGTGTCCGCCGACTAACAAAACGATCCACTGACGCAAACGGCATGATAAAAACATTCCAATTGGGCACTTGCGTTATAACTTTTGGCGCCCAGGGTCTACCAGTGGTTCAATGTGGTTAAGGCTCGGGGACTGAGAAAGGTGTACCTCGTGTCCTCATCCACGTCCCTCTCTCACTCCAGGTTCCTTTATTGTTCCCTGTGACCCCTCCCAACCCTTGTCTACAAGGGGGGGTGTCCGGGCGCAAAATAATGGTGTAGCTCTGAAGGCTTGGCAACCTCTCTAAAGCACAAGCTGTACTCGGGTCGGCATGGGGCGGCGGGTGCTTTATAAGAGGCACACGAGGGTTAGGGCACCAGATCCTGTGTGCACAGCCATCTGTACTACGGGGTAACAGAAATGCTCCAAGGTTCAGCCCCTGTTACACTGGGAATGACTCGTAGTGGTTCGTGGTGACGCACCTGGCTGGAACTTAGAGAAGTGGCTGTCTTCTATCTGTGACCTTCGCACGAAACTTGGATGGTCATCAACAGAGATAAATACAGCATCAATTACAGAACAGATACATGTAAACTCAGTCGCAGCCACGCCAATATCATTAATCAAATTCAATATAGATAAAATACGTATATCATCACATCACATTCCACACATCAAACATTTTTCACATAGTCAAGTTTTTCAACAATTTAGCTTTCCTTTTCCTATTTATCCCTTTCTATATAATCCTGAAAGGATAATCTGGCCTATTTCGCCTAGAAAAATGACATGCAGCCGACGCCTTATAAAAAAATGTCTTTTCTATACCGACTTCCTTCCCCACCCCTTCAAAATCCAACGTATATAAACATAAAATAGCAAAATCTCACTGGCACTCTCAACACAACATGCAAGAATGGCACAATTACACAGAAGACAAGCACTTTGCGTGAGTAGAAATACTTTGATCGAATTAAAAAAAAAAAAGTATATATTTTGCATTGTATAAATTCACTTTTCTCCACATCCTATATGTATTTGTTAAATTTAAACAATGTTTGTAAATCCCAGGCCCTGAAGATGATTTCAATAAAGATCGAAACGTTGGCACGATAAAGAAAATGTTTTTCTGAAGCCTACATCACACCAGACCGCGCCTCACGATTTCTGAATAATAAATACTAATAAAGAAAGCAGGGAAGCCTCCTAACTTTTCCAACTCATACAGACCCATTTCTTTGGTTTCGTGTGTACAAAACACCTATGAACGCATGATCAAAACTCGCTTGGAGTGGTGAGCAAAACAGTAAACTTCCCCAATCTCAATTTGGCTTCCGCAAAAATAAATCAGTTACAGACGCACAGCTTACTTTACTAACCGACATCCATCTGGCCCTTTCATGTAATAAATCAGTGCTCGCACTTTTCTTGGACTTTAGCGGAGCCTATGATAATGTTGTCACTCAGCTTCTCGCCTCCAAACTGATTGTTCTGGGTCTTCCATTCTTTTTTGTACAAAATATCGTCAATTCAATATCATACAGAAAATTGTTATTTTGAATCAACGAAGCGTTGATAGGCGCTAGGACATCATATAAAGGACTCCCGCAGGGGGGAATACTAAGCCCGCTACTATATGCTCTTTACGTCTCGGACTTCGTCGCCATTTTACCCAATGGTACAGATGTAATACAATACGCGGATGACATAAGCATCTACATTAAAGCCGATTCGATTGAAGAATGTAAAGACAACATGGTGAACTTTATTCCCCAACTAGACGAATGGCTAGGAGAGAATGGACTAGAAATTTACGATTCGAAAAATCTTTTTTTTGTCCTTTTACTCGATGCAGAAAAATCAATTTACTTCCCACTCTAAATATTGGAAAATACAGCATTTCAGTGAGCCCAAAGGCAAAATTCTTAGGTTTCACCATCGACTGTAAATTTACGTGGGCCCCCATATCAAACTCACTTTGTCTAATTGTGACAAACTGTTTAACAACCTCTGCAATTTCACGGGTGCCAATTGGGGGGCCGAACCTTCCATAGGGCTCTTGTTCTATAAGTCCACCATAAGGCCGGCGTTAGACTTTGGGTCTATATTATATGGACAAGCCTCAGAGACCGAATTAAAAAAGATAAGCACCTTTGTCAATAAGTGCTTGCGGCGAATTATTGGTGAACTACCGAGCACCCCACTGTCAGCCGAAACCTGCGAACCCCCTCCTGACCTGAGATAGCAGAAGCTAACTGCCAACAAAGTAATCACTTTATACTACTCAGACAGTCTCTTATTAGGAAAAATATCCGCGCTGACAGATGTAGTCTTGACAGAAAAGTACTGGGCCAAAAAGAAGCCTCCCCCCATTGTGAATGCTTTCCAGGCTACAGTCCCGGGATTGTTCTCGGTGTACAAAAATAAACTTCCCTTCGCCTTGCAACTAGAATATCCTAAGACCCTCACTAAAATGACATCCCTCTACTTAAGAGATTGCACAGAAACCCTCCACACACTGCCAACAAAATATTTTTGACGGACATAACGAACTGCTACCAAGCCACCAGTTTTTTAGACGGCTCTGGCGTAGATGTGCCGTTTCCGACTCATCCCTGAAATTCAAAAAATTGATCTCTCTATCTAGTCAACTCTCTATTTTTACTGCCGAAATGTACGCCCTTGACGTAGCCCTGGACTACATCACCATGCTGAAAGGCACTAACTTCTGCATTATTTCGGACAGCATGAGCTCAATCAGGGAAATAGAAAAGTTCCATCCAAACGCGAAGTTGGTTAATTACACAAATTCACAAGTTTTTGCTGGAGCATAGGACCTAGTGGAATCGTGAACAATGAAATTGTCGACCGGCTTGCAAAACAAGCAACCAAGATCGGAGAGTTCTACAACATAAAATTACCAAAAATCGACGCAAAACGCACAAGAAACAAACAGTGGTTGACAGAATGGCGTAACAGGTATTACAGAGGAGCTGCGGGAAGAGCCTACAAATCCCTGTTCACAGACTTGCGTCCCACCCCATGGTTTAACTTGGCAAAAACGTCCTACAAAAAATTCTATGCGTCAATGATTCGGATTCGCACGAACCACTGCATCTGCGGAGAATACCTACACAAAATAAACAGTAGGGCATCTCCTAACTGTGAGACATGCGATGAACCGGAAAGCATAAAATATTTATTCTTTGATTGTCGGGAAAACGAGGAAAATAGAAGTCTTTCTTGACAGGGTCTACATGCTGAAAGAAGGCAGCAAGCCTTTCAGCTGGGAGAGCTTGCTGGAATCGAACAGGGAGGATGTGTATAGGGCGATCTATTCCTTTTTGCAGGACAGTGGTATAAGCGTCTGAAGGCTGAGCTGTCTTACTTGTATCTGATCTCTGGGGTGCCTCATCCAGCGAATCTGGAAATTTTGTCCCTGGGGTGTGGACTTTTCCATAAATGAGTGTGCTATATATATTATAATTATTCGTTAATGTGTGATGAACATGGCTATTCATTGGTTATAATTTGTTATTGGTTGTCGTTGTCAAATGCTGTTTGTTGGATTGTGCTATGTTTAAATTTTGTTGTTTAAATTGTTATCATTGCAATGTAGAGGTTTTTAGATTTTACATTATTTATAATTATTTATCTATTTAATTAATTATTTATTTTACTTCGCTATATTTTTAAAACTTTGTATTTATTTGCCCTTCACTTGGACAATTGCTAAATGCTTCTGACAAAGCAAAAAAAAATTAATTAATTAATTAATTAAAAAAAAAAAAAATAAAACTGATTATTAATTCAATCCCATAAGCATATTTTAAACATCTCAATGGGACAAATTAATTTTTTTTGGCTCTTTTTTCACCCTTCAAGACTGTGTTGTGCAACATTAGTTAAAAACCCATAAAATCATGAATAAAACCTTTAATGATAGAGGAAACGTAAAAAAATTGATATATGAATTTTTGAACGTTTGTACACAGTTCAATCATTTGTCTGACCACATTAAAAACCCAGGAATTATAACTTAATTTTACGCACTTGTATTTTTAAAATTCTTTTGTATGTCTATTATAGTGAATGGCGCTAAAATCTTGAATATTATTCTCTGAGAATAGATTCTAAAA